TTGTTTAGAGTCTTACTCCGAAATCAAGAAATCTTTGTAGTTAAATTTTTTTCCCCTTACTAAAAAGCTTTCGTTCAACATAAGTTTTATAAGAAAAAGTTCTTTCTAATTACAGATGAGTCTTTACATTACAATTGAAATGAAAAAAGTATTTAAGCAATATGTGTTACATTCAAATACAGTTTGTCTAGAAAGTCTCCGCCCTTCGGTTTTATATTTTAATGGAAACAGCATATTCTCTTTTTTTAAATGATTGTTTGGAACAATATAATGATATACCACATTTTTATAAGTTCAAAATAGCACTTTTAGTAAAAAAAATGCTACTTATTTCTTAGTAATCAGGAAGATGTTTCTATGTATGAAGTTGTTACAAAGTGAGAAGTCGCGGATTTTTTTCATTATGTATTTGGAAACAATACTAAAGTACAGTTTAACGAATAATTAAATACTTTAAGAATACTTAAAAATGTCACTTTTAGAAAAAATGTGTGGCTCATCACAATAATGATCAACGTCCTTCAATTATAGCAATCTTACATTAAACTTTTGCCTTTTACTTTGTATGTCTTGATTCTGTATCGTCCAGAATCACATTCTCAAAGACACTCAAGTCTTAGTTTTTAGAATTTCTACTATTTTGTGTTTGTAAGAAATTTAGATATCCTTAGCCAGAAGATTGGTTGTAATCCTTGTACCTATTTAAGTAACGATACAGATGTATCCAATCGCCAAAAATCTGCTAAGAATGAGTTTAGAGCTAATTTTTAAAAAAAAAATCTTTTCTAGAATGTCAAGGTTAATTTTTTGAAAATTTTATATGGTAACAGTTTTGGCAATTAGAGTAAATATATTTCGGTAGAACTTGATTATTAAGTAATAAATGAGAGTGTATAACCGGTTTTCGTGTATCTTAAACAAATATTGTAACACCAGTTTTCATTTCTAAAGGAAAATTTAAAATGATAACCATTAGGCAAAAATAGCGCAAACTATAGATACATTTCAAGTGTATTTATTATACTTCGAAAAGAAAAAAAGAACACCGACGTGATGCAGAAAAACACAAAGATGCAAATAATAATAATTATAATATTAAAAGTATTGCACATGAATTGGCGATGGTGCTTACAGAGTTTTTGATTTGTTTCAAATGAGCGCAATAACTATAGAAACTCATTTTAGATTTTGTACCAACTATTAAACCATAACATTTAAGTGTCTTTCCTGAATAAGAAACAAATAAAAAACTGTAAAACAACTGATAGTTTTCGAGTTAAGAAATATCGAAACATTTAGGTTGAAAGTGTTACAAAAACTTGAGTACGAACTAGGCATTGAGTTACAAGTTTATTTTTCACATTATTTCCTACCTTTTTCGATTTCGATGTTTAAAAAAATAAACGCAGCAGTTAAGAGGATTTTTTTTTAAAATTAAGCCACAGTCAAATTTATTACATACAAATTATAATATCATATTTATATGTACGATGAATTTCGTTAATTTCTGTTAATTATGTGAGTTATTATTTGTAACTTAAATATTAAATATGAATTGCATGACAGAAAGAAAAAAAGCATCAAATTATTAAAAAAAATTTTTTAATAGATTGCAATACATATTCGTATTTAATCATAATTCTAATTGTGCAGTTAAAAAAATTCGAGGACAGCAGAAAAATCTATGCCAAACACCATCAAATGTCATTTACTTAAATTCCTTGTACAAACCTACTAAAAGAATGCAAATATTTAATATAGCATTTAAAATGAGTTTTCATTTTCTATTCGCCCCACAAAAGATTAGCTTACACAAAATTTGCTCTCAAATGATTGCTTTTCTGCCAAACATCCGAAAGGAAGTGCTGTGAGGAGAAAATACTCGAACAACTTTTTCTAAGGGAGAAAAAAAAAAGCGATTCTAAATGTTCGATTTCCAATAAGAGTTTCATCAAAAGTTTGTGAGATTCAGTCGGACAATCATAAAAGCTCATACGCCCTTATATTTTAAATATTTCTATTGGAATGCTTGCTTTTTATTGCTCCAAAGTAAAAAATTATAGTTCAAAATGGTTGAAGTTTATTTTTTTAAAAGTCTTAGTCTAAATGTTGCCAATTTAGTTCTCAAAAATTCCACACAAAATTCTCGCATCATATTATAAGCGGAAATAGTCACATGCCAAATTCTTTCTAAAAGAGAATCGAATAATTTTACAGATCACATATAAATTTTTTGATTGGCAAATTGGGGCCCTCTACTCTCTGAGAATTTTTTCTTAAATATATATAAAGGACGATGGCATACGAAAAAGTTTTTTAATGTAGGTGCAGTAGACGGTTGGCGTGATTTTGCGAAAAGAGAAAAATAAAAGGAAGCACAATCATCTGCAAAACTAATTCAAAGTTCTCATCTGCAAAAATTATAACCTTGACCGTCTAAATGCGCAGTAGTGATTAAGTCACTAATTAGAATTAATTAAACTTGGTTTAAATTGAGCGCAAAAATATGTAGAACAAAAACAACTACACATTTTGACACAAACCTAAATTTGTCTCTAATGTTTTAATTGTTAGTTTCTTAAGCTAAAAAGCTGATCTTTTAAATAAATTTCTTTCTTTTCTTTCTCTCGCTCTCGTTTTCTTTCCCCCCCCCCTGTTAAATCAAGTAATTGAATCTTCATTTAGATGAAAAAGTTACTATTTTCTGATTCAAACTGTTCTAATTCAGAAATGTATAAACGAAGTTTTTAATTCTTTCAACAATGAAACCCTTACAAAAATTTTGCATTAGAATAAACAGAATAATTTCTGAAAGCCGTGAAAATAATCTTTCAAAATAAAAATATTGCATAAAGTTAACTGATCTCTTTTTAATTTGTGTGCTCGTTTTCCTTTTGTCAAACATTTTAATTTTAAAATATTTTATAATATACCTCTTAGTGAACATATTGTTTTCTGGTTTTTCAACAATGTCAAGCAAAATATATGCTATTTTAGAATATTTTAAGCAAGGAAAACGACAGTGTGAAATCGTTCGTTTGCTCTGAACATTGAGTTTGGACTCTTTAAAGTAATCGCCTCGGTGAAAATGAGGTGGATTAAATGTAGAGTTTCGTAGGCTCTTTATTTACGTCGCACCAGAGCTGCACAATGGGTTATTGGTGACTGTCTGGGGAAACATACCTGAGTATGATCCGAAGACACGAGATCGAAGTCGAGCATTTCACGATAGAACTGTTTAACTAGGACCGATACTGTGCACATTCTCGGTCCCTACGAAGGCTGATCAAAGTGGTCACCTACCCGCTTACTGACCGCAGTCAGTGATGCTTGACTTCGGTGTTCTACTGGAAACCGAGTCTTTACGATCAGTCAATTGCGGGATTAAATGTAGAGGTAGTAGTAATAGTATTTTATTTATGTCGCATTAGAGATTCACAACGGGCTATTGGCTACTTCTGTGGAACTAGCTGATGATGATCCGAAGACCTGCCATCACAATTTTGATTCTCTGTTAAAGGGAAAGGAACCCCCTCTTTGGCAGCTCTAAGGCCTGTACGCGATGTCGAACACTTTACCGTAGTACAGTCTAACGAGAATTGATAACGCGCACTCTCAGACCATACACAGGCTGTTTAACGTTCTCAACCAACCGCTCACTGGCCCCAGTCAGTGATGCTTGGATTCGGTATTTTACTGGGAATCGTATATTCAAGATCGGAACTATTGAAGGTAGAAGACTTGCGACTCATTGCTAAAAATTTCCATAAGCGTTTGCGCCCCTGCATTACTACAAAAGGAGGCTACTTTGAAACCAATTGGATTTATTTATTAGTAAAGTCTTATCTTATTATTATTTGTTATATTTTTTAAAAATTTATTTATTAATAAAGTTATATTAGAAATTGTTCGTCCAGGTTGTTTTGCCGCACCCTGTTTCAACTAGGATGTATTTAGCTCAAATAAACAATGATCGAGTAAAGCCTTCATTATGAAGACAGAAATGTTATCTGAATTATCGGAAAGCCCCCTTTAAGACGCTGTTATAAAAAAAGGATGTCACTCCCACGATTGTTTTTACATTGCAATTTCAAACTTTATGTTAATTGTATAACTAAGCTCAGCGATTGGAGTAAACTTTTTTTTAACTAAAAATTTCTGTAACTTGGTGTTTATAAGAAATTAACTACCTTTGTTCGATAAATTCTTATTTACATAATTAAAAAAAAAAAAAACACTTACGTCACATCAAACATAACGGATCTTTATTACGAGCCATATAGAACAGTTTAATTTCCCCATCTTTTTAGAACAGTTTAATTGCCCTATCTTGGAGATTTTCGTCACAATTTGAGAGGCCATAAATATAAATTTAATTGCATTTCCGACTGAATATTCATATGCCCGACGGGGCGCGTAAACGTAAAAAATACATGACTCTTCTGAAATTTTACATATTGGGTGGTAATATGTACCAGGATCATATATAGCAAATATAAACATGCATTTCCGATGTTGAGCCAATGTTTCGATAATTCGCGTTTATAACTATAAAAAAAATTATGAAATCGTTATTGTGTCTGATGGTCTTGAATATGTAGTAATAGATAGAGAATAAAAAAAAACTCTGGCAAACACGAATGAGATTTAGAGCATGAAATTCACTCCTCGCGAATAGTTTTGTATCGTAACGCTAAGCTTTGTGACAATATCTTTTCGGGGCAGGGGAAATTTCGAAATATATTTTGAGATTTTCTAAAAAAAATCACTGTAAACCTTAGTTTTCTTCAATTTGTTAAAAATCCCTGAGAAAACACACCTAATGATCAAGAGGAAGATGCTATACATGAGAAGACTCATGGTAGCCCAAAAATGGCATGGTCCTTTTCTCCACCCCTCGTCCCAGGAAGGGGGGTAGAAAGATATTCTCGTCTTCTTCAACTTCTAGGGAATCTTATTGACCGTGTGCCGCGCGTGCGAAAGATCTTCATTCCCCCACCCCCAAACGTGCGTGTCTGGACCAATGGGAGATGAGCTAATTTTGCACCACGCTTTTCTCATATGGAGAACATATCTGGTTGCACCCGTTTAAAAAGTGCTTCTACTTATTTTCACTTTACAGAACGGATTTCGGACGTAAGTTTCCTCTCGTGTTTTGTACTTTCTCTCTTCTTGTGTGCCTTTTCTTTTTTTCATTGTGATCAGTGAGGTGATAAAACCCATAGGATATTACCTATATATTCACCTGCTATTGTTCGTAGTCTGAGTGGATTTCAGTGAATTGTTCAAAAAGTTCCATCGAAGTTTGCAACCTGTGGTTTGGCTTTTTTGTTCTTTTTATAATCAGTTGTTTTATTTGAATTATGAGTAAATTTTTCTCAGTACTTCCATGTAGATTTAAAAAAAAATGAATATGATTTAAGCAAAAACGTAGCGAAATGATAATCACACTTTATTTAGCATTAACCTTTTATACTTATTATTAGTTAGAGCATAAAATAACTTTCATTATTTGTAAGGCATGGTGAAAATTTTCGATTATAAATATGCATAAATTTTCTAGTAAAAAAAATGAATTAAAAAAATTAGATTTTTTAGGTTTGAAAAGTGCTTATTGTTTAAATTTTAATGATGCTAATTAAATTATATTATTTAAATTTAGTTTTGTATGATATAAACTCGCAAAAACTTTCACACAAACTTTTTTAACGCTTTTTGCATGTTTAGTGGGTTTAATCGGAATCATTTATAAATTAGTTTCATGAACATACATTTTATATACTTTTACGTAGTACAGCTAATGTTTAACTAAAAAATATAGATCTAGAAAAAGAGAAAGAATATTTGCATACTTCATTATTATGACAGGAGGATACGCATTTTTTTAAATGATTATAACTGTATTGTAAGAATATTTTAATATATAATAATAATTCATCACAAATAGTATAAAATTATAATTTTTTTCCTGAAGAAAATCAAACAATAAGACACTATGAATTACATTAAAAAACATTCTCCAAAAACAAAAGAAAGAAGTAAAGACGGAAATAAAGACGATTGTTGACTATGTAACATAAACGAAGAAACAAGAACTGATTGTTTTCGTTTCAGTAAAAAGAAAAGAGACCTACGGTTTAGGATCTCGCGCTTTGCGCTCTGTAATTCGTTTATCCTGCATTAATTCTTCAATACCATTGTCACATTCAGTTTCGCGCGTAAAATTAAAAATATATTTTAATATTTCTTGATTTCTCATGTCGGTATGTATGTTTTAATTATTAATTGTGATCCATACTGTATTTTAAATAATGGAAAGTAAAAGGTTTATTATTAGTAACAATTTACAATTCTTTGAATCCATGAAATCAATCTATTATAAATTTAATTAGAACTTCTGAATTTAAAAATTATGCTGACTTTTCGAAGTAAAATGACTTAAAAAGTTTTTTTCGTTGCTTTGATTAAATATTTTAAAGTTATTTTTAATTTTTGTTCTTAAAAATAGCATGGAATAAATAGAAATTTTAGAGTCTTTCACGCATATTATGAAAAATAGATAAAAGTTGTTAATTAAAAAAACTCGTTATTAATCTTTTTTTAAAATTTAAAAAAGGTTTAATAGTAGATAAAGTAAATTTATTCTCAAATATCAAGAATTTTAATATTTTCAAATCCATGATACCTTGAAACCTTACATATTAATGTAACTAATTAAAATGTAGATTAATAAAAACTAAAGGCGGAAATATTGAGAAAAACTCCTGCTATTCTCCCTATATTTTTTAGATTTCTGCTCGCTATTGTTCCTTGTATAGAATATTGAAAAATTGTTAAAAATATCCTGTAATACTCTGTTACGAATTTATAAAAGAACAAAACGGTAAAAAATTTATGCAATTACTTTTATATTATTATAGTATTTATATTATTTATGCAATTACGCATATTATTTATATACACTTTATATTACTTATGCAATTACGCATATAGTGTGTTAATTTATTTTAGTACCAAATCGTGCAAATATACAGAAAAACAACACAGATTAATAAAGAGTAATACATGCTAAGACAGAAGAACAGATACGCTATTATTTCTGAGGCTCAGCATTTACATAAAAAACAAACGTTGCTTTGGAATTTTATAACTAAAAAATTCGCTAGAAATTACTATTATATAAATTATAAGCAGCTGTATAATCCAAATATCTTAAAAAATATGTATGCAATACAAGTAGAGATAATTTTCATAGCAAGATTTGCTTAGTGATTGTAAGAAGTGGTGATGTATGTTTACGATGTGAGCTCGACGTCGATTTCGAGTGTGTTTTGAAATTATTTGTCTCAATTAAGAGAGTAAATATAGTTTTTCGCTTATAATGCAGTGCATACATATTTATAAAAAGTATTAATTATTACAAATAAAACTGTTTATGATACGTACAGCTCATTCGATGCCATAAACAGTCTTGCTTAAATTTTTTTTATTCCGAAATTCTCCCATAAATTTAAGCATTGCCATTTTTACAAGCATATTATCATACAATACACATTCAAATATGCAAAACATGTTATATTTAGTACTTTGTTAGTACTTTGTTTGTTAGTACACGTTATATTAAGTATTTGTTTGTGTTATACACGTTATATTTAGTTAATACTTTGTTTGAGTTAGTTATTTAAAACGAGTACTTGGTTTAAATAAGAGATAAAATATAAAAAAAGGTAAATTATGAAAGTTAAAATTAAATTGAGGTATAAAATCCAATGTCCTTAAGATATAAGAGAAGATAATAGTGTGGTTTATAACCAATAAGTAAATGTGAAGTAGGATTATTGCAGCCAACTTTGTTGAAGCAAATATTTTCAAATGTTATAGAAGCCTAAAGTATAGGATGTCAGGAAGATGTTTTGATTCAGTTCAAAAAATGCATTGAAAATGCAATTTAATTTGAGGAATCAAAATGTATTTTTTAAATGGCAATCTAAGTTAAATCAAAATTAGGGAAATATCAAAGAATGAAATGTGTACACGTTTTTTTCTTTCTTTTTTTGAGATGGTATTTTCTCGAGGCATTTATTATTTTACTATCGTTTAATATTTTTTTTTTATAAGAAGAAAAAGGAGCATGCCGATATCCTTAAACATTGAGGTATAAGAGTGCAAGAGATCTAGTTGAATATTCATTCAATACTAAATGAAATAAAACTAGATATTATTAGGATGATTTTCACATTTTCGTTCACTGTTAAATAAACAGACAAACTTTTAAGTTGGTTATGTGTATGATGCCACAAATTAACGCTAAGTATTAGTGGATTTCTTATTTTTCTAGATGTGAAATATCAATATAAAGAAAATGTGACCAATACTTTATACTCAATACTTCTAAATAGTGTAGAATTTTCAAATAAATAGATAAAGAAGGAATCGAGAAAAATTTCTTTATTTGCATTCATTTGAAAACGTAGATAATGTAAAACTTATAGTTTCACTTTATGAGTTTCGCAAAGAAACTTCAAGCCTTACCTTTTGAATAAGAAAATCATATAACTTTTTTTTCTGACTTTTGAGCTTAACAACTCCGAAGTAACGTTACTTTGATGAATTATTTATCAAAAAAGAGTGTTTCGGCTTACATATTTTCGGTGTTTAGATATGTATATTCTTTACTAGTGATGTATATTCTTTACTTATGATGTATACTCTTAATAAAATAATATTATTATAAAATAATATTATTCTACGTATCTTTCATTTAAATTTAGAAATTTTAGAATATCTATAAATTTAGAATTAAATTTAGAGATATCTGTAAGTTTAGAATTAAATTCAGAGATATCTATAAATTTGGAAATTTTAGAATATTTTAGTTGTAATCTAACGGTACTTTTTTTTAAAAAAAAATGAAGAACTTTCGGGTAAAATAGTGATAAGTCACACTTTCCATGTAAGTGCGTTTTCAGATCACCTTACAAATATTTAGAATTTCCGTTTGATAATAGCATATAATAATGCTATTTCCTATAAACAAAAGTGCTTGACGAATTTCCGTGGAAATCGGAATCGTAAAAAGATTGCTCAGAGATATTTAAACTATTAGATTACTTTTATAAAGACTTTAAAGCAAAACAAAAAAAAAATCTCCCTTTTTAAAAGCAGCATAGTATACCTTATTTTATTTTATAACCGTCGTTGAACAGCTGACCTAATTTAGAGTTTATGGCTACCAATGTTTAACTCCGTAGACTTGTAACCCAATTCAGAAGACAAGGCAATTCCTGGATTAAGTATCGGGAGAAATTAGCCTTCGTGGAGAACTTTTTGATGCAACTAACCCGGATTTGCATAACATGGAGTGAAAAACCACAAAAACCTAGCACGGTTAGTTTGACGGCAAGGGGACTCTAACCCATAATCCGTCTACCACTGAGGATATTTTTCGTCAGCACTGCGGTCGGTGCGAGCCGGGTGCGGAATTCGTATGGACCAACAATAGCTGGGATTCAAACTCGGGACACCTCATTGGGATGCGAACTCTCTATCCCCTGAGCCCCCATCTCTAGCATACAATATCGCTATTTTCAAAACGAACACCATAGAGAACATGAGGGCAAACAGGGGAGAACATGAGGGGTAAGAATTGTTTCTAAATATAAAAAAACACGCTGTCAGAAATAATTTTTTTAAAAAGTCATATTATAGGGGACGTTATTGTTTTTTTCAGGGGTAGGAATACTCTATTTATTACAATAATCCAATTTATTTAAAATTATGTAAATAAAAATAGACTTAATATGACTTTAAAAGTCGACTAATAGGGCTAATGATATTTTTTTCGAAAAATAAATTTGAATCGAATATTTTTAACCAACAATATTTCTTGTAAGCATAATTAAATGTAACTTTGCATAACTGTTTTGTGAAATAAAAAAAATAATTCGGTAGTAGCAGAATAAATTTGTAAATTTTTTTCGAACAATTTATAATTGAAATGTTTAGCTTTTTATATTGAAATGTTTAGCACGGTCAGAAATAAATGCTTATAATAATTATTTTTATTAAACGTATTATTATTTACCATTAAATCTATTATCTGTTTTCACAATATTATCAATACTTACTACATATATTCTTAAGAGTTGTTAGCAATAAGAATAAACAAGCAGTGCGTCTTCTTATATATTTTACAGATTTTTTGTGTAAAAAATGTGTTAAAATGAGCTTTCACGCTTAAAATCACTTACAACCTATTACTTTAGAATAATTTATTATTCGAGAAGCGTCTTTTATTCAAAAGCAGAAATTTAAAACTGTAAATTAGAAAAAAGATTCCAAAAAGTTATTATTTACAAAATAATTTTCTCACTTTAAAAATCTAATTTTTGCATGAAATAAGTCGTATTTCTTTCAAAATAAGGTTTTCAGACGTTTATTAAAAATATGAACAATTTATTATTCAATGTGAAAGTAATTTATAAGAATGTGTCTTATTTTATTCAACGACAAAAGTTTAAATTTGTAAATTTAAAAAAGACTCCAAAGAGACATTACTTATCTAATCATTTTCTGTGGATTTTTGTCGCTAATCTTTTTTAAATTATCTTACCGTAATCGGTTGTAAGTATTGAAAAATTTAATTTCTTATATTTTAGAAATCGAAGATATGATAGCAGTGTTTTCTAATGCTTTTGCATTAGAAAACATTACATTCTAATGCTTTTGCATTAGAACACACAACAAAGACTAAATTGTAAGTTTCGTTGAAATTTGAAAAAACTTAGAAAATTTTATTAGACTTTAACGAAAAGCGTTTATCTAAGGAGGCTTCGATTCAATGTGAAATTATTTAGGCGAATGGCACGTAAGTCTAACTATGTGGGGAGAAAAAATTATATGCTTCTTTATATAGTCTCTATCTCAAACCGAAATGAAAACTAAATGTTGTTATTTATTTTAATTTTCTTTATTATTATTTATTCTCTCTAAATTCTAAGGAAATTTATAATGATAAATTTCTTATTTAAATAGGTCTTACCTTACATTAAAATACCAATTAAATTTTAATTGATAATGAATGATTAACTCTTGTTGAAATTTAAGTCCTCTATCTAATCGAAAAGTGATCAAAATTTCCTTTCCCAGGTTTCCCCCTCAACTAAGAGCGAAATAATTCATGCACAGAAAATTAGATGACGAGAAGACTTTCAATTATTTTATCGCTCATTTTTAAAAATTGCTAACTATGTTTTTAATTATTTTCTTATGACTATTATTTACTTTATGATGCTTAGTTAGCCTCTCCTTCTTTTCTATTCTCATTTTTCAATTTTAACTCAGCACATAATAAATAATGCAACTAAATCAATGTCGATTAATTAGATTAGTTTAGTGCAAAGGCCGAGATACTGTATTTATCGCGAAGAGCTTGAATCGTTTGTATCACTAAACACTGCTATCTATAATTGCATAACTACAAAAACTCTATGCATTATTTGTTACAAATATTATTTCGAAATTGCTTTGAAATGAGAGTAAGTCGAACTATAATGTATATAAGTTGAAATGAAATGTTCATAAATCAAAGGTTACTGAGTGTTTATAAGACTTCATTTTAAAAAGAGTACCAATATACATACAAAGCTGGACTAAAATATATAAATGTTTAATGAGTGAGCGAAGCAATCCGAAATCAACTAAGAAGATTGTTCCGGGGTTTGACAATTTACATAAAATATGTAATTGAGAGCTCAAATATTATTACAAGAACTCAGAAGTCTCATTTCTTTTATTAATTTTTTCAATAACAGAATGCACTCGATTAAATACAGAGTGGAAGCTGTGGGATTCATCACAAAATAGTTGTTGGTAACAAAAACTGTAAAACAGTTTGATTTGAGTATCAAGCAAGAGAAAGATATATATTGGATTAGGACTGTTTAAATATTACGTAAGCACCTTACGGAGTGAGGATTAGTGATTCTTTTATATTGCTGACACGGTGGCAAGAGGGGTATGAGCAATGTTTACGTAAGACATTAAATCATCTTATTTAAAAAAAAATTTTAATGTGAAAAAATAAATAAATAATAATAATAATGAATAAAAATTGTGACAAAAAAAACTTGGGAAAATTTACGTGTGTGAAAATATGTAAATTTCTAACTTTGGAACAGAAAATGTTAGAAAAAGAATTTCTTTAGGTTTCAGAGATCAAGAGTTTTAACCACGGAATGAAAACTGTATGATTCCTATAGAATATTCTACTCAAAATCTTACAAAATGAATTGGAAGATAAATTTCATTTTAAACAAAATTGCATCACTTATTTAAAATTATTCTTAAAATTATATTACTACTTTTAAAGTCAAAATTGAAACAAAAAACAAAGGGTGTTGCGACTTAACCATGGGCGAGGTTGGGAGTAGTATCACTTATTTTTGTTGACAAGGAGGAAAGAGTAGTCCAAAATTGTCAAAAAATATTTGAATGACCTCTTAATATAACATTGAATAATGTAACACTAAATATTTTTTTCTCCTGCATCTACAATATTATAATAGTTATATTAAATAACGTGTCTATCTCTGTACTTACTAAAAACTCTTTTTTTTAAAAAATTTATTCATCTTTTTTTGCTTCTGTGATTTGTCTTAGATGAATTCTCTGAAAATGTAAAAAATATGAAAAAACCATATTTGCATTTATAAAATCATATATCATATTGAATTTATCAGGAAACTTCGTAAGCTAAACAGAACTATGGAATAGTAGTCCGCAATTAAATAGTGGTGTATAGACCTTAACTAATTTCGTCTTGTATGATGGAAATTATGCATTGAGTGTCCACTTTATTATGGGTTTACCATAGTCCGGCTACTTTTTTGTTTTAATACATCTATGGTTCTAGATGACAAGATGCCTCTTTCAACTTTATTCCACAAATATGCTTAATAGGATTTAGATCGGAAAAATTAATGGGGCAAAAATAAAGTCTCCATCATGTTCCATCATGTTGTAAGTAAGTACCTCTTGCCTTCGGGGTGAAACATTAGAATTACAGGATGTAGATGATCAACAATCATTTTAAGGTATAATGTTGTATTCAGACTACCATTTACACGAAATTAAGGTCCTCTAGCCACTACACTCTGAAGTAATAGTTCATTTGCTGTTTGGTGGTCATAATAAATTGACTACTTAGGGTATCAGATTTAGGAAGGAATTCTTCACTTTGCTTCCTTTCCTTCAGATAGAAATTAATTAGCTGGTCTACTAAATTTTCATGGTAACGGTAGTTACACAAAATTGAATAAATAAAATTAAAAAACAACAACAAATAAATGAAAAATAATTAAAATAATTAATTAAAATTCAATTTTAAGTCTTCATGATTGTGAAAGGATAATTGATTGACTTTGAAGTTTAATGGCTAGTGACACAAAAACGGCTAAATTGCCAGAAGTAAAAGACTATTGTGAAAGCATAGCTGCACTAAAATCAAAGATATTTTCCCCTCAGGATAATTGATTCAAGCAATGTTATAATCTAAACCTGCCATTGAAACAAACTAGGAAAGAAGACATAATAAACAAAATCAAAGGAGAAAAGATAACAAGGCTAATTTGATGTATGGATACGTATGAATGGATGCGTATTTAGATGGAAAAAATTTATATTGTTGATTTAAATATTGTTGATTCGAGTGATTTCAACCAACAGCCATCGAGTTCTTGAAAACTCAAGTTACAGTAGTTTCACACAAATATAATATTTTCCTCTAACAATTTATGTTTCACAGCTTGATTAATTATTTGTAATTTTTTAACTTTTCATAAGATCCTTTAGCTGAAAGAAATTCAATCAAACTGAAAGTTATTGTACTGTAAGTGAACATCATTTTGCTGTTGTATTTTACAGATAAAAACCTGAAAACGTTCTGCTGATCACCGTCGTCCCGAACCAGCTTAATCATGCCGAGAAAATTCGAAGAACCAAGTGATGATCCTGACCCAGCCGAATTCTTGTTCGTCTCTTTGGAACAAAAGAGAAAAGACCAAACTAAGCCATACGATGGCAAGAAGATGGTATGGGTGCCGGATGACAAAGAAGGCTTCGTTCTTGGAAACATTGTTTCAACGAAAGGTGATATGTGCACTGTCGATGTTAAAGGAGACGAGGTAAGTAAGTCTTTGATCACCAAGAATGTAAACATTGATTTAAGGTATAATTAAACACATTAATAGGACACACACACACACTACCGATTGAGAGCCCGGGAACATGTTTTTTTTTAAGCTGTGTTAATTTCTAAACTGTTATTTAACGTCACAGTGGTCATGTAGAACACAGAAAATACTTTTGATTAGAAAAATAAAATAAACAAACTTTTCCATGAATTTTTTTAGAAATACATGGAATTGTTGTGTGTTTCTTTAAAATCATTGTCTTGAAAGATTTGAAAATATGATCAATCATTGCATTGCCAAAAGTAAAAAGCTTTTTTTATGTTACTCTTTTTAAAATCACATTGAAAATAAATATTTAGCTTTTATTTAAAAGTCTCAGAAGTCTTCAATATCACTTTTTTTTAAAAAAAAAAAAACATAAAACAGACAATTTACGATATTCTTGGTTTATTCTTTTTTTAGAAAAAAATGCTCTTCTTTTCGAGGAAGAAAGGTTTTAAGTTTATTTTATATGTATAAAAATAATATTTATGGTGTTCACCAACAAAATGCCGATCTTTTAATAACGAGCGTCGTTTAAAAATATCCCATATACGAACTTTCAATTGGTAGCATGCATCTTTTAATTAATGAGTAGCACATATAGTTTTAATACACTGCTTTACTTCATTTGGTCATTTCTGAGACATTTTACAAAATGAGTTTTTGTTCGTACCGTATTTAGTTTAAGAATTTAATTCTTCCTCATCATCTCGGTGACGCATAAGGCTCTCAGTCTTGTTTTCCGCTATCTTGTCAACTGTAACCACTCTTCCTTTTTGCCGACTAGACAATTTAGTTCAATATACATTACTTGAAAAGTTTTAAAGAGTTTTTTCGAGATATTATTCGAACGCTAAGTCAATTTTATTGAATTTGACTATAATTGAATAAAATTAAGTGAATTTTACTTCATTTACGCAGGGCATTATCAAAAGTTTTTTAAACTAAATAATTTTACTGTTATTTTCTTTTATAAAATATATTTCGAAGTTAAAATTTAAAAAATATAAAACATTTTGCACCTTATACATATAGATATACCAGTATTATGAAATAAAAAAAATATCATAAGAGTTAAACTTTTTTAAAATATCTTGAAAGAAGTTACTTTTAAACAAAATAAAAGATCAATATATCTTTATGTTAAGTTAAATTTTTCTTAGATTCAAGTTAACTAAATAAATTGAAAGCTACAAAGTTCAGTATTATTTGTGATATAATTACTCTACCAAGCCTAAATAAAAATACATCAGCATTTTATTATAAAGACAAATTTCTTAGTATATTGAGCACTGTAAGTGCTCAATATACTAATATACTCAATATACTTAATCTAAGCAATATTTTAAAATAATCATTAAGCGTATCTTCTCATGGATATGATTATATGTAATAATTTTGTTGTATTTATAATTTTAAACGAAAAAGAACGTAATAAAAAAATGTTTGCATAAGCTAGCATTACTTATTTTACTGTAATTCTACATTATGAGAAAAACTGGTTAAATGTTCAACCATAATATCGTGCAATGGTGCTTCGATCTTAGCGTTAAGCTTAACCACATTTCAGTTAAGTTGAGCCATAGTATTGTGCAATTAAATTCAAAAGGCATGATAATATGTTCCAATTTGGTATCATATTAAGGTTACAGCATATTTGAATGATATTATATTTCAGTGTGTACGAAAATTTCTAGCAGTGTATTCAAAGCACCGATTCCTTAACTTAAATTTCAAGTGCCAACAGCTAACTGTTATTAAAAACCCATTAATTTTTGCGAATGGTTGATGAATTTTTATATTGCACTGTTTGAGTAAATAATATTATAAAAGTACTTTGAACTGTTTCCTTATTGTTTTTTGCTTCTTATTTGTTTTCTTATGAATTGATGTGTCAATTTTTCAACTTATCGCTATCTGTAGCGAACATTGAAAAAAGAACAACTTCAACAAGTGAATCCCCCAAAGTTTGAAAAATGCGATGATGTGTCATCTTTAACGTACTTGAACGAAGCAAGTGTTTTGCACAACCTCAGGGATAGATACTACATTAATCTTATTTATGTAAGTAAAAAAGAAGGAAAACATTGTGGACAATAACTATTAAGTGAGAAGCTTGCAGCAAAATAGCATATTTTTTGCTTCACAAATGCTTATGAAATGCTCACAAATGCTTATAAAAACGAATGATTTTTACCCCACTGAAATTATTCTGCGAACGTGGAGCTGTTGGTAATAAAAAATTTTACATTACACCACAATGTTTTCTTTCAAATTTTTTCTTCCTTTTGATTTTAATTGTCTATTTTCTTATCCTACTTATCAGAAACAAGTGAAAAAAGAACACCTTCAGCAAGTAAACCCTCCTAAATATGAAAAAACCGAAGATATGTCCAATCTTACTTATCTTAATGACCCTAGTGTCCTTTACAACTTAAAAGAAAGATACTATGCCAAACTCATCTACGTAAGTATCGCTTTAGAAAGCATGACTGCTAACCATTAACAATTTTTAAAAAATTATTTTAGTATTTTTGCCTAACTTGAATAACAATATATTGAATAATCAAGTATATATTTTTACTTCAAATGATTTTGAATTTCATTTCATATTTAAATCTTTTTTAAAAAGATTCTTTTTTAGTTTTTGATATTTGATTATTTGTTCCCTATAGTGCTTCCCATAAAATTGAATTTTTGCTATATTTTTGATGTTATATACTTTCCCGTATATTTTACCTTTTTTTAGTGCTTCCCAGAGAAATATATTTTTGTTTTGCTTTTTTGAAACATACTCATCTTGTTTTTATCTGCGGAGAAGAGTTGGCATACATATCGATATCGTGGATTTACATCAAGGAATTTTGATTAAATTACTACAAACAACCAAAACTGCACATTTTCTCAAAAGTTTTATTTCTATATAATCTCAATTGAGCTTTTTCTTTCTTTATAATTATAAGTGTATTATTGTTATGGAGTTAGATCTTTTTACTAGAAGTGTTTCATTCGCAATAGTTTAAATAAATGACATGTTTTCCTCGAAAATATTTTTATTTTTTCAGATTTATTAATTTATATCAGTCTTATAATTTTTTTGTTAAATTATAAAACAAACATTTTTATTCAAAGTTTTACACATTTTATTAAAGTTAATTAAATTGTAAATATTGTTTTAAATTTTTATTAAATATTCCTTATATTTATATTGCAGGTTTTGTTGTGTGCAAAAACTTATTAATTAAAATATCGTTTTCATGGCTAGTGGTGTATATCAGCAGCCCAATGGCTTTTAATTCAGACTGTACGTTGGAATCATTAAAGATCCAGAATATTTTTTAAACAATTTTTAACAAAAATGGTCATAACTTTTTATCGATACTGCTTAATAAAAAGAGTTTGTCCTTTTTTTTACTTTTTTTTTAAAAATTCATTTCATCTAATTTGTTTATAAACTGACAAACACTTTTCATGATATTCAATTTATCTAAAGTTCAAAAGCTAAATATGTAAATTAATGGTATGTGAATGTGTCGTATTCTATATAATAATAAAATTTTAAAATTGAAAATTAGAAAACGATTTTAAAAGTTGTCATTAACGAATTCGTTTTAGTAAATAAATTGTATTCATTTTCTTACCGTAAAGTATTAGTTTCAATTTAAAAATAGCACATCTAGCCACTTTTTTGGTTTTTAAAATATTTTAAGTTTTTACCTGAGAGTTAACTGATCGCTGAAGGCGAAATTTGAGAGCTAACTTTATTATATTTCGAAGAGAATATGAATGTAGAGTTTCATTGTAATTTAATACTAAGAACTGATCGTCTTAAATTAATAAATTAAAAATTTTCCTCCTTTTTGTAAGCAATTAAAATTTAGCTTTTAAGTATTAATCTATTTTCATTTTCAGATAATTTTCTTAAATTGTTTCTAGTAAATGTAAATATATTTTAAAGATTTCCAAGATAATTCCTTAAACTCCTTACATAGAAACTTTATTTTGTAAAATTGTTTGACAATATACTATTTGAACTTATAATTTTAACGAGATACTATTTGAACTTATACTTTCATGATACTTCTTTTTGAATACATTATTGAAGGACTTTAAGATCAATATTTTCTAAGAATTAGTTTTCTAACAGCAGAGGAATCTCTAATATTTATCGAATAAATTCTATTTAAGTTTTAATTGACTCAATCAAATTTATCATATATTTTTGTAAACATTATTTTTTGGTCTTCATTTTTACTAACAGACGTATTCCGGCTTGTTCTGCGTTGCAATCAATCCTTACAAGCGATTTCCTATTTACACAAACCGTGTAGTTCAAATGTATAAAGGCAAGCGACGAGGAGAAATGCCACCACACATATTTGCCGTCTCAGATGGTTCTTACAACGACATGTTACAAAGTAAGTAATGAGTATAATAATTGCTTACAGTAATTTAATAATATGTTTTCTTTTTAAAATTTTTTACAAGTTTATTACAATATTGTTTCTTTTTTTCTTCCAGATCGAGAAAACCAGTCTATGTTAATTACGTAAGTGATCTTATGTTTGCGTTCTTTTTGTTTGAATTATTATTTTTTCAAATCATTATATATAGGTGAAAATAAAGGACTAATAATCATCATTTTAAATAAAATATGCTAAATAGTTTATGGTTTAAAAAATTTCTCCCATAATGGAGAATAAATGAACTACATGTTTTGGTTATTATAATTTTTCATTGGAGTAAATCCACTTAAAGTTTACTCTTAGTTAGAAAAAAAATCTACTGCAATCTGCTGTAGGCACGTATATATGACTTAAAACGATACTTATTAAGTTAAAATGGGTAAATATTTATATCTGATTTGAAGAAATGAGTGGAAGAAAATTCTAAGTCTGAACCTTCAAGACTGGGGGAAAAATTGAACTTTATATGCTCATTTCTTTAATTTTTGTTGAAATAATATTTTTTCTACATGAGTGTGTGTAAAATCTCCTCAATCTCCCGACAGTAGGGTATTAGGATGCTTGAACTTTCCCCTGGCACCATCCTTGTTATTATCTTCGGTATGTTCATAAGTAATATAAAGAAAACGTATAGTTTGTCTACGGAAAGAACTCCTTTCGCCATTCGTCTGGAGCAGTGGTGGTGGCCAAGGTTACAAGGTTTAACTATTTCAAGTAGGGGCGCTGTTTTTAACTTGGGTCGACGAGATAAAGGAAATCAAAGAAGAGTTGAAATGCGCCATTTTTTGCTTTTTTTCCATAACAGCAGGCGGCTTTAGATTTAGAGGCGAGGGGAGTTTTTTCCATAGATAAACTGTATGTATGATCTGCGCAAACTTATATTGAGAGCCTAGATTGTTTTGTTGTAACAGGTGAACAGAACAAACGTACATCAACGTAAGGGATACTGTGTGAGACTGTCAAATCTCTCTCATTTTTAATAAGTACATTAGCTAAATTAGGTTCTTTTATTCTACAGAGGAGAATCTGGTGCTGGTAAAACGGAAAATACCAAGAAAGTTATTGCTTATTTTGCAAACGTGGGAGCTGCTTCTTCGAAATCTGCCAAAGACAAGAAAGACGCGTCTAAAAAGGTAAATTAGACACTAGAATTTACTAGCCTATTTTATCAATCATTCATTTTAAGAATTAGAATATCTTGCACACATTTGATAACAAATTATAATTAGCTTTATTTATTTAATTTTAAAAATAAGAATGTTTAAGATTTCTATTAACTTTTCATATATTGTTGGAAAATTCTAACAAGTACTTTAAAGTAACTAAAATGCTTAGAACTATTATGTTTAGTAAAGGGATCATGGATTAAAGATCCCTAAATAAAAAAAAGCAAGTTTTGTACATATTTTTATAAAAACATTACATCATGGGTATCTCTTTTTAATAAAATAGGGCAACTTAGAAGATCAAGTCATTCAAACTAATCCAGTTCTGGAAGCTTTTGGTAACGCTAAGACTGTGAGAAATGACAACTCTTCCAGATTTGTGAGTATATTTCAAATGCTTTTATGTAAAACACTTTTAGCAAAAGTATTTTTTTTTAAATAATTTTCAGTAAAAAAATTTTTTAACAAGTGTTTCTTATATTTAAAAATTTTTGTAAAAAAGGAGCAATTACAATTTATAAAACAAAGTTTAAACATATTTTTCAAAAAAAAAATAATGGTCTAAGTGTAATAAAAAATTTAACCTCATGCATGTTTTAAAGTAATATTTCCTTTTATTCCAGGGTAAATTTATTCGAATTCATTTTGGACCAATGGGGAAACTTGCTGGTGCAGATATCGAAACATGTAAGGCTATGTTGCTAGTTTTAAGATTTTACTTTGCATATTCCAATTAAAATTCATTTAATATACGTATACATGAATGTTCCTAGATTAAATCTTAATACTTTAATTTTTTATTTCATTCAATACTCTAGATTTACTTGAAAAAGCTCGTGTGATATCTCAACAACCATTGGAACGTTCTTATCATATATTTTACCAAATCATGTCAGGAAAAATCAAAAAGTTAAAAGGTAAGCATTTTATTTGAAACGTTATGAAAAAAAATACATTTTTAAATCAATTTTAAAGTAATGACTGCAAAATTGATTATCTTTAATAATGTAGGGACTATGTGAGAAGTAATTTACGCATTTAATCAAAACCATTATTTTTTTGCTTTGACAAGCAGTTAAGGTTATTTACTTTATTGTTATTTATTTTGGAAATGACATAATTTCAAAACAGTATTTTTAAATATCAGTAAAATATAGCAAAGCAGAATTTGGAGGTCATTATTACTTTTTTTTTGTTTAATAAAATTTTTTTTTCTTCAAAAATTTCGATGAAGAGATTTTTTTTTTAAAATATCTGTTTCGTATTTTGCTATGAATTCTGCATTATAATTTGCGTTCATGATATTTTTATACAATTTGATTGGAGATATGCTTTTATTCTAAAACGTGTGTATAGATAATACGTAATTTGTCATTAGGTTTTGTATACGCATTTCTTTAGTTTGCATAATGTGATTAAGAATTGTGCAAATACTTTAAGTGTGAAAATAAATGTATCTGCTTTAGTTTATAGCTCTAGAGATAATGAGATATGTTTTAATATTCAAATTAATTTCATAAAATAACTTATTAAAAATATATTTTCCCTCAATCAACCTGTAATCCTTAAACATAACCAGGCATTAATTATTTATGTCTCCTTAAGTCGTATATATTTGTTATTATTTATTTCATATTATAAGTAATGAAAACCAGGGCTTTGAGTTAAAAAAAAATAAAAACTGTTCAAAAAAAAAAAAAAAAAAAAAAAAAAAAAAAAGAAAAGAAAAGAAAATTTAAGATATAAGTTTGTATAAAATGATATATCGGAATTACTAAACTTAAACCAAAAAGAAATAAATGTTTATAAACAGTAAAGGATATAAATGGACATAAATACCTTTTATAAACATTAATAGGAACATTAGTTAGTATACTCAGAAGGACAAATAATAAGAAACATAAAAGAGTTATGCTATGGCTATTTCGGGAAAAACAGTATCTTACAATTTAATTATACACTGATATTAAATGCATATAGGTTGCTTCGTAATCACCATCATCAATACATACTTCAAAAATTCTTATCAAAAATGAAGTAAGAAATACTTAGTAAGGAAATTAATATTTCGGCGAGGGAGGAAAAATTAAAAAGAAAATCCTTATCAAAGGAACAGGGAAGTAGGCATGAAAGTCAGTAAAAAAATTTTTATTAAAGGAGGAATCTGAGAAAAGGTGAATGGCAATTTTTCGAAATACCTTCAAGTTTCACTGGGCAATCAAACCAGTTTTGATATTATTTTATCCAGCTTTTCCAAACAGTGATTCGTGATATTTTGATAATGATTGGTTTATGTTTCATTCCTCGTAGAAAAATTATTTTACCACACCAAATGTAAATACTTTTCAGCTTTATTTTTTTTAAGGATTTTTAGAGTTCATTAATGGTGGTGATGAAGGAACGACCTGCGTAAGCATATTATATCCACCACTATGTGTTTAAGCAATTTCCTAAATCAGAATCGGCATTCCTTTCTATTCTTGTTAAAGTGACTTATGTTCAAAATGTTAAATGAATTTATAGTCTGCCTATGGAAAGAACTCCCTTCGCCATTCGTCTGAAGCAATGGCGGTGACTACGGGTACAAGGTTTTAGTTTTTCGAGTAGGGGAGTTAGATCAATATTTAAGACAGGTTTTGACTCAGGTCATCGAGAAAAAGATAATCAGGGACGAGAGAAGTCATCCTATTTGAAATGCTCTATTTCTTGTTTACACAGCAGGTGTGGCAAGGTGAGTTCTTTCTATAAACAAACTATATTATTTTGTGTATAATGATGTATAACTACTGAGTACTATGATCATGTACAATGCGCAAAATAAAGAACGATCAGCCTGAATGACTTTTGATCTAATTATCGGATCTTCATGATCGATGACTCAATTTTAATGGTTCGAGGGGGTGACCTCAAATATGTTAATTAATGTGCAGACGATATTTTAAGTTACGAAATCAGACACAAGAACGTACTTTCCCTAAATAAACATACACTTTCATCGACAGATTCGGATTTCTGATCCCCAAAATATAGGGAGTATCCGCAATCTGGGAAATATGGCTCTCAAAGTTTGGTCAGAAGAGTGGTCCAAAGTTCGGACACTTTAATGTTAATTTTAATTTGTGCGTATTTCGCCATAACTCGAGAGATTTCAAAGGAGATTAAAAATTTTAGCACACAATTATGAAAAGTAGTTAATATTTAGTATTGATTATTTTAGTTAGTATTTATTATTTTTTATCATTTTATTTAATTACAGTCGAAAAATTTTTGATGGTAGGTCATAAATTTTTTTTTTTACATAATTTCAAAGAATATAATTTTAGATGGCAAAATACAAAATTTGAGTAGAATCGGTCGAATAGTTCCGAAGAAATTGAATTTTAAAGAAGCTCTTTTTTTTTTCTTCTCTCAAAATTCGATTTCTGAGAAACTATTTAACCAATTCCACTCAAATTTTGTATTTTGCCATGTAAAATTATATTCTTCAAAATAATGTAAAACATTTAAGCATTTTTTGACAAAAAGTTTTCGAATATAATTAAATAAAAGAATAAAAAATAATAAATATTTACTAAAAGTTATTTTTTGCATGAAATTATCTTTGGTTAAACGAATTAAATAATTGCGTGCAAAAATGGTTCAATTCGTTTATAAGGTTCTCGAGATATGGCGAAATACACATAAATTGAACAGAATATTAAAGGGTCCAAACTTTGGACCACTCTCCAGACCAAACTTTAGGGACCATAGTTCCCAGATTGCGGCTACCCCTATAATTTGGGGGTCAGAAATCCGAATCCATTGAAGAAAAGGTATGTTTATTCAGAGAAAGTATTTCTGTGTCTGATTTCGTAACTTAAAATATCGTTTGCACTAATTAATTAGCATATTTGAAGCCATCCTTACGAGCCATTAAGATTCAGTCCTAAAATGTTAAGAACTGATCGTTAAATTAAAAGTTATTCAAGGTGACTATTTTTTATTTTGCGCAATGTATATCAACGCAAATTTTGAATCAGAAGTCAATTGTCTTCGTTTATTACTGTAAATTCATTTTTTTTCGGTCTATTGTTAAAAAAAAATAGTTTCAGCCTAAGCGCATTAATCGAGCTTTTTTCTTGTAGCTCTCAATGCTTGTGCTTTCTTTCTTTCCTTTATTAATTCTTGCTTAATTTTGATGAAATAGAAAATCTGCTGCTGAGTGATGACATTCACGATTACCATTTCGTATCACAAGGTAAAATTGATATACCAGGGGTTGACGACGCTGAAGAAATGGGCTTAACTGATGTGAGTAAATCAACATGTAAAAGTAATCGGTAGAATAGAAATCTCCCAAATCATCTGATCCTTGATTCCCTACCCTTAGTCCAAGAATCTACCCTTTTATGTTTAAATTACACTTTTAATTTGTGTAAAAAAAAGATTCCCATTCCCAAAGAAAGTATCCTCCCTCCTTTGTTCCACTTTCAAAAATCCTCAATGCATTAGAATTGATCAATCACGAAGAATTACTTAGATTGTTGTTACTGATGCATGTTTATCAGACTGTCTGTCCTTTAAGTATTAACTTTCTCTCTCTCTAAATCTCTTCTAATCTTTTCTCATTTTTCTGCAAAATAGCAAAAAATATTTTTACTGCTGCAGTTATCGCCAGATCAACTAAATCGCTCTTTAGCTTAACAAGGGTCTGTTTCCTTTTTAGTGGTGGACTAATCATATCAAAGTTAAATAATTCCTTTTAAACTCACAACAGTCATTTTTAAATGGAGCATTTAATTACTTTTTGAAACAGTTTTCCTACTTTCGTAATTTTTTTTAAATCAACGTTACCGAGTTATATGAAAATAATAAACGTTACTGAGTTTTTCATACTATCTAATTAATTTAGGTTCAGTTCACCACTGCTGCATATAATGCTGCTCAGCTGTAAAGCTCTAAAAGCTAGAAAACAATCAGAAAATTAAAAAAGAAAGAAAAAAGAAGTAAATCCTCTGTGTTTTTCTTAATGCATTTATGAAATTTGCTGTTCATAAATTTTATTAACTCTAAATAGAAATTATTTTCGTAAAACAAAAGTTTTGGATTTCATGAACAAAGTGTAACTTTATTTTAAAAACGAAGTGCTTTATTTGAAGCTCTTGACTGCTAAAAGAGTCTAATATTTGATGCTATAAATTAAAAGATTTTATTGTTTCTAAAACTATTCCGTATCACTTCTGTGTTTAGTTTAATAAACCACTAACTTCTTAAATAATCACTAGAGTGCACTTTTCATGCATGCTTTCCTTTCCATGTGGTTCCATTCCTAGTTGATTAGTCACTTTCCCCTTAATCCCTTTTAGAAAAAGTTCTTCTTTCCAACAATGTCCGAGATTATCATTTTGTGTCTCAAGGTAAAACCGATATCGAAGGAGTAGATGATGGTGAAGATATGTTAGTAACTGACGTAAGTATCATTTACATTAAAAAAAAAAATATTGTGATGTTGTCCACAGGTCAGTATGAAAATTATTAACCACAAGGAAATTCTTATCACCAAACGAAAATTTCAGAGAGCTCAGAATTAAATATTTACTAATTAAATATTGACTAATTAAATAATTAACCTAATTATAAAATTTAATAATTATGATATTGTAACACTTAAAAACACTTTCATGAAATAATATTTTCAGGAAATAAGTACTGCCTGATTATAATGGAATATTTTCTATAATGGAATATTTTCTATACGTCAGAAACATTTTTAAAAAAAAAAATTCAAACACCTTTTAAACCTAAGTTTTTTTCACATTCTAAGTTTTAAATCACATTGTGATAAATATTTTTAGAATTCATTTTAGAAATAAATTATTGAAACGTATATATTACAGGTTTTTAATCACTGTTCAAGTGTGAAATGCTCGTTTTCAAATGATGAAAATTTATTTTCGAGGTCAATGACAGCAAAGATGCCATTAAACGTATCAAAATCAGTTCATTTGACGGATGAAACTAAAAGGAGCTTCTGAAAGCATCTAATGGATAGTATAATTATTAAAAGTGCGTTTCAATTTTATCCGACAGAAAAATCGTTCTGAAACGTATATAGAAACACTCACAGATTCTCGAGCCATGGGAGCACAGCTTCTAGTTAGAAACAAAGTAAAAGTTGTTTTTATTATGCTGTCATAAACTAATTTGAATTTTCGCAATGTGATAACGACATTCATTACAATGAAACAAAATTACTCGTCGAAATGACCTTGACCTGAAATTTAGTTTAGAGAGGCCTTTAGTGTTAGCTAAAGGAAATAGATAGTTTATCACCGAATTTATTGATATGTTTATGTTAGGGCTCTATCCCTTACTCAGAGTCAACTAACTAAAGGAAATAAGCTTTCTGGTCAGTAAGGAAACTGCTTATTGCGTCACTCGATCATTTTCCCTCTAACCAAGTTGAGTTGGCCAAGCAATGTGTTATTAGTTGCTAATTTTGTTGTTTCCGTCCAGTTTTTCTCAATTGCTGTAGTTGTAGTTAATTTACGTCGCAGTAGAGCTGCACAATGGGCTATTGGCGACGGTCCGAGAAACATCCCTGAGGGAGATCCGAAGACATGCCATCACAATTTTGATCCTCTGCAGAGGGGATGGCACCCTCGCTTCGGTAGCCCGACGACCTGCGCGCAAAGTCGAGCACTTTACGGTAGAACAGTTTAAAGAGGACCAATACCGCACACCCTCAGTCCCTACGCAGACTGATCCAAGTGAATCACCCTCCCGCACACTGACCGCTGTCAGTGATGCTTAACTTCGGTGATCTGCTGGGAACCGTGTCTTAACGATCAGTCCACTGCGGGACCCCAATTAGTAAAGGAGTTTGATTAAAGAACAATGTAATCTAATCCAATCTAAAGGAAAAAAATACCAAATGGACCAAATATTTATTAACTAATCAGATAGTATCTGCGCAATTTGCAAAATTATGCAAGTAGCAAAGAATCTTAAAAATATTTAATTCTATAGGCTTTTCTAAGCACATATTAGAACGTTCAGAAATAGGCAGCCTATAGCGTCAAGAAAGAAAACAATCAATCAATCAATTGCAGAAGTAAACATATCGGGTGAAGAACATAAATCGTTTAAAATCTTCGTATCTCTTTCTATTTCAATTTAACAAAACTTTATTCATTATTCTAAATTATTCTTCAGACTTTAAGCCTTTTAAATTACATATATTTATCATTTAATATCAATTTGATTAACCTCTGGGAAGGACATTGAATTTATATATAAAGTTTTGCGGAGATGAATTCAAACGTAATGTAAGTGCTGCATTTGACGTATAACTTTTTATAAAAGCATAACTTTTCCTTTCAGTTTATCTAAAAATGTTACAATAAAATCCACTTTTAAATGTTATTTTGATAACTGAAAAATACATTGTAGAATTAAGCTTTACAATATATTTTTATTTTTCCAAATGATTATCTATGCTCTCACCAATAGTACAGTGCGTCAAAATCATGTTTCGGGTTAAAATCATTTGGAAAAATATAGAAATAAGCTGGCAAACATTTTTTAACTTTAAATTCATATTTTCTTTGAAAAATTTAAATTCTTCGTATTTTCTATGAGAAATTTACCTATTAATAAATTATCCAGAAAGTGTTTTAAAATAATTAATTCAATGAAAAATAGTATTTTGAAGTAAAAAATTTTATGTTTTAATGATTCTTTGATAATAATTCTACAAAAGGTAATTTTTAAATTCTTTTTTTTTCCCAAATCGATAAATAATCGATTTTGTAATAGAAATATTTTTATGCTTTAATTATTTTTATATTTCTCTTTAGTTAATTGTTAAATAAAATGCTATAACCATATTTTTTGGATTACAAAGTGTTTTAAAACAACAGTATCTAAGATATTTTAAATTTAAAAGCTTATTTTATCAAATTTCTTTTAGAAAATATAACTTCAAAGTTTTCTTATGTTCTATGATCAAGTCACTAAAGCCGTAATTGGTTAAAGTTATTTAATTTGAAATCATACTTTATATTGAGTGAAATAATTTTATGATCTAATTTTTTTTATTTATCTTGACAAAATTTCTTTTATCTTAACAAAATGTATTCTGGTAAGATTTCTGCTTAATTTTTTTTTAAACATTTGTTAATTTTAAACTTTATATTAATTTAATTTATTTCTAATATTTTAACATCTTTGTGCATTAAAATTCAAAAGCTATGCTAAAGACTGGGTCCGTTAAGTAAAAATTAATACCAGCATCTAATTTCCTAGTTCGTCACCTTGAACAAAATGAGGAGTTATGCATATAATTTGATTTGTATCAACTTCTCCAATTTGTTTGTTGAGCCAATAAGCTCAGTTTGACAGTATTATGATTACCTGTTAAATTACTCTTTTGTGAAATATCATTTAATTACAATTTTATTTTACAATTGATTGGATTTTTTTTAAAATTTACTAAATGTATTAATAATTTACTTGTTATAAGTTCTCTTTAAATAAATGAAATAGTTAAATAAAGATAAAGATTATAAACTTTAAAGATTATCTATTACTTTATTTTCTTGAACTTTATAAAATAAACTTTATTTTTTTTAATGATTGTTTAGATTTCTTTTTTGAATTTCATACTAACTTATTCATTATTTTGCTTAGAATGGTTTTGATGTGTTGGGCTTCACTGATGAAGAGAAACTCAATATTTACAAAATTACTGCATCAGTCATGCATTTGGGAGAGTTGCACTTTAAACAAAGACCTCGTGAAGAGCAAGCTGAAGCTGATGGAACTGAAGCTGGAGAAAAAGTTGCACATTTATTAGGCCTCAATGCTGCTGATATGTATAAAAACTTGCTTAAGCCAAAAATCAGAGTTGGAAATGAATTGGTTACTCAAGGAAGAAACAAGGAACAGGTTAGCACTCAAAGGTTTTTTTTTATCTAAAGATAATTCCATGCAAAATTCGTTTTTAATAATTATTTATTATTTTATTTAATAATTGCCAAAAAAATTTGAATTGTGAGGCATATAAATTTTTACATAATTTTAAATAATGTAATTTTATATGTCAAAATGCAAAAATTTGTATCGCCACTAAAAAAACATGAAATGCACCCTGTGCCTTAAATTTGCTTGATTTTAAGCTGCCTTTCTGGTATTGGCAAGTGCCATTAGTGACAACATAAGTAACAACAACAAAATTTTTACAAAATTGGTCAAATAGTGCATGAGAAATTAAATTTTAAATATCTGACCTTTTTTAAAAATTTGATTTCTTGGAATCTATTTGATCGATTTTTTTCAGATTTTTTATTTGACCATATAAAATTACATTAAACTTATGAAAAAATTTGTTTACCATACAAATAAAAATTTTTTATACTATATATAGATTAAATAATAATAAATAATTGTTAAAAATTATTTTTACATGAAATTATTTTTGGATAAACAAGTTTTATAATTGTGTTCAAAACTTTTTCAATTTGCTTAGAAAATTCTTGAGATATGGTGAAATACCCAAAAATTAGCATTAAGTCGTTCACACTTTCAATAGCTCTCCCTACCAAACTGTTGAGACCATATTTCGCAGATTGTGGTAGCTCCCTATATTTTAGGGATCGGGAATCATAGAAAAAGACCTGTTTATTCAGAGAAAGTATGCTTTTGTGTCTGATTTTATTATTCAAAATATTGCCTAACTAATTAGCATATTTGAGATCACCCCCTGGAACCTTTAAAATTGAGTTCTAGTACGTGAAAATGCGATAACTAGATCAAAAGTTATTAATGTTGTTTCGTTTACTTTCTTGTGCACTGTAGGTACATCAATTGTTTTTAATTACAATGTAACCAAATAGTTGGAAGATCTATCATTGTTGTTTTACAAATGTTTTGTCTAGAAGTAAGTCAGATATTAAAAACTATCTAAGAACAGTAAGATTTTATAGCTAAACACAGTAGAGAGCTTAGATTTATGTTGCCTGATTGTAAAATCAATTAGGATTATTTTCATTACTTTTGAATGAATTAAGAAACATGATATATAAGGGTTTTTGTAACAAGGCTAATATAATAATTTGGCAATAGGTACATAATAAATCTCTAAACAGTTTGCATTGTTAACGGTTGTTGACAATTATAAAAATTTTAACCTAATTAGTCAAAGAACAAAGGACATTTTTAAAATGTAGTATTAAATAAAGTAGAACTTTATCTCATTATTTGTTAAAATTTTAGTAAAATGTTATTCTTACATGATTTATTTATTTTTGTAGAATGTTAATTTACGATTTTAAAACTATTTATGATTTTAAAACTAACTTAAAGTAAAATAATCAATTGTTACAAGTTTAAATGAGTATGTATATAAAATTTAATCTAGAAGTATTTTAAATCTAATAATCTTTAGCTTACATTTATCTATTATAAAAATGCTCTTTAGTTGTTTGTTGTTTTATTTATAACTTTAATAACTTATCTTAAAATAATTACTAATAAAACTGAAGTCATGAAAGCGTATATAATGTTTTAACAAATTAGTAACATATTTTCACTTATATTACATAACAGGTTGTTTATTCAGTGGGTGCTTTATCTAAGGCCATGTATGATAGGCTATTCAAATGGCTAGTAAAACGAGTAAATGAAACATTAGATACCAAGCAAAAGAGACAATATTTTATTGGTGTATTGGATATTGCTGGTTTTGAAATCTTTGATGTGAGTATCCATTTTTTAAAAAAAATTCAAACTAATAAGCTTGTATTTTTTTCTTTATGTTTTAATTTGCAGTTAATGTATTTCAAATTGCAAAAATGCATTAAAAAATAAAAGAAAAATGATATTTTCGAAACAAAATCCTTTTTACTGAAAATTATTCACTGAGAATAGTTGAATCAACTTTCTATAAATTATAAAGAAGAAAAAAAATTTTGAACCTCAAAATTTTCATTAATTTTTTTTGTTGAAATTAGGTAACAATATCAACATAACATATTTCATACATTTGAAAATAATATTGTAATAATTACATAATACAAGTTCACAAGATTAATAATTTTTCTTTTTTAAAATAGTGTATTCCTGGTAAATATAGAATTTTTTCCCTTAAGTTAAATTTGCTAATGTAAAGAAAGAAATTTTTGAATAATTTGGTCCTTTTGAATTTATCTACTTGAAAAGAACAGGTTTGTTTCTGTTATCAACTTAAATAATAATTCAAAAAATAGATCCTTTAAACTATATTATAAGTACTAGTTCATGAGGCAGAGTTTTATTCTGAATATGATCTCATTAAAATGATAATTAAGGCTGCTAATAGTACCATTTTTAAAAGTTATACCTTTAAGGTTTGCTATAAACTTTAATTTAAATGCTATATTTAATTTGCTTTTATATTTTACTTTTTCTGAATTATTTGAAATAAAAAAAATTGAAGAAAATTACTGTTTTTCTTATTTTTCAGTAACTTCTAAAAAAATGACAATGTAAATTTTGAAATAAAAATCATCACATCAAAATCATCAGTAAAAATTATCACATTTTTATTGAATTTCTAACATAGTTTAAATGTTTTTCTTTTTAAATTGAACTTTGCATAACGTAGCTCCTGCATTCAAACATCTTAAATATATTTTGATTAAGAAGCATATTAAATTTTGAATAATTTATGTTGAAAATAAATATAATCTATAAATCATTAAATATTATCGTTAAGTAATGTCTTTTGACATTAAATATATTTTATTTTATTAAGCTGAAGTTTTATTATATGATAAAATTTACACAATTATATAATGAATCCATTTGGACCGGATCTGAAATAATTTTTATGATATTTTAATCATTTTATGTTTACTTAGTTCAATAGCTTTGAGCAATTGTGCATCAACTTTACAAATGAAAAGTTGCAACAATTTTTCAATCATCACATGTTTGTTTTGGAACAAGAAGAATATAAGCGTGAAGGCATTGAATGGACTTTTATAGATTTTGGCTTGGATCTACAAGCTTGTATTGATCTAATTGAAAAGGTAGGGATTGTGTAAAAGAGCCTCAAGTGAATATTGACTTCGTTATGCTGATGCCTATTCACGTTAACAGTATTTTAATACTAATTATTTACGCTTTATCTATAGGAAAAGCATCCTTGTTGCTGCACTTAATTATGAAATTTTAAAGAGACAATTTTTTATAACGCTGCTGTCAATGTTTTGTGTTTTTTTAAAGCCAGTCATTTTTTGGGGTCATTTATGTGGCCAGCAACAAAATTATTTTGTATTTTAAGGTACATTTTTTTAATTACTGCTTTTTGCTTTTGTTATTATTTTCTTGCTTAATGCAGTATACACTTGCAGTTTAACAGTTTTGAGCAGCTTTGTATCAACTTTACAAATGAAAAATTGCAACAGTTCTTCAATCATCATATGTTTGTGTTAGAGCAAGAAGAATACAAGAAAGAAGGCATTGAATGGACTTTTATTGACTTTGGTCTTGATTTGCAAGCTTGTATTGAGCTCATAGAGAAGGTAATGAGCATGCTGCTTGCTTTGCTTTTAATTACCCCTTTCTCTGAAAAATCACAACCTTGCTTATGAAATCTGCATGTAATATATCTTTCTTTTTTAAATAATTAGTTAAACAAACTATGAGATTTGGTGATACTACGTGTGAAAAATCTTTTGAAATGTCTATTTTAACTCTATCATTTTTCTGTCTCTAGTTACTTCTGTTGTCAAGCCTTAAATAATACCCTGTCCTCTGTGACATTTATTTTCTTATTAACCAAAATATGAAACATATAAGTTTCTTTACAGCTATTCTAGAATAGCATGTTTCTCCTTAGTATCAGTTTAATAAATTGCCACTCGGAATTAATGTAAGAAGCCACCAGGGTCTGACTATGATTAAATTAGAGACATTAATACCATATCAGGGGTCTGTCCAGACATTTTGTGAAAGGTCCTGTTTTTTGTAGAATTGTGAAAAAATTACTCATAATTTGTGAATATAAAATAAACGTTAAATCACATTCTTTCGACCAGGGTCCTACTTTTGTGAATTTCTGCAAATATGGCCCTGTTATTCCAAAAAGCTTTTTCAAGGAGTTTTTAAATTGTAAATAGATACAAGATTATGGTCAACACTGTAAAATTATAATAAAAAAAATCAAATTTTCGAAAATAAACAGCAATTGCTGTTACTAAATTAGAGATGCAACATACAAATGTTTGGTATTTAGCCTATACTGCTGAACGCAGAATATTTATTTCGGACGAATAAAGGAAGAAGCGTCTGCCGAAGACAACTTAGTTCGTTTACATCTGTCTTTCTCCATCCTCCCGGGAAGTGTTTATTCGATTAACAAAACAATAATGAAGATAAACAAATTTGTGAAGGGTCTGGTTAAAAGATAAATTTTTTTGTGAAGGATCCGTTTTTAAGTTGAAATATTTTGTGAAGGGTCCCTTTTTATGAAAAGATATTTTGTGAAGGATCCGTTAACGGACCCCAATTTCTTCTAAACAGACCCCTGCCTATATATTATAGCCCATTTCATTTGAAAATACAAATTAGTATTGTAAAAAGTACTTAGCTTATTAGAAATGTTCAAACTGTTTCACATATTTTCAGATTTCATTTAAAATAGATTGTATTTTTGAATTATTTATATAGTTAAATACTGTAATTACTTACAATTGGTTATTTAGTAACCTTTTAAAAATTATTATTGGCATATTGTGCTTCAGCTGATAATCAGACCCTGAAGGCTTTGTATTTGTAAAAGTTCATTTTAAAAAATTATTTTGATTTTTTGTAAATACTTTTTCAGGAATTTTTACAAATTAATATGAATTTCCATAAGTATATAAATATGAATTTTTATTAATAATTATTTTGAAAGATGCTTAAATTACAAATATATTATCTTTTTAAAATGTATTGAAAATTAAAATTAAGGAGTCTGGCTACGATATAGTCGTTATCCTTAATCTACTTCTAAATCTGGAAATGAAGCAATTTATAATTTTAAACTTATCAGTAATTTTTTGATAACATGTTTTAGAAAACAATTACTAACTAAAATAAATTTATATTTTGCCATTATATATCTGAATATTTGAATTATTTTTAAATGTTTTTACTTCTTTTGAAATTTTGCAGGATCCTTAAAAAAATTTTTAGGACTACCTGGTAAAATTTAAAAAAATTTCATATGCAAAATTTTTAGGAGATATTCCAACTACATTACATTTAACACAAATCTCTATATTATTTATAGCCTATGGGTGTTCTATCAATCTTAGAGGAAGAATCCATGTTTCCTAAGGCAAGTGACAAGACTTTTGAAGAGAAACTGAAAACTAATCATCTTGGTAAATCTCCAAATTTTGTTAAACCGAAACCTCCTAAGCCTGGACAACAAGAAGCTCACTTTGCTATTGTTCACTATGCTGGAACAGTATGTTTTTGTGATTTTATTTATTTTCATGCTAAATTCTTTTGTATTTTTTTTTAGAAATGTAATTTTAAATTAATTCTATTTAGTATACTACTCATTTATATACAAATTTTAAATAATTTACATTTAAAATTACATTTAAAAGACTTTGTAATGCATTTTAACTCAGTATTTAGGCTCCAATAATTCGTAGTAAAATTTTTTTAAATTTTTGTTAAGTTGTTATGGTAACTTCTATTTCATTTAAGTTGGTTTTAATAAAATTTAAAAAAGTTATAGAATATTACTATTTTATAACTTTACAAAATAGTATAAATGGAATAATATCATTCTAATAATTTTTCTTCAACTTTGTAGAATAAATATATAATAATATTATGATTAATAATATTTAATTTTATTGTTCAAATTTATTTTTATAAAATTTATTTGGATGATTTACTTAATCACATTGTTAATATATTTCTTGCGAGTTACAGAGAGAGAGAGAGAGTTATGCTTTATAAAAGTAACTTGATATTGTATTTTATTTAATTTCTTATTTAGAAATGTTGTATTGTTGCAAGTAGTGTTGTCGATTCTTTTTAATTTTAACTTAAAAGAATCTATAATAGTATTCGATTCAAAATTCAAATAAATAAGAATGTTATTCTTCTAAGATAAGTTCATATAAAGATACACAATATCCNGCTTTATAAAAGTAACTTGATATTGTATTTAATTTAATTTCTTATTTAGAAATGTTGTATTATTGCAAGTAGTGTTGTCGATTCTTTTTAATTTTAACTTAAAAGAATCTATAATAGTGTTCGATTCAAAATTCAAATAAATAAGAATGTTATTCTTCTAAGATAAGTTCATATAAAGATACACAATATCCTCTGTACTTTCTAATATTATGTTTTGTTATTTTCGAAGTGCAGATTTTAGAATTTATCTTGTGCTTACTGAATTTGTTATTGTTTAGTGTGCAAATTCCTAAAGGAAAAAGTGTAAATAAAAAAGAATATTCGCAATCTTTGTATGAGTATAAAAATAAGAAGCAGCCTTTTCCTGGTCATTAAGGTAGGAGAAAATATACATCTTATTTGAAACTGTTTTTAAATGCTTCACTAAAGAGGTATCATCAATGCATAAAGATAAGAATTTCAAATCTGTGGAAAATAAACTTTCTATAGCTTAATACCTTTACCAACATTAGTCTTTTTAACAACTTTACTGATTACAGTTTTTTTTATGGACTTAATTTTTAAAAAAAACTTGCTTTGAGATTCCTACATTTTAGGAGGTTTCAGTTCAAAAATAGATACTTACTGTATTTCTGCACCAAAAATTAAGAAAAAATTCAAACTAATTATGAAATGTGATTAATGAAAAACTCTGTTTGATGTTAGCTTCAACTTATCTAACATTTATAAATATCTATGTTCAAATTAAATGGATTCCAGTGTAATATTACTTTGTGTTAATGATTCTAATACCATAAAAGTAAACACAAAACATTGATTTTAAAGGTACCATACAATCTTTGTGGATGGTTGGAGAAGAATAAGGATCCTCTTAATGATACCGTAGTTGAGCAATTTAAACATGCATCTAACAAATTGCTCAATGATATTTTTGAAGATCACTCTGGCTTGGGAGCTGATGATCCTAAAAAAGGTTCAGTCAATCAAATCAAATGTTCTGTTCACTTTTCATTGCTTTGTACAGTTTAAACTTACCTTTAAATTTTATCATTTAGGTGGTGGTCGTAAGAAGGGCTCCGGTTTCCAGACTGTGTCCAATTTGTACAAAGTAAGATATTTAGATTTTGGCTTCTGGGCATGAAGTATGCATATTTGGTTTAAAATATTTTACAGTAATTTTAAATCAGAATCTGTTTTTGTTTATAATTTTTTTAAAGGGTTTCAAATTGCTTAAAATTTTTAAAATACATAAAATAGCTTAATAAAATCATTACTTTAATGTTTTGAACTAATGAATTTACTGTATTTAATGTTGTTAGTGTTAAGTCTGTTGTCTGTCTAATGTTGTTAGTGTCTTAAATTAGTGTTGCTATTAGTCCGAGCAGCAGATTTTTTTAAATAAAAATACTGGTATTTTAAATATTATTCAATAAAAAAAAGAAGCGTGTAGCAGGGGAATTTCAGAACAATTTTGCCCAGGAGTTCCAACACTTGGAGTGATGCAGAATAAAAATAATTATGGAAATATTTACGATATTCTCTTATAATTTTGATTTCACCTTTAGTAGTTATGAATATTAACCACATTTTAATTAGAACTAAAACTGGTAAATAAATTCACTTTTGTGTCCAAAATAAGTGACATAAAATTTTTAAAAACATGTTGTAAAATATTAATGTTTAGATCGAAATTTTTTTTGGTTGAAATATATTTCTTTCAAAAAATATACATTGTTTTTCCATTTCTATTATAAAAAATTTTTTTTCAATTTTATTTAAAACAGAATTTTGAAAACTTTTTTTTTAGTTTTGAAAATTTTGTAGAAGTTAACAACTTATATTTTATTATAACAATAGTACAGTTGTTGTGTTCTTTTTTATTGTTTGATCTGATATTTCTAAAGTATTTATTTCATTAATTTTCATTGTGTAAAATTTTAATTAAAGTTTTAATATTTGTAAAAAAATTTTACTCTAAGAGAGAAAAAACAGATAGCTTTTTTCCTCTTGTGCTTTTAAGCAATCACACAATGTTTTTTTCCCCTTTGGTTTTGCTTGTGTCATATTAATTGCACAAAAAAGTTTTTTTACAAAATTTTTGTCTTAGAAAAACTTTTACTCAGCGAAAAAAGCTAAATTTACATGAAATAAATGCAAATAAAGTCACAAATAAATGGATATGTTTGGCTCTGATGAAGGTACTTCATTATAGTACCAGAACGATCACATATGTGACATAATTTGTGTTTCCTTCACCTTGTTTTAGCTTTATTCATATGCAGCATAAAATTAACCCTTTCTATGTTTGTATTGTAGTCCTCTGTTTTTATTTGAAAAGTTTTTGTGTTCTCGTATAAATTGTTTAGTGACAACTAAAAACTAGAAACTTTATTTTGAAATCTGAATGCTAATAAGGAAAAAAGAAATAATATTTTTCGATAATTTTATTTCTAGTTTTGCTTGGTTTGTTGTTATTTTAGTATCTCTTTGAAAAATTCACTCTTTAATGAAAAGAAAAAAAAGAAAACCTGGTGTTTTTTAGTTTTAGAAGACTCTGTACATTGTCTTGTCTTTAGATTCCTTGTTATAAATTTTCCAGCCTTTATAAATAGTATTATGTTTACTTAAATTAGTGCATGTTGTGTTGTAGATGTCATATATTGTGATATATTTTATTCATAGGAACAATTGAACAAATTGATGGCCACATTAAGATCTACTCAACCTCATTTCGTCCGTTGTATCATTCCTAATGAAACAAAATCTCCAGGTAGTTAAATATTTCTGTAAAGTTTTCTTTTTTTTTCTATTTAAACAAATAGGGTGATATTTCCAGTTTATACAAAAAAAAAATTTGGCGCTAATTTGATGACTATTCTTAAGTTGAACTTGCAATTGTAATTTTGAAACATACTTTAATCCATGAAAAATCTTATTTACAATCAAAGAACTATACTAAACTAGTTATTAATTATTAACTTAACTATTTGATTTTGTTTGAAATTACTTATTTTTATTTTCATACCTATATTAGGTTTAATTCCTATATTAAAAATTTCCCTAGTTACCCTTAGGGCAAATAATGCTTCCAACATTTTTTAAATTTAATTAGTACTATGTAAACATGTCACTATCCCAAACGCCTTTAGTCAATTCTTGAATGGTAAGTCACAGTAGAGAAAATGATTATGTGTTGTTCAATTCTTCAAACTAACACATTACTTGTCCTTTAAATATTTTTGTTAATTGTGCTTGCAAGTGCGTGCCTATGTATTTAGGTTTCAAAACTAGCTTATAGCATGTTTAAATGAATGAAGAAATCTTGCATGTTATTTTAACTTTACCAGTTGTTTTTTTCTTTTCTTTTCTTGTATTGCAGCTGTAACATTTTTTTATTTTGTGTTCAGAAATTTTGATGTGATTATATTTCTTTTCTTTTTATTTTGTGTGCTTTATGTTCTGTTTTTTTTTTAAATTTATGATTAAATAATTAATAATTAATAACTTTTGCTTTTTTCTGGAATTATTATTTACTTTAAATGCTAATTTATTTTAAAACTTTTTATTATTAAACATATTATTGCTATGCATTTTAAAATAATTGCTCTAAATGAACTGCATTGGTTGTTAAATACTGTCTTAACTTGTGCTGTGCTATGCTTTTACTTAATTAATAGGAACAGTTGAACAAGTTGATGACAACATTACATAGTACTGCCCCACATTTTGTTCGATGTATTATTCCCAATGAAAACAAAGCCCCAGGTAAGAGTTAAATTCTGAGGTATTAAAATTTTAAAATTAACACCATCCCAATCTTTACTCAAACATAATTTCAGACCTTTGATAGAACAAATGATATTTCATTATTATATGTACAGAATATTTATTTTACATTTGTGTAATAATTATGGAATTAGTTTATATAATATTTAGCATGAAAATGTCTTATGATCTGAGTTTCAGTTCTAGAATATATTCTTTACTCCATGTTCATTTGGAATATTTATCTCATATATGTGTTATAACTATTAAAACAATTTATGTTGTATTTGATTTAAAAAAAATTACTCTTTGCTTAGATTTCATTCTAAATTTTTATCCTTCATTCTATTTTAAAACGATCTATTTCTTAGTTTTTAAATAAGATTTTTTATCAAACTTTTTTCTTAGTAAGTTTGATTGAATTTAGCATTTCAGATCTCAGATTGATAATAACAAAAAGAAGAGTTTCTCTGAAGTATAATTATTCATATTATAGGGTAAGAAGGTCGGCAGATATCTTACAAGTGGCTTTCTTTTAATTTTCTTTTTTCAGTAACTACAAAATTAATAACAAGTAATCTTTTCTTTTATAAGAATTATTTTTCAGTTCCATTTTTAGAAGAATTAAATTTTTACAGTTATAGGCAGATTTAGATTTTATGTCTAACTAAATTTACATACAAAATGAATATTTTTTTTTTTATTTGCGGCCAATTTGTTTTTTATAGAATGGTAATAATTGTCAATATTTTTGCAGGTGTTATCGATTCACATTTAGTAATGCATCAATTGACTTGCAATGGTGTATTAGAAGGTATTCGTATTTGCCGTAAAGGATTTCCAAACAGAATGGTTTATCCAGACTTCAAGCACAGGTATTAAAGGTTTTCTTTATGTTCTTTTTTTTGTATAGTTTGTCAGTCAATTTTACAAAAGAAGCAAAAATTAATTATGAGTAATAATTTTCGTTGTATGATTAAAAACCTAATATTACTATTAACATGATATTCACTCATTTTTTATCTGAATAAAAATCATTTATTTATATATATATGTGTGTGTATTTAATCAAACTCAATTTTTATTGAACTGTCATAAAAGTGTCTAATTTATGTATCACCCTCTATTTTTTTTTATTAAAAAAATTATTTTAAAGTGGAGTTTAACAAATTAAATATGGGTTAATTGCTATGCATTAACCATGTTTTGAAATGTACTGTTTATTTGAAATGCTTCAAAACAATAATGTGAATGCAGGTATTTTGATTATTTAAGTAATCATTGAATAAGTAATAATTTCAAATCACATTAATTTTAATTTTTTAAACAAAACTAGTTGTTTCAATTAAATAAATTTTGGTTAAGAATATTCAGTTTTCAATGTTTATAATCTTTTATCACATCTGTTTTTTCATGTTATTTAAATTTAAAAAAAAAAAATTAAATTTCCAAGAATTGAATATGCAGATTATTTTTATATGTATGCAAATTTATTTATAAATTTTTATTTGGTGCACCATTAATACAATTATACTGAAACAATTTTTGTCAATTAGTTTTTTTTGCCCATAACTTACTTTTGAAGTTTTGTTTTCATTAAATACACTTCATATTTTGAGTTTTTGAATGATCTTCTCAAATTGTTTTGAAACTTTTCACCTTAAGTGGATCTGTTTTTTAAATATAAATATAGATATATCAATACTTCAAAGAATAATAATTGTAACAAAATATTTTGCTTTGAGATTAGGATGCGTTTATTTTAATTAATAACATTTTTGACATTAAATTACTGAACAAATAAATTTTTTTTGCATATATGCTCTTTAAGAGTTGTTAAAAGATTCATTCCTGCTGGGATCAAATGATAAAAATTTATTTTTAATTATTTGAGATGCATATATTAATTATTGTTGCCAAATTAAAAATATAAATATTTTTTGAAGTATTTGAAGTACTTTGAAAATTTTCTAAGAAAGAGAGAAAGATTTTCATTTATGAATATTATGAATTATATTTTTAATTCAACTTTTTTTCATTATAATAATTTTTTTTATTTAACAAAGATTTTGTTAGGTTACTTTTCTGATAAATTTTGATTTTCTTTCAAACATCTACAGATATACTATATTGGCTCCAAATTCATTCCCACAAGGTTTTGTTGATGCTAAAAAAGTCACAGAATGCATTCTTACAGCTATTCAACTAGAAGCAAATGACTATAGATTGGGGCATACCAAGGCACGTATAGGAATCTGCAATGAGGACATTGGCAACTAAGCAGATTCTGCAATTAATGCTTTCTATTTTTATACTTATTAACCTGTTTTATTTTACATATTTTCTGATTAATTTCGAATAAGTTATCTTTCTAACTTAAACTATTTTTATGCTAAATATTATAAAAACATATTTTTTTTTACTTATTTTAATTAGTTGTTAATTTAAAATCAAGCTGTGTTAATCATTAACATAAAATAATGAAATTAAACAAAAACTTATAAACATTTAATGCTTTCTGATAAAAAAATTGTGTTAGTTATTTTGTAGTTTAATTAAATTATTTGGAATACATAATTAAAAAACATATTTATTTGCTAATAAAATATTATGCCTTATTACAATTTGCATGATCTAAAGTATTTTTAAATTGCATTTAGCTTTATAATTGCTCATATGTGTAACCTTTACCTAACATGTCCTCAATATAACTTTACCCTGTGCCTGTCCCTGTGAGTCCTCTTTCCTTCAGTATCACCAATGTGTCACCAACCCTATTCCCATCTTTTACATTTTCTATTTTCTTTTCCTGCAATTTTCCTTAAAAATATTTCCTTATTTTTTATTCTTCCTCTTATGCCCTTTTTGATACTCTTTAAAGTCTATTAAAATTTTAATTTACAGTTTTGTGCAAATATCTGCTCACCACCCTGAAAATGAACTTATTATCTTTTTATCTGTTATTAATATTCAAATTAAAATGTAGCTATTTGCGTGTTTAAAGCATAAACAATGATTTTTTAATACTTCAGCTGTGTAGAATTATGAAAAATATTTAATAAAAGTGAAGTGATGATATTTAAGCCTCACAGTTTTGTAACTAAATTTAGTATTTCTTGCTTGTTAAAATAATAATCGTAATTTTAATTTTGCAGTTTTAAGTACTTATATTTAACTGAAAAAGTTATAAGGATAACTGCAATAGTTTATAAATACAATAATTTATAAAAACTTTCTTACTTTTACTGTGAGAGTCATTTTATTTTGTCTTATCGACAAGTAATCAATATAAAGTTAATTTGGTATAGATTATTCAAAAAAATTAAAAGACATTATCTAAACATAAATTGCCTTTAATTATTTTTTTCTCGGATTATTGTGTCTTATACCTTTCTTCTAATTAATTTGTTTTATCTGAAACTTTGTAACTTGTTGTTGACATTAAATTTCATTTGACTCCTGTTACTAGCATTATAAAAAAGACAAAAAAAAAAAAATCTTTCCCAAGAAATAAATTATTTAAAAAAAAATTTTTTCTTTGAATTTCCTCTTTAACTTTTCTGCTTTTCTCTTCCTTATTAATTTGGTTATTCTATTTTTCTTCTCTATTTCTCTGCATGTCACCATCCCATCCCTAGATATGCTATTCTTTGTCCCAATGACATTCCCAAAGACTCAACAGGTTTTGTGGATGCTAAGAAAGCTACTGAAACGATTTTAGATTTCGTTGTTCTGGATACTATTGAATATAGATATGGTCATACAAAGGCATGTATGTTTAGCCTATCATGTAGTTTGTAGTGTATTTTATCATGAAGTGTACTTAAGACGGCACAATCTTACTTTATGATAATTACTAATTTAAGCTCATGGTCAATTAATTACAAAATTAATTTTTTGGGAATTTTAAAAGCAATTTTTAACTATCTTAAAAAGTTTTTGTAGAAGAAGCTTGAAAATTATTCAATGAATTTATATTTATTTCCATTATTGTAAGAAATATAAGTATTTAGGAAAAATAAAGGAAAACTTAAAGAATTTTTAAAAATTTTGATTAAAGTTAAATTTTATAACATTACACTTCGCCATGCATTAATTTTCTGTGCACAATATTTGCGCAGATTTGTGGGTGCTAAATCTTCATAAATTATATAATTGAAATAATACATTCACAAGAGAAGAAAAAAACCTGGTATGCAGCGTTTTACCTCGATGTTTTTTAAATAAACATTTATTTGTATTAAAATGAAATTCATCAGTAAATTTTAAACATATTTTCATTAACCAATTAAATTTAATTTAGCCAACATTTTTTCCCCAATAGTTTACTCATCACCTTAAATTATATAGCTTTGTTTAAGAAGAATGTTTATTTTGTAAGTATTTAGTTCTGATTGGACATTAAATATTCTCCCTGGAATATCTGCAGTGTAATATCTGCTTAAAGTAGGCAATTCTTCTATTTATCGTAAAATATCTTTAGATACACCATTTTGGCCCCGAATTCCTTACCTAAAGGTTTTATTGATGCCAAGGCTGCAACGGAAAAACTTTGTGAAGCAATAAAATTGGATTCGACTGAGTATCGTTTTGGACTGACTAAGGTATGTGTATTTACACAGATAATGATCAGCTTTGGCTCATAACCTATTCCTCCAACTTGGTATTACTTTACTTTCTTTCTTAAATTCTTTAATTTACATAAAAATTTACCTTTATAGCTTTAAACAGCACTGTAACTGCAATGAATTATTTATCTTTTAAAAAATTAAATGATTTGTACATTTTTATCACAGATAAGATACAAATGTTTGCATGGCATGATTTCTGAAAACCAGACGAACAGCTTAGTTTTTTATAAAAATTAAATTGCAAGTATGGCTTTAAGTATATTTATTTCTTAATGATGGGTTGTTTTCGATGTACAATTCAACCATAGTCTGTCCACTTTGCAATTGAACACAGCACATCATTAATCACAGTTGCAATTGCTACTTAAAATTTCATAGCTTTCTTTTTGTTTAAAATAATATGGCATAATATTATTAGTAAGTTATGTGGCTTACTTGTGTATAAGTAAATAATAAAATTTTCTTCATTGTTAAATATTAAAAAAAGAAGAAACGAAAGAAAACATTTTATTGAAATATTAACGGTATTCAAACTAACCATAGCTTTGTAATCACTACAAATCACTCTAATTGATATTTAAATTAAATATTTCCTCTAATAATTTAATACTGTTTTTGAAGTTTAAACAATTATTTGTTTTAAGCTAAATTATTCTTTTAAAAAAAATTTATTTTTTTTTCATTTTCCAGAAATTGCTTTTGTTCAGTTGAATCAACTTATGTTTAATATTTAATGAGAAACCAGCTATGATTCATTAATTCTGAATTTGTGATTTATTTATTAAGTAGTCTTGTGATTTAAATATCTCTAAAATGCACATTTTATGATTATATATATATATATATATATATAATCATAAAATGTGCATTTTAGAGATNCTCCTTTATATATATGAATTTATTTCTAATAGTTTATTTGAATATATTATTTAAATTAAAATTTACTAAGTAGTTTATTTCAATTGGTAGATTTATTTAAGTAAATCTATAAAGTTATCTAATTTATTTAAATATTTACTTAATATTTTGAATTTTTAAAAAATATTCTGTTTAACATAGCATAATTTTATAAAAATTAGTTTTACAAAGAAATATTTATGTATATTCATAAAGTTTCATGATTTATTTAATTGTTGAATTCAGTTGCTTTGATATTTGTTAAGATCAGAATTTTTTAATTATAATGCATATTTAAGATTAGAGCATTTCTATTGTGCTCACTATTTCTACTGTGGTTACATTTCTAACAAAAAATTTAATGACACCATATGAAATCAGCTTTTATTTGTTTTTATTCTGAAATAAACTCATTTCCACAAAATCTAGGTATTCTTTAGAGCCGGTGTCTTAGGTAGACTTGAAGAAATGAGAGATGAACGACTAGGGAAAATCATTACATGGCTACAGGCTTGGATTAGATGGTATGAATGCAAGAAAGAGTTTAAAAAGCTTCAAGAACAAAGGTAATTTTTATTGTAAACGCTTATTTGCAGATTAAGTTGTCTTTATTTTTTTGGCTTTATCCTCAGAAGATGTATAGATTATTAATATACCTGTAAAAAAAGTTTTAGACTCAGTAGTATTTAATGGGTAAAATTTATGAACTAAAGTGTCTTAAATATGATTGTTTGGGTCAAAAATAGTAATGCAAAGTTTATAGTATCTCACTACTTAGTATATATTACTTGATATCCCTAAAGGGATTGACATTCAGAAAACCAATTAAAAAGAAAGGAAGAATATGGAAATGTACCCAATTGCTGTATTCTGTCTAGTGAACTTTGCAATTTATTCTCATAAAGTTTCAAAATTAGTTACACATTTTACCAATAGGTATAATGGTAACTAAAAAAAAGAAGAAAAAAAACTATAAAACAATGTTTTCAAAATAACCACAATAGTTGGAGGACAAATAACAAATATTTCCGTGAAAGTATCTCAGTAAGGATGGCTTGAAATGAAGCAGAAAACATTGTTTAATCGTTTTTACTGTTATCTCTGCAATGCTATTTGTTGTTAAATTTTGTCTCTAATTTTGGAAATTAATCGAATTCAAAATATATTTAAATTCTTAAAATAGAATGCTGGAAACAATACATTTCTGTCTCATTACACTTTTCTTTTATTGGTTTTTAAAATAATTTTAAGTTCCACCGATAGACGAATTATTATTTTAATATAAATTTTAGTCAATACACTTGGATGAAATGTTTTGTACATGGGATTAAAATTATAAATTTCTAATGTTTTTTTCCCCCCAAAATAAATAAAGTATTGTTTATATAATTTGGTATTAAGTGAAATTATTTTTTTCCCTACATAATTATGAAGTTTTTATCTTTAAACTTTCTATTATTTAGCAATTTTACTAATTTGTAAAACTTTTTAATTATTTAATTTTTTTTGCCAATGAACATCTCCTTTCCAATATATAACAATATTATATTTATTTCAGGATTGCTCTTCTTGTTATTCAACGAAACTTACGAAAATTCTTGCAGCTTAGAAATTGGTTGTGGTGGAAACTATACTCCAAAGTAGGTTTTCTAATAGCTTTAAATAATAGCACTGAAAATATTACATTGATTTTTCATATTTTATTTATACGCGGTTATTCATCAATTCTGTTTTTCCTTTGTAGGTTAAGCCTCTTCTTAGCATTGCTAGAGTGGAAGATGAGTTGAGAGCACTTGAAGAGAAATTAAAATCAGAGCATGATGCTTTAGTTAAAGAAGAAAAGGTTCGTAAAGAGCTGGAGACAAACAATGTAAAATTATTGCAGGAGAAAAATGACTTGTTCCTCCAATTGGAAGCTGAAAGATCTAGCGCAGGTGATTTAGAGGAAAGACTCAACAGAGCTTTGGCCCAAAAAGCAGACTTGGCTTGTCAGCTGACGGTAGGGATTCTTTCACTTTATGCCTATTTAATCAGCAAAATATTAAATTTTTGCATTCTATGGAATATCTAGGTGTTTTATAAAATGTCAAAAACTTACAATGAAAGCTAAAGACACTTATATTAAAGATGATGAAATTTTTTACCACATTCACATATTGCCAGGCATAGAATGCCAAATGACATGAATACCCAGGTATTATATATGTTACTGGCAAAGTTTGAAATCCGGCATTCTATAGAGTGCCTAGGCATTGTATATAATGCCTAAAACTAGCCGGCAATGTATGAATTGATTGATATTTCGCACATTTCCTAAGCATTCTGTAGAATGCCAAATGAGAAACAGGCAAAGTATAAAATCTTCCGTGGCCATGCTAGTAAAGGTGTTGAAATGGATATTTTGTGCAATATTTGTTTCTAAACTGAACATAATTGTGATTTAAATGTGAATTTTTTAACGAATTTTTTTCCCCCCTTAATAAAAAAGGCATAAATTATGTTTTGTACAACTTTAATTTTTCTTTTCACATTTTGAATAAATTTTTCTAAATTTCACTCTCATTATTTTTTCAGAATGACATTTTTATTTTTGAGAAATGCGCATCATTTACATAATAACCTCATCAGGACGTTTTTTTCATACTTTGCCGACGAAAAGTTATGTAATTTTTTTTTACAATTCATACTAGACTAAAAATTATATTCCATAGAATGCAACATATTCTTTAGAATGCTAGCTAAAGTACATTAATTAGAGTACATTAGAATGCTACTACAAGTAACAGATGGTAACTATAATTATGTGTAAAATTTCTAAATCAATCCATTTTAATCCTAAGATTTTCCTACCAAAACTTTTTATTCAGGAATATATATTATTTACAAAAGGTCATTGCTTTGATCAAAAGTAATAATCATGGTGTCTTGTTTTCTTACTATTATTTAACCAGGAATATTTGTAATGAATAAAACAAATTATTCATTTATTTTTAAGTTCATTAACGCATAGATTATTGTCACGATCAATACCAATAATCATTTCAATTATGGTTGCATTTGGAATTCATATTTTTTCTTCAAAACATGTATAACCTCTAATACTAAATCTTAATGATAATAAAAGTAATAAGCTAGCTATTTATAATAATAAAAGTTATTTTTTTGATCTTCCTGTATATCAAGAACTGACAGTGAATTTGTGTTTCCATTTTCTTAAAAATAATAAAATTGTTGTTTCTGTACTTAAGGATGTACAAGAACGGTTAACTCACGAAGAAGATGCTCATGTGCAGATGGCTCAAATAAAGAAAAAACTTGAAACAGATCTCCAGACGTTTAAAAAGGAAGTTGAAGACTTAGAACTAGCTATGCAAAAGGTATTATTATTTTTACATTTTTGTTCAGTAATGATGAATATTTATGTTTCTATTATGGTTCTCTTGCTCTTTATTTTAACAGTTTCTAACTGATCAATTTTTCTCATTAAGGCTGAACAAGACAAATCTTCTCGCGATCACCAAATTAGAAATTTGAATGAAGAAATCAGTCACCAAGATGATTTAATCAACAAATTAACCAAAGAAAAGAAACACTTACAAGAAGTTAATCAGGTATATTTAGATAAAATCTTTTTAAATTTAAATTTTTAAATTTTTGTAGCAATCCTTATAATGAATTTAATTTATATCTTATTAATTGTTAGAAAACATCTGAGGATTTGCAGTGTACAGAAGATAAAGTCAATCATCTGAATAAAGTCAAGATTAAGCTGGAACAAACTTTAGATGAGGTAAAATGATTACTAATTAATGGTATTTTGTTAATTTGTAAGTTACACCTTTAAGGTTTTGTACAAATGCATTTGTTATTCATTGCATCCCTATGTAAATAGTTTTTAAAAATAACGTAAACTCTCAAACATAATCTTTGACTCTTTCCTCTTTTATTACTATCTTTATAGAGGAAATAAGAAAAGCAATAAATCTGTGATTTTTTTCCATTCGCTATTTTAAAAATGAACGATTATTTATCCTATATCAAGTTCAATTTAATAATTATCAATTTAGTAATTAGTCAAGTAGATTTAGTGATTAGCAAATACAGCTTTAAATGCTCATTTCAGCTTTTACATTTCTTTAATGAAAAAGCAGATTTATATCTTATAGAATTATATTAAATTATCATGCTACACAGTAACTACTATCTCAAATTTTCTCTCTATTTATATCAATAAATAAATATTTAGAGATAATTTGATATGATATACATATTACAAAAAAATATATGTATTTAAGCCAATTTTGCATATTTTTCTTTCAAATTAAATATTTAAAATAAGTTATGTTTTTGACATATTTTTAATCAGTTTACATGTTTATCTATTAGCTTGAAGATAGCCTTGAACGAGAAAAGAAGAGCCGTGGTGAAATGGAAAAAATGAAACGAAAGACAGAAGGCGACTTAAAGTTGACTCAAGAGGCTCTTATTGATCTTGAAAAGGCTAAGAAGGAGGTTGAACAATCCAGTCAAAGGTTTTTATTTAAATATTATTAAAAAATTTTGGATCCTGTTGTATGTCATGTTAATATTTATCAATGGCTTAAATGTAAAAAAAAAACTATTTTCAGGAAAGAAAAAGAAATGGCTAGTTTAGCTGCTAAACTTGAAGATGAACAGAGCTTAGTCGCCAAATTACAGAAACAAATTAAAGAACTTCAGGTGATATATACATTTGTTTTTAACAAATATATATATATCTATGTATGGATTTGTGGGGCAAATGCAGTAAAAAGACAATAACTAATTATTTAATAACTAACAATTTAGTAAAAAAAGTATAACAGTTAATGTAAGCGACATCAATTGCTGGGAGCTGCCTACATGCACTATTGCAGGACAAAAAATGAATGTAGATAGTTTTTAAGTAATAAAACGTAAATGAAAAATATAAGCCGGGAATTTTCCTTTCATGACTCTCAGGCGCTATTGAATAAGGAAGTTGATGGTTTCTTCAAGGATAATGGTCAATTACCATTCCTCTCTCTATATATACATAACTTTTCTACATTTAAATGGCAGAAAATAAAAGTATTTTGCATATTACTCGAAATTATTGTAATAATTCTATATCTTTCTTTTTTAAAGTATCTCAGTAATCTATTTTTCTTTTCCCCCCCTTATTTTTACTTATTGACAACGCTATTTGATCAATTAACTAAGAGTATGTAATGTTATTTACTATTTGCACATTTTATCCAAGTTTTGCTTTGGCATTATATTTTTATCAATTTTCCTTTGTAAATTTGTATGGCTTAAAATTAAATTTCTTTATATTATGCATATTGAATCATTGAATCTTCATAATAAGTTTATCAATTTTCTTTTGTAAATTTGTGTATGGTTTAAAATTAATTTTCTTTATTATATAAATGATATATTGATATTTTTGTATTAAGTTTTATATTAATCTCAATTAAATTGAGATAAATTTAAACATTTTAAATTTACCCATTTTAAGTCTAAAAGAATTCTGTTGCCTACTTTGTTGAATAAAAACATTAATATAATGTGCAATTATTTTATACATAGGCCAGAATAGAGGAATTAGAAGAAGAACTTGAGGCAGAAAGGCAAGCTAGAGCTAAAGTAAGTAATAATTAGATTATTTATTGTTATAATCAATTGTCATGTAAAATTTATATTTGAAGGAATTTTGGAATAAGTTTGTAAGATTACCTTCAATATTTCTTTAATAATTTTACTGCTTTATAAATGAGTTAAGAAAAAATTTCACCACAAAACTTGCAAATCTAATTTTTTTAAAATAAAATTATGAAGATAAAGAAAAATATAATTAATAAACAAACGCATAAAATAAACTTGTTTTTTGAAGATTACCACTTTTAAAAGCATTTTAATTTCTTTTAATAAATTTAAATAAATTATACACTGAATTTTTTTAAAGTTAAAAAACAGTAGAATATGTTAACACCCCTAGTAAATATAGGATGTAATTAAAGCTAAAATTAAAGTTATTTCAAATAATATATAGTTATTAGATATTTTATATGAAAGACCTCATAAATTACAAGTGTTTTCGAACTGTGATGATAGTTAATTTTAAAAGTTAGGTCTAAAATTTTAAACTATTAAAAACTAAGAAGTGTTTATATTTAATTTTCCCTAAGTGATTGTTAATGTAAATTAAGAAACATGAATTAGTTTTAAGATGCATATAATGCAATAATTGTTTTGCAACATTTAGAGATGACCAATCGAAAATATTGAATTTTTTATTTATTTAATACGGTATATGTTTTTTTAATTTAAAGGCTGAAAAACAGAGAGCTGATCTTGCCAGAGAAATTGAAGAACTCGGTGAGAGACTAGAAGAAGCTGGTGGTGCAACTTCTGCCCAGGTAACAAGACAGTCATTGATTTAAAAAATCTTATTTACTTTCATAAGTTCGTGAGCTCAATTGTATTATATCTCTATTTTCAAGGTGGAATTAAACAAACGACGAGAGGCAGAAATGACAAAACTAAGACGAGATCTGGAGGAATCAAACCTGCAACATGAACAAGTTCTTTCCAATTTACGTAAAAAGCACAATGATGTTATTGCTGAAATCAGTGAACAACTAGATCAAACTAATAAACACAAAGCAAGGTAACTAGTTTCATAGTTTTTATTTTTAAATAATAAATCTATTTTTTGATAAAGATTCTAATATAATGTTTTTAGGAATCGTAAAAGATGATATTTAAAACTTTTTTATGCTAAAATAATGAACTTTACACAAAATCATTTTTTTAAAAATGTATTTTATGTTCTTTATGTATCGCTTTTTGATCTAAAAACGAATAATAATAACATTTTTAAATTTGGGAAAACATTTTATTACTGTATGCGGCAGAATCAAACAACTATTCATATAAAATATGTAGTCAATTAACAGATTGTTTTTTTTTTTTAATATTAATTTGCATTATTAAATTGATTCAAAATGTGTCTAAGCATTAATTTTTTGTCCTAAATTTAATTGCTATGAAAAAAAATTTTTTTCTCTGTATTGTAATACTTTGTTTTATGTTTTGGTTTTAATATTCTTCTTATTTTATGTTATTTTCTCACAGATTAGAAAAAGAAAAGTCACAAATGAAAGGTGAATTAGATGACTTACGATCAAGTGTTGATCACGTGAATAAAGAAAAGGTATTTTGCATTTCCAAATTTTTTTTCTCCTAAGTTTTGAATTATCAAGCGTGTATCAGAAATAGGCTCTATTGTGCTAAATTGAATGAATGTATAAATGCCTGAATAGATTCATTCTTAATGCATTAAAGCGTCAATACTCTGCATGATTTTCTAAAATACTTCTTCAAAGTTGCTAATGAATGGAATCATTAACACTTAAGAATAAACTACAGGTATCAATATGAAAGCATAATATCAGTAAAACTTATTAAATAACACATACACAACTACTTCTGAAATCATATTAAATAAAAAAAGAAATATACCATGAAATAGTTCAAAACTATAGTTTAACATCGCTATGAGTATATTCACTGATAAAGGGTTCTCAATTGCACTTCTAGTTCAACATTATGCAATTAAAATACAGTACAGAACCCGTTATCCGGAAAACCAAAAAACCGGAACGAAATTCGATAAATTTTCCCGCCATTTTCAAAAAAAATTTTTTTTTTCCTCATAAGTTTTTAGGATTTTCTTTCTATTTTGAAAGATGTTTNAACATAATTTTTTTTTTAGTTGGGTTTAACTACAAAAAAACGGCTTTTTGTAGCGATTCAGAAAACCGCAAAAATCGGTTATCCGGAATAGCGATGGTCCCGACCGTTCCGGATAATCGGTTCCCTACTGTATCAGTAAAACTTATTAAATAACACTTACACAACTACTTCTGAAATCATATTATATTAAAAAAAAATATACCATGAAATAGTTCAAAACTATAGTTTAACATCGCTGTGAGTATATTCACTGACAAAGGGTTCTCAATTGCACTTCTAGTTCAACATCATGCAATTAAAATACTAAAAATTAGGCTTAATTATGACAGTAAAATTAATTAGAATATCTAAATAAAAAAGGAGATTGAAATCACAAAGTTTGCAGTGAATGTTTAAGTAAAAAAAAACTTTTCATTCATTAGCTTAAAATGAAACTGATGTTAAAGCAATGCAAATGAGTTAAAATATTTTAAAAGTAAAAGCTGACCTGAAAAATGAAAAAGGGAAGAAAAATTATCATTTGGTCTGTTCTTTTTATGAATATGTATAAAATCTTCATTTTATTTTTGTCAAGAAATACCAATTTTTCAACAAGCGTAAGACTGCTTCAGATAACGATGTGCTATCTAATTAGTAAACCACAATGTTACATAATCATCAAAGAAAAAACAACAGAGTTTTGAAAAATTTAGAGCATACGACTGTAATATATAACATACCTGAGCATATAGTTTATCAATCAAAATTCGCTTAATAATGAAATACAATATATATATATATATATATATATGTGTGTGTGTGTGTGTGTATGTATATTAATAATTCATTATTCCTAAGAAGCTTAAATTTTGAACTTCTTTTTATTTCTATATGATTCTAGGTTAAGTGCAAACTCCTTTTAGTTTAAAAAACTATTTTGCATTTACAGGCAAACGCTGAGAAAAATTCTAAACAAATGGAAATGCAACTCATGGATTTGCAAGGGAAATTAGATGAAGTCAATCGTTCTCTTGCTGACTTTGATGCAACAAAAAAGAAACTTTCTGTTGAAAATGGAGATCTTTTAAGGCAGCTAGAAGAGGCAGAAAATCAAGTCTCCCAGCTAACAAAATTAAAGAATTCTCTCGCTACTCAGTTAGATGAAGCTAAACGCACAGCAGATGAAGAGAGTCGAGTAAGTTTTATTTATTTATTTACTTTTTAAAATAAGTTTTTAAAATTGAAATATCATGAAATAATGAATTTAGTAAAAGAAATTTATTATAGATCAGTGGTTACCAACTGGCGGCCCGCGGGCCACATCCGGCCCGCTAAGCTTTTTTTTGTGGCCCGCGAACTAAAATATATTAGTTGTCATTTTTTTGCGGACAATTTTCGTAAAAAATCTGTATGGATTTAAAATACTTTTTTTTTCAATAAAAAACCTAATTTCTTTGTTTCTCTAAAAATTAACATACCAACGGTGCAAAAGAATTCATTTCTTAGGTTTTGCATCCAAGAAAATATTTATTATTATTTGTAATTTAATACTTTTGTTTTGTACAACTTGTTAAAAATCTGACCGTAATATTTAATGTTTTTTCAAACATTAAAGAGTTCTATATAAAATTTTGATAAAGTTGCGGACTGCCATTTGACTGGTGTTTTTAATTGCGGCCCTCGACCTCATGTAAGTTGGAAACCCCTGTTATAGATGATGGTTTTATGATAGTGAATCGATGTTTAAGAAATATTTGATCCTAGTAAATGTTTTTCTGAAGTTTTAATTGTAATAACTAATTAGTAAAGAGTCAAATATTTAAATTTAAAACATTGGCAAATTTTTATAAAATAACAATCTAATTAATGAAATGTTTGCATTAAAGTGCAAAAAAAAAAAAATCATAGTTATAGATTTTAAAATTTTTTAAAAAAAAATAAGTTTTTATAAATTTTATTGTTTTAAACATAAAAAAGGATTACTATTTATTAGTTTAAGTTACAATATGTAATGAAGATCACAAATGATTACTCTTAAGAATGCAAACCTTCCTTTTTTTTGCAATAATATTTAGAGTTTAAACTTCTAGTAATATTATATATAATAATAATATAAACATATAATGCAAATTGAATTAATTTTCAATTAACAATTTTTAGGAGAGAGCAGCTNTTTGGGAAACCTTCCATTTTTTTTGTAATAATATTTAGAATTTAAACTTCTAGTAATATTATATATAATAATAATATAAACATATAATGCAAATTTAATTAATTTTCAATTAACAATTTTCAGGAGAGAGCAGCTATTATGAGCAGATTCCGCAATTTAGAACATGATATGGACACTATTCGGGAACAATTAGAAGAAGAACAAGAAGCTAAGGCTGACCTCCAACGACAATTGAGCAAAGTCAATGCCGAAGTACAATTGTGGAGAACTAAATATGAAAGTGAAGGATTAGCCCGATTAGAAGAACTGGAAGATGCAAAGTAAGAAATCAAATTTCGTTGCTATAACTATTTTTTATTTTTGTAGTCTTTTTCCTGATAAATAATTAATAATTTCTTCTGTAGACGAAAACTTCAAGCTAAACTTCAAGAAGCAGATGAATCTATTGAACAACTAAATGCCAAATGTAGCAGCTTAGAAAAGACCAAAACAAGACTTCAAGGCGAACTTGAAGACATGTCTATTGAAGTCGAGAAGGTGAAACTAAATCAGTGTTTCCAATTATAATGGTATTGCTTTAAAGAACTTAAGTCATTTTATTTTGATGTAACAACTATATTTGATTTTTAGGCCAATTCCCTCGCCAATGCATTAGAGAAGAAACAAAAATCATTTGATAAAGTGGTGGCTGAATGGAAGCAGAGAGTTGATGATTTGGCAGCAGAGTTAGATGCCTCACAAAGAGAATGTAGAAACTATTCCACTGAGGTATTTAAACTGCGAACTCAGTATGAAGAAAGTCAAGAGCAATATGAATCTGTAAGGAGAGAAAATAAGAACTTACAAGGTAATAAATCTTTCTATTTAGTTTCATAACTACTTTTTACTTATCTTTTTATTATGTTGAAAATAAAAATAAGATACTTAGTAATTATTTCATTGTTAAATAAGTTTACATGAAGAAAAATATAGATAATTGTTTTCTGTTAAATTAATTTGTACATTTATTTTTTTAAAAATATTTATCTATATAGTAAAAATATTTATCTGTTTTAGATAGAAAATATTTCTCTATGTGGGGAAGTTAAAATTAAATACCTAGTAATTATTTCATTTTAAAATAAGTTTTCAAGTAAGTTTAAAAATCGATGATAATTGATTTCTGTTAAATTAAATTGTACATTACTTTATTATTTTTAAAAAAAATCAAAATTGTCAGTTATTTTTTCACTCCAGCTGTTAAAGTTTTTCTTATATTACTGCCCTGTTTAAAGAAAGGAATATATTTTATAAAATGTTATTATACATTTATGCATATTTAAATTAAAAGATGAAAATCTTTTTGTTAATTTAAGTTGTACATTAATTTACTATTTCTTTTTTTAAAAAATAAATATTTATCTAAATAGTTAGTTATTTTTTCCACTTCAGCTGTTCAAGTTTTTCTTATATTACTGTCCTGTTTAAAGATAAAACGTTACTATACATTTATGCATATTCATATTAAAAGATGAAAATCTTCCTTGTATAATTTTGTAATTAGAAGAAAAAAACCTGCTCAAAACTCTGTTTATTTTTAAGTCCTATCTATTTTATTTTAAAATAAGTTTAGTTAAATAAAATATAGTTCATGATTGATTTCTCTTAAATTAAATTGAACATTAATTTACTAATATTTTTTTTAATTGATCAAATAGTTATTTTTTTCACTCCTGCTATTCAGATTTTCCTTTATTGAGTCAATTAGTCTTGTCTGTTTTAATTCACCTGAAACTAAATGATATTTTCAAAAGCAAATATATTTATGTGTGCATTGCTTACAGATGAAATCAAGGACTTAATGGATCAGCTTGGAGAAGGTGGTAGGAGTGTACATGAATTAGAAAAGCTTCGTAAGAGGCTCGAAATGGAAAAAGAAGAACTGCAAGCTGCACTAGAAGAAGCTGAAGCAGCACTAGAACAAGAAGAAAACAAAGTTCTTCGTGCTCAGTTAGAGTTATCTCAAATAAGACAAGAAATCGATAGACGATTGCAAGAAAAAGAAGAGGAATTTGAAAACACTAGGTATAACTTTTTAACATATAAATACCATTTTTTTCATTTAATTTCTGTTATATACTTTGTAAAATTCTTGAGACCATTACTTTTTTTGCAGTCGGGGCCGTAGTGAATGTTAGATTTTTTTTTGATAACTATTTTTTTGGGGGAAGCAAAATTCAAAATTACCTGACTGGAATTTGCTTTAAATGCAATTAATAGTCAATTTGAAAAAATCCTTGAGATTTTTAATTTTTTCGTTATTTATATTTAAGTAGTATTTTTTAAGGGAAGTATATCTTAAGGCAGTGTTTCCCAAATTTATGACTTTTGTGTACCTTTTCTAAATTTTTCGTAACATTGTGTACTACTAATAAAAAAATCTCACTATTAACCAGGAGAAAACCAAGTATATGCAATGCACCAAAATAACTGATTCTACAACTCACTTGCAAATTGGTGAATACAAGTTTGAAAAAGTAAACAGTTTTTTTTATCTTGGTTCTGAAGTCAACGCTAATGGCAATATCGCACCCGAAATACAAAGAAGAATCAATAGTGCAAGTAAATGTTTTTATGGATTAAAAAAATATTTGAAATCAAACCTACTAAAAAGATATACTAAACTGTTAATTTATAAATGCTTAATCAGACCTATCCTAACATATGCCTCAGAAACTTGGACAACAACACAGAAAGATGAGAATTCCTTGGGAATCTTCAAACGTCGGATCCTAAGATCCATTTTTGGGGGCAAACAAGTTGATGGTACTTGGTACAGACGTTCAAACTCAGAACTCTATCGGGCTTTTAGAGTGCCTGATGTTGTCAAGTATGTAAAAATCCAAAGAATTAAATGGGCTGGTCACATAATTAGAATGAACAGAGAGCGTTCGACAAACATAATCTTTTTGGCTCAGCCCATCGGATAAAGGCCCAGAGGTCGACCAAAGCTGAGATGGGCCGACTGCGTGGAAAAAGACTTTTCAGTCTTAAAAGTCTCAAACTGGAAGACAACTGCCAGGCGGAGGCAGTTGATTGAGAAGGCCAGGGCCCACCCGGGGCTGTCGTGCCATTGAGGAAGGAAGGAATAAAAAAATTTATGTTTTTTTTACTGTAAAACAATTGCACAAAAGTTAAAAATCACAACTGGCTGTTGACACCACTAATTATTAACTGCTAACTGTGCAAAAAATAGCCAATAGAAAAATACGTAATCGTAAATTTTCATGACTAGCTTTGTTTTTAAATAAAATTTGTTAAATTTTCGTTTTTTGCAAGATATTTCGCATAAAAACGCGTACCCTGCTGAACTGTTCCCGTACCCCTGGGGGTATGTGTACCACACTTTGGGAAACACTATCTTAAGGGAAAGCATGATCATTTATCTAAATTTTAACCAAAATTTTTCGTTTGAATTTTTGAAAAGCTGCCTCAAGACATTAGATGAATCAATAATTTTTGTTCAAATAATTGATTAATCTAATGTCTTGAAGCTTCTCTGATTAAAGACTTGCTTAACAAAACCGTTTTCCTGCAGAATATTTTTTTCTTTTAAATGTATGCTTATAGTTTGAATTTGCCTTTTAGAAAAAATCACCAGAGGGCTATTGACTCAATGCAAGCTAGTTTAGAAGCTGAAGCTCGTGGTAAAGCAGAAGCATTACGTCTAAAGAAAAAGTTAGAGAGTGATATTAATGAACTTGAAATCGCTTTAGATCATGCCAATAAAGCTAATGCTGAGGCACAAAAGAATCTTAAAAAGTATCAGTTGCAACTAAAAGAAACTCAAGCTGCTTTAGAGGAAGAAACAAGAGCAAGAGATGAACTTAGAGAACAATATGCCATGTCTGAAAGGCATTGCAATGCTCTTCATGGGGAATTGGAGGAGAGTCGACAGTTAATGGAGCAGGTGAGATTTTTGGATTTTTCATAACCAAGATGAGCATTTCAATAAAATTGAACAAAATTTATTGAACAAAATTTACTTTTTTACAGTCTGACAGAGCAAGAAGAGCAGCAGAATCTGAATTAGGTGAATGTAGAGATCAGTTGAATGAACTTACAGCTAACAATGCCTCTCTTTCTATGGCTAAAAGGAAACTTGAAGGAGAAATGCAAGCATTACATGTAAATTGTGTTTTTATACGCTTAACTTGGTTACGTCCCATGCTAATTACAGATATTGATAAGGTTTCAATTAATTTAAGAGTAGGTACCTGATATGCGTAAAAAACTAATTTTATGAACCGGGAGGCTGAGTTTAGAAGGTACTCACGTATTTGCTAAATCCCATCATTAAAGGCTATATTACTGAAAACTGTTATGAATGTTAGTATTAATTGGAAAAGCGTTTAATTAAAAACTTTTATGCAATTTAGTTTTGTACAAAATATCAAATATAAATCTTAAAAAAAAAAAAAACTTTTAAGTTATCTGCTGCCGTGACACTCCTTATAAATGTACAATTATTTTCTGAAACTTTGACTTATAAAGGGATAATAAAAATAAATTTTAATGTTTCTGTGAATTTAAGTGAAATAGGAGAGTAATAATGTGTATTCATCCTATAATATCGGTATATAGTTAATCCTATATTATCAGTGAACAACAAAAAAATACTATTTAAAATTTTGTTCAAAACTAACTGTGCTTTTCTTAAATCGAAGAACAAAGAAGAAAAAAAAACAGAATATTTGCTATTTACTAAACAGCAAATTATATATTTCTAATAATGCTATGATTTTTTTTCCTTTAAAAAAACCATGTTGTTTATTTTAAATTTTGTTTTTAAAATCATCTCTTTTATTTGTTCGAACTTATTCTCCGAATAATATAATGTTCTAATTTGTAGGCTGATTTGGATGAAATGCTTAATGAAGCTAAAAACTCTGAAGAGAAAGCCAAGAAAGCAATGGTAGATGCTGCCCGATTAGCTGACGAGCTGAGATCCGAACAAGAACATGCTTTGCAACAAGAGAAGTTACGTAAAACAATGGAACAACAAATGAAAGACTTGCAAGTTAGGCTGGATGAAGCTGAAGCTGCTGCATTGAAAGGAGGGAAGAAAATCATTCAAAAACTTGAACAAAAAGTAGGACTATTTCAATTAAGAATAATTTATTCATCTATTATATGCATTATTTTATAATAACATTTCTTCCTCTTAGACAATCTTTTTTTTTAATAATTATACAACTACAACTCAGTGTTTAGATACAGTAAAAAAACATAAAAATAAGTTATAAGATTATTTTAAATTGATAATGAAGATAAAAGTAGATTCCCTTTATTTATTATTTATATAAAATTAGGAATTCTTAATACCAAGTCCTTGTTTACTACAAATGTTGTGAGACTCGATTAAAAAGTTCAAAGCTCTGTCGTTCTCTACTCTACTAACACTTTATTTACACAAGTTGTTCCATCATATCTTCATAGCAACTCGAAATCCACGTAATTTTCTTTTTAAAATAAAGCGAGACTAATTCTAGCTTGCACAGTTAAATAATAAATAAATGGAATCTATTTTTAACAAAAGATTTTGATTTAATATCTGTTAAAGTTATTCTTAATATTTTACTATGTTGCGATCTTTATTTAAGTATTATCACTTTTGAAATAAAAATAAATACTCTAGAAAAATGAATTTTTTTAATATTGATTTTACTATTTTTTCCTTTACTATGGCATGAATTTTTTTTCCACCTAGAAAAACCAATATGTTTTTTTTTATATCTGTAGGTAAGGGAGCTGGAGAATGAACTAGAAAATGAACAACGAAAACACTCTGAAGCATCTAAAAACTACCGTAAATCAGAGCGCAGGCTTAAAGAAATACAATTCCAAATGGAAGAAGATCGCAAAAATCACGAGAGGATGCAAGATCTTGTGGATAAACTCCAGCAAAAAATAAAGACATATAAGAGGCAGATTGAAGAAGCTGTAAGTAAAAACTTTTTATTCATAAGATGTTTATTCATGCTGTTTATAATTTTTTAGAAAAATTAGCTTTTTTTTCTCACTTTAGTTTTGCTTTTGGAAGCAAAATATTTTGAGTAGTACTAAATTTAATTAAATATTTGGAATATGTCAAAATTTTAGAAGACATGGATTCCACAGAGACCAGAGCCGAGCTCATTGCTTAGAAAAAATTTGGGCTCAGATTCATTATATACTTTGTTACATAATATAATGTTTGGTTCCAGTAATTGAGTGTGAAGAATGTGTAAAAGTTATTAAGTATTTAAGTAAAGAATTAAGAAATAGTAAAAATTAAGAAATAGTAAATCTTATGATCTGAAACTAGGTTATTTTAAGTTATGTGTCTTATATGTTCAGGAATTTATACCTTAAATTTTTTTTATCATCTAGTTTATTATTTAATCTCTTAGTGCATCATGTGCTTTTTTAAAATCTGTTAAGTAGTGCATTCTTTTTATTATTATTTTTTAAGATAAATGAATGTTTGTTTATTTTTTACAGGAAGAGATAGCTGCCTTGAACCTGGCAAAATATCGAAAGGTGCAACAAGAGTTAGAAGATGCAGAAGAAAGAGCAGATATGTCAGAAAATGCACTTGCTAAATTGAGAGCTAAAAACAGGAGTTCTGTATCTACAGGGAGGGGAGTTAGTCCTGGTGTAAGTTTATTTTATTTTGCTTAAATATTTTATGCAACACAAATGCTATTGATTAATTTTAAGTTTTCCAAAAAAAAGTATCTTCAAATTTTCATAATTTGATCGCATTTAACTCAGTTTTAAATTTAATTTAAGATTTTTAATTTCAGCTAAAAAATATCAACTTTAAATTAGAATAGTTTTATATTACCCCAAGTTCTATAGGTCCATTTTCCTCAAAAACTCAAAATAGTTTATGTTTCTCACAAATCTATGATTTAAATCAATATGTTGAACATTTGCTAGTTAAGACGCTCCTGACAATATCAAAATGACACAAATCCATCATTCAAATGAGTGATAAAAAAAGATTAACAATTTTTGAAAGGAAGCTTGCCTGACTTTTTGAGTTTGCACTATGATAATCTATGTAGATAAAATATTTACTGGTCTAAATCTAAAAGTTATAAAAATCTCTTGAAAAAAGGTGTCATAAGAAACATAAAAAGATTAAAACTTAATTTCTAAGTTCAGTAATTTTTATCAGCAATGAGTTTTAAAACTATATACAACTTTTACGAGTATTTGCAAATCTTATAAAATACTCGACATTCATATTATAACAAAATTATTGTTTGCTTTCAACAATATTTATAAAACAAAAACACAATGTGTTGAATTTTTAATGAGTTAAATTTTTGATTGCTTGATGTACTTTTGATTTCTTAAGCTGATTTAAGTTTTTCAAGTTTCACTATAAAGCAAATTGTATATTAGTTAATAGTTTCTCTTCTTAAATAACATAAAATTTATTCTATAGTTTAAAATAAGTTACAAGATTCGTTAGACTGCTTTCTAGTAAAATAAATTGTTAGAGGGGGAAAAAATGAAAGAATTATAACTTAGTGCCTTGATAATTTTACTAAAACATGTTATTTATTATTATAGTTTTATTTAAAATAACTTAAAAAATTATAAATTTCACAGTTTGTTGCTAAATAATATTTTGAACTTTTATTCTCTTTTACTTTATAATTAGATTTTGAGATCTAGTTTTGATTGTTTAAGATAAGGTGATTTATTTGTATAAATATTTTCATTTTTTTTCACACAAAAAATGACTTTTTGTTATATACAGCCAATTGGCAAACCTGTTTCTCGAAAAATTAAAGCATCTGATGACTAAAATGTTCTGATTGTTGGTCTTTGTCTTCTGTCATAGGTGAGAGTGTTATTTTATATGAAATGAGTGGCTGATCCCTTTTAAACTGGCATATTAAAATTTAATCCAAATTAGCATTTACATTACTGCAATAATATTGAGCCAAGCTTTATTGTACCTGCTTTTGTTTTCAAAAAATACCTCGTTTTTTTTTTCGTTATATTTAAAATATTTACAGGGTGATCCTCAGATTAAAGAAATATTATTTTAACAATGCATTTAAAATTGATAATAAACGGTTAAATTAATTCAAGTCGCATTTTTTCACTGTAGATCTTAAATTATTGTGAAATTCATTCAGAATCAATTTTAATATTTAGAAAATCTGATCCTTGTACATGAGGCTTAATGGAAAATAAAGTCAAAAATTATTTTCTCTTCCGATTTGTTATCTACAATTTAATTTTTTTTTTAATAAAAATTTAGTGGCACATTTTGTGAAGTGTATGGCTAGCAATTAAGTTGCAGACTTCATGGTTCACCCTGTACTCTTATGATAGTATCGATTAAAGTATTTTATGCTATTTTAACTAACCATCATATATCCTGTTCACAAGCCATCCAAACTAATGCAAAAATAATATTTGTATCTTAAGTCTTGAAAATTGCATGATTTTATTTATTATCACATTGTAATAGAGATTTGGTTATTGGTAATTTCATTATGAAGATACTGGTAATTGGTTACTGTAATAGATTCATAAGTTTTGATTGTTTTATTTGTATAATTACTTATGTCAGCATTTAATTTCTTGTTGTTGCCTTTACTTTGACAACAAGGCGGATTTATTAACAGTACTAAAAAAGAGGATATTTTCAGTCAAGAATTTTTTTTTATTATTATTTCTAGTCTTGTCAGTTACATTTGATAAGTAATGATTGTTAATTTTTTTTTTTCAAGTTGGAAATGAAATCTTAATGTATAAATTAAGTAGACAATTTAAAGTTCAAAATTTTTATGAATTAGTTTATCAAAATAGGCACATAATATATATTCTTCGCATCAACATTTTAATTCTCGATACTTCTAATACAAAAGCAGCTTCAGTCTGGACAATTGTAATGATAAATGATATAAATTTTAAATTTTTTTCTTAACTTCAAGTACTGCAGTCATATCCATAAATTTTAATATAATTTACAGTGCATACAAAAATTTTTCTAAAACAAAATATAGCGCTTGAAAGCAATAAATTTTTTTGTGGATACATGAGAAAAATCATGATTTTTTAAATCTAATTCAGAATCATATTTAAATCATAATAATAACTGTAAAAGGATCTAAATAACATTTTCTTAAGAAATTCTATTTTTTCACTTTAAGTGTGGTGACACAACAACGGCATTGTTTCAGAAAAGCCAATTATTACTTTTTGCTATTGAATTTTTTATGGCAATGTTGCTTCCTAACAATGTCAAAAGCAACAACAGGCAGTTATGGGTTAAAAAATAGCTATAAAAGATCTATCAGTACAGAAGAAATTCCCACTCGACGTTTGTGCTCTGGTGCTTTAATAACAATTTACTTTCTGAGAGCTGTTTTTTTAAATGTTTCAGCCCACAAGCAGGATTCATCCTAAGAAGACTTTTTCTGAATCACCATATGGAATAGGCCGCAACTCTTTCGCTCCTACAAGATTCAGCTCTCATGAATACTTGGACGACAGTGATCACTAAATTACTCTTCATATATTTTTATTATACTATTATGCTTACTTTTTAAAAATACTGGACAATATTTATAAATTTCAGAAATAAGACTGAACTTGAAAACTATCTTGCACACTTAGAATAAGAATTGCATTTTATCACTCAGTATTTCTTCATGTATGTGTTGCAAGAGACATACCACTAATTTCTGTATACTTGCATTGAAATAAAGTTTCATTTATCTCTTGAGAAATTATTTACATTATAAATAGCATGATTTGTGAAGTTTCCAACATATTAGATCAGGAAGTTCCTGTCATTTTTATAATTTTAACTTTCCATGCATCATAAAAATTTTTTTGGCAGGATGTTGTGTTCTACCGGAATCTGTTTTTTCTTTAAGAATTTATATCAAATTTCAGATCACTATAACATGGAATGTCAGATTAAGAAAAATGATCATTTTTGTCACCTTTTTTCTTTTAATTAAGATTGTAAGGCAATAACAGCTGTTTGTGCTGTGTATAGAGATGGTCTCATAACTGAAAAAATTGCTCATATGAAGATTCATTCAATATTAATGAAGAATCAAGAGCTTCCTGGGAGGAATAGATATTTCAGGGGATTTTTGCCCCGGAAGGTATTAAAAATCTTGAATGTTTGGAAGGAGTTAACAAAGAAAAAAAATTGTTTAATTAGTTAATTTTTTAACTAAAAAGTAACCTTGAAAGAGCAAGAACTCAATTACTAATCCAATATTTATATCCTTACTGTATAACTGTAGTTAAAAAATTTTTGACTTATCTTTTGTCTCCAAATTTTATATTTTAAGTCTAAACCTTTTTAAGAAATACTTGCCACACTAATTTTACATGGCTTGTCCGTCTGGCCAAAACGATTTTCTCAGTATGTATGGCATTAATTTCTTCAAACCATTTTAGTAACGATAATATAAAAAAAAAATTAAAAATTTACTCGAATTATGTGTTTTTAATAATCTTGGCTTCGCCGGTCAACTGTGACCCCCGTGGCGCTACGAACAAACTCCGTGCCGGTCATCCCCATGGAATTCAATGTGTTAAGCACTCGTTTTCAACGTAATTATATTTATTATCAATGCAGGGTCTACAATAGGAAACACTCTTGGCACTGCTTAACTCTTAGAAATAGCAAGTTTCAATAATCATAGTTATAATAATATCTGTCTAACAAGTTCCAATTTGCAAAATTACATTACTGGTGAGGAATAAATTTAAGTTTGAAATGTTTTAATAACCCTTTCTTTCAGAAGAAAAATACATTTTTATTAATGGATGGGTAACTTAATTTTTTCCATTTTAAAATATTTGCCAAACTGCAGTAAAAGGATTTGAATTAAATTTGTGATTAATGGAAATTTTTTTTATGCAGTCATTACATTGCAAATACGTAATTGCCAACTTGTATAATTATTGGGAGATTTTAAGAAAATGATTTTGCCACTGCTTAAAATAATCACCTTAGTAATTCAAATGAAAATGGATGTTTTAACGTTAGGAAGTATATTGCGAGTTCACATAACTATTAGAAGACATACCACAAAAACATAGCAATGACAAAAATATTTTTCTATGCACTTCCTTCAAAGCTTCTAAATTACGTTCTTAGCATATGTGCAAAATAATATTCATCTAGAGAACTACACTAAGTTACAGCTAGAATAAAATCTAGAAGAATGCGAATACCACAGGTTTCAATTTTAAAACAAACCATCTGTCACTCTTTCTTCATTGATATAGAATTCGAGGTGTTTCATATTTATATTGATAGGTAAAAAATATGGGATGGACTCTCACTTCTAAACTTTGCTATTCATTGATACATTGTCAATAGAAAAATGTTTGTTTTGAAAGCCCAAAAATATATAACACCTGAAATTCTAGGGATTTTCGTAGTATTAAAAATAAATAAAATCAACCGCTATATTGAAATGAACCATTCAGTTCGGACATTTTAATGAAGATAACACTGAACTTAAGGAATGGCATATGGGACTTCATGCATCAGTAATGAAAGGATCACAGCAATGAGAGTATATTACCAAAGAGCTTAGCTGTATAAACATTTTAAAAAATTTCCTAAAAATGAAGCTATTTACTTATAAAAAACAATGCATAATTACCTAATAGATTTCATATGTAAATATTAGAATAATTATTTTCTGTGATAAAAGTTTAGTAAGAAACTTTAAAAACTAAGATTTCAACAATAAATAAACTTTGTAGTAGGCTAAAGAAAAATTCCTGACATTTTTTTTTTTGCAGTACTAAACTTGTTACACAAAGTGAAAACCCCGAAAATTTTACATGCTAACTCAATATTATCAACTAAATAATACACAAACAGTTTTATAAACTACATATTTAATGTAATTTTTTCAAACTGATATTTATACTAGTAATGATAACTACTAATGAAGAATATCACACCATCATAGTAACTAATAAGATTCAATATTCAAAAGGATAAACTTCGTGCTACAAAAAGTGAACAGATCAATAAAGCAAATATGCGAAAATTGTAAAACTGTAATTAGAACTTATTTTTATAAAATTAAACTAATAAAAGCAAGACGAAATTTTGGAAAATTTGGCCTGTAGATATGCAGATTTCTGTGAAATTAACGAAATTCTGAAGTACAGGAATACAATCACCTCTCAAACGACTGACAAACTTTATAATTTGCCCAACTTAAAATTTGTTTTGATCATACTTATTACAAAAAAATTAAAATATTTTAAATTCCAGAATTACTTTGTTTAGAATAGAAAATTTTAACAGCCTTTTTTTTTTTACAAATTTATTAATGGATTGCTATACAAATCATAATAGTTTCGGATCAAAATATATTGAAAATATTTATAATAACTATTGGCGTAAAAACTAATATCAATTAGTTAATGTTTCCTCATACTAAAATCTAGATTAGTAAGTTCAAGACTTCTTTAATCAAATAATTTTAATAGAGGTTTAAACTGTTTCAAAACGAACCAATTTTAGAACAGAAAATATGCCCCCATAGCATTTTTGTAAGAGATTAATTTTGGAGATCTCTTAACTCACTATTCCAAAATTCTATATGATTCTAGTATTACTGATTGGAATCTATCCTTCTTAAAATCAGATAAAAGAGACGAACCAAAAATTATCAAATAGCAAAATTCGACACAAGATTTTTTACTGTATTTGCTGAAAGTAATAAATAAGCATGTGCTTTTTGAATTCATTAGCACAAAAATTTGATATAAAGTAGTTTAGTTCACCTTCATAAAATGATTGAATTACCTGACAGTTAGAAGAAAAAAATCCTGCAGTGAAGGCTATTGAATCATGCATATAATTAGTGGAGGGTCTTAGAGCTTTCAAATTTTGATGATTTTTTCTAATATTATATTGAAATTGAATGCTCTTTGATTGAAAATTTATAAATTTTGTGATTCTCCAAATTGATTATTTTAAAACCTGCACTTGCATTATTCTTGACACACAAAATTTCAGAGCAAAAAGCTAAAGATAAAAAAAACAATTTCATCAGAAAAATAAGAATTATCAGGATAACCATGTAACTTTTATTTAAATATAAAAATTTTCAACAACTGAAAAAGTTGGCAACAGAGCAAATGCAAAATATATTAAGAGTGAATGATACGTATTATACAGCAAATAAATCTATCTACAGTTTTTTTAAATTTTTTTAATGAAAATTAATAAAATACATATTTAGGAGATTTACTAACATAAGTTTGAAAAATTAAATGTATTGCATTGTTGATACTTCTTCAATTATCAATAAAGTGGTTTCCACTCAATTTCAGAAAAAATTCCCAGACTTTTCCAGGAACATCAGGTAAATTTCATTTGAAATCCATACCATATTTTATCTTATCTACCATGCAACTTTTTTTTTTTTTTATATGTTGTGTCAAATATTAGATTTTGTGAGCAAAAAAAGATTCACAAAAAGTATAATACTATACAAAATAATAAGAATGAAGTTGAAAACACACACAGGAGAGAAAAAAAAGGCATAAAAACAGATGAAATTCTTTAATGAAAACAGCTGTATGATCATTGACACTTATAATGATGCATGAATGAAAGATGAGAATTAAAAAGACAGTTAAAAGGCCAAATTTTCTTCTTCATAGCTGACAATAATTCAAAAATGAAATCACTGGTTACAAATCAACCATCCTTAAACTTCTGGAAATAAATGTATCTCAATCAAGAAAATGTGGCTTAACTGGATGCATAACTTTGTGAAGGCTGTTTACAATAAATCAACATTTCTATTATCAGTAACTTCTTGTACAATTCAAAAGTTACTCCATCTGAAAAAAGAAAAACGTGAGTCAGGTTGAATATTAAGGTCAATAATATCAGGGATACCACTGCAAAAAGCTGAAGTTTCATTTTTAAAAGAAAATTACCATAATTTATCATTCCCTAGCATTGTGGTCTGCCATCATTACTTGATAATTCATAATAATTATGAAAAACAACAATGTATTAATAAAAAATAATTTATTTTTTATTTTAAGATTTCCTTGTTGCATTTTTTAAAGGAAAATGGTACATTTTATCTATTTTCAGAAAATTTAACTTAATGTTATGGAAGATTATAATAACACAAAAAGTTTCTTAAAATATAAACTACATTACTAAATGTCTAATACAAAAACAATCTTAGAGAATATTCTTTATGTAACAATCGTAAAGAAATAGTGGTATATTTCGAGCAAAAGCAGAAAATAAATTACCTTATTTACATAGGCATCTAATTCAGCATCTAACTCTTCAGCTGTGGGTACTTTACGCTGCGCTCCTCCACCGCCTCGTCCTGGTCTACCACGATTGTTTCCACCCTGACGATTTCTGAAAATGACATTTATTGAAAACAAGCTAAAGCATTTCTAACAACATTACCACATGCTATTTCATAAGAATAAGTGCACTTCAGTTCAGTTTGGTTCCTATCAGTTAATAACAGCTATGTTGTAACTGGGTATTGAACAAATTGAAAATAGTATATGCATAGCAGCCAATAAGTTAAAAGCAAAAATAATAACACAGCACGATAAGCTAATCACGGATAATTATGAAAAGTGAAAAACGGACTATCAAAAATTAAAATATTGATATATTTATAAACCACACATTTCATATTTAACATAATTTTTGAGGTAATGGTCCTAATTAAATCACTCACTAATGAAGAATATCACATCTTTATACAGAGTATCTGCTACATTTTAGATTTTTAAATTCATGACTAATTCTAAGAATTTTTCATGACTTAATGAAGTCACTATTTTCTCGAACAACAATAAATTTAAAAAAGCATCATAATGACATTAATTAAAATGATAGGTATAAATAAAACTGTTACACTCTGTATCTTCATGTTAATAGTGTAAAGAAAGTCGAAGCAATTAAATAGCTGAAAAAATACAAAAGCAAATAATTAGTTATTTTTTCTGCAGAATTATATTCTAAAGAAAATTTTTTTGTTCATCTGAAAGAAAAGAAATACTCCTGATTTTTATATTCTCATTTCCGAATTAAAAAAAATTTGCCAACGACTGGCTTGCTTCAGCTAGAATTTTAAATTGATAAAATAAAAAAATAAATAAATAATTATAATAATTCTGAAATAATAATAATTCTGACAGAAGTTTAAAAGATAAATTGCTCTAGAAAGGTCTTTTTTCTTCATTTTTTGAAAGAACACCATAATTAAAGAACATGATAAAAACATTTTATATTGTAATAAAATGTGATTGTAAGTGAGGATGTTGTTACAAATTCAGATATTCGGAACACCAAAAAATCGGAGGGGGTAATTCCATTTTGAAAATAAAATTTTTTTGGCGACCTAAATCCATGACTTTCCAAGTTTTTTTTTTTAAAAATAGTTAAAATCTTGATATTTCATGACAAATTGTGTTCAATACCAAAATTCATGACATTCCAGGTGCGCAGATACCCTGTTTATAGTAACTAATCCAAGAAAAAACTTACTCCTTAAAGGAATCGCGATGTTGGATTTTAAAACGCAAAAATACAAATTGCGACATTGAAGTTTAATATTCAGTAAATACGAATCGCAATGCATAGTTTTTATATGTATAAATACGGAAATTGACGTTTGATATTACAACCCAGTGAATCCGAATTGTGATAATTGGTTTTAAAATTGAGTAAATGCAAATCGCGATGTTGGATTTTTAAATTGAGTGAATAGGAATCACAATGAAGGATCTTTAAATAGCATGAATATGAATCACATCAAGTAATTTTTAAATCAAATAATACAAAAATCGATATTAGTGATTCCGGCACAGTTCCTGATATTCAAAATTAAGAACATCAGTCTACAAAATGAATCAAATCGGCGGAAGAAACATGCAAATGTCGCGAAATTCTGATATTCTCTTGGAAAAATCACATGCCCTGCTCTTAGTTCTTAGACCTGCCCTGGATTGAAAGAAAATCAATATAAAGAGTGAAAAGGCGTTAGGACGCTGAAAAATAAGAACATTTTAACCTGAAATCATATTTCCGGAATTTTCGAAGCTAAAGAATCGGAACAAATATGATTTAATGGGAGCAGTTAGCAGCTATGTATATGCAGTAAAATCTTTTACAGTTCATAATGGCAGATGAAATTGTTATAATAAAACATTTTTAATATTGAAACATTAAAAAGACTATGTAATAAAACAGACACATTTGTTGTTCTTTTTGAACAACTACTTTTACTTAAGATACATGTCTAAAGTGTTTTTTTTTATTTTATATATATATTGATTAAAGGAAGAATTAAGAAGTTTCTGTACTTAAGGAAAGGCTGTAATGTCTGTGCACAATAAATAAAATAGAATTTTAAGAAAAAACTTCAAGGTTAGAAAAAACATAGACCAAAAAGTTTAGAAAAAATCCTCAGAACATAGAAAAGTTCAAAACTCACTTAGTTGGAAAAACAATTAACTCACTGGTAATATACAAATAATTTATCAGAAGTCACATTAATCCTCATTTAGTTTACTTTTTTAATCTTAAATTTAAATCTAATAAAATATCAAGTTAACTTAGATTAAAATAATTATGAAAAACAGAAACCCTTTAGAACAAGGACTATTTTCAATACCTTTCCTAATCACCTTGTATTTAAAAAAAAAAGAAGAAAAAAAAAAGAAAAAGCATTTTTTTCCTTCTAGATGTTACTCTACTAGTAGGTGGCTGGCTATAATGAGTATGCGTACTTGTTGACTGCCTAAAAGGAGAACAATACCATGCTCTGCAATCAGTTCTTTCATAATAACAAATATTCCATACATATTATCAACACACAACTCTCACAATTTAAAATTACCATTCGTTTTAAATGATGAATAATTTAATTTTAAAAACTATATTTTCTAAAAAGCAAACATCAATTGGTCAAATATTAAGTTTTGCAAAAAATACCTACATGATAAAAAAATTATTAACCATACTTAATAATACATAAATTGCTCTGAAGTAGATGATGCAGTATAGAGCACTTTCTGCTTTCAGGGCTTATAGATAACATTCACTTATTTTGTGAAGTTAGCATTCCAAATCATAAAATTTAGTTATCGAAGTATTTGGAGGTATACTTTTGCATATGTGCTTGTTAAACGCACTTGCTCTATCACATTTAAAGTTAAACAGTTCTATATGGTTTTAAAAAAAAATATTTGAGGGATTTCTTCATTTTTTTAAAAAAAAAAAAAATTTACTATATAACATATCTGTTTGCAGAGTAATAGAATAATCAATGAAAACTGAAAACAGCACATTATTATGGGTTTGAAAAAATAATTACAATAGTAAACTCAGGAATAATATAAGAGGTGTATAAACAGAATACAAATAGAAAAACAGAATTTCAATGCATTGTTTATTGTTAGTAATACCTGTTAAAACCTCTCTGATTAGAAGAACCACCCAACCGTCCTCTGGGTGAAGGATTTGAGCTAGGAACAGTAGAACTGGCGATTTGAATACTCATAGGTCTACCTATAAAATTTAATAATTGTAAAATTTCTGGGTGACGACATTGTAAGTAAAAACAAAGATCAAAGATATTAAAAATCTTACCATCCAGAGGAACACCATTATATTGTTTCATTGCTTTAACAGCATCCAGTCGCTTTTCGAAAATAACGTCAGCTGTGCCTAAAGATCTTCCTGATCTGTCATAATGAACTGCAGCTTTTCTTAGAGGACCAAATTCAGCAAAAAGTTCCTATAATATTAACATAAAATTATAATAGAGACAGATATAAAAGAATAAATTGCGGTATTCAAAACCAAAAACAGAATTACAGTTTATTAAGCTAGCGGTTCAATTTCTCACAGCTACAGAACCCTAAATAATAAAGCATCTTTTAGCAGAACCCCAAATATATAAATAAAATTTATTAGGCACAAATTTTTTCTTTACATTATAATTTTATCAATAAAACTCTTCAAAATAATGGGATCTGTGTCAAACAGCTGAATTTACAGACCTGGAGTGGCATCTAGCCTAGTTCTGAAAGTTTTAAGTGCATTTATTAGGAAAAAAAAACAAATTAAAAAAAAAAAAAGAAAGATGAATTATGGTTTTTAAAAAACTTTAAACTTTGAGAATAGTTATTAGAGAAACGTAATTCACTATTATTGAATTAAGTCAGTTGAGTTTGAATTTAAAAGTATTACGGTGACCCGGGGTAATTCACAATCACTCTGTTTCTGGGGTAAATAATGATCACCTAAGTTTTATTTTAAAAAAATTAATTTTTTTTTTAAATTTGAGACATGGACAAGAATGCTTGTACACTTTACTAAAGTATAACTACATTTACTTAATAATAGTTTTTTTTTTTAAATCTAACCAAATAAGTATCTTTTAAACTGCTTTCTGTATTTCCCATTTCAGAGATGGGTTTCAAAATGTGCACATTTCTGCAAATAATAAATTCTCTTAATAATAAATATTTTGAGTTACTTCCTTTTTCTTTGATATAAAAATAGTGTAAGCTTTTGTTTAATTGTTTCACATATGCTGTAAACTAGGGGTACACAACCTTTTTGAGTGAAGGGCCACTTGCACAGCAGATAGATTCACGAAGAGCCACACGCATATTAATAACAATAACATATTTGCAAAAAATTAAAAGCTTTTAATTAATTTAAAACTAAAAAAACTGATACTTTCTTTTAAAAAAACTTTTTCAATTTTTCACAATTAATTTATCAAATATAGATAAATATTAGGGGGGATATAAGTTCTAACCAAAAAGAAGCTTACAGTATGAAATGCAAAAAATACACATTTTAGAGTAATATAAATTTTAATTACATATTTTAAGAAAATTTATAATGTTTAAACAAAAACCAAATTAATAGAATTTCTTTTATTGCGCTTAGAAATTCCAGCGGGCCACACATCAACAGTCAGTGGGCCGCATTTGGCCCATGAGGCCGCAGGTTGTACTGTAAATATTATTATTGATTATAGGAAACTATATCAAATGTTGCCCCCTACAGATGGGGTAATTTTTTATCACTGGGGTAATTCCTGATCATTGTCATTTCTTCTTATAAATGGTATAAAAAAAGAGCTAACTTCTTTTGCCAACGATTTTGTCCTTTTTTTTTTACTTGAAACCAGCTTACGCATTNATATTGAAATATTGTAATATACCAACCCTGGCCTGATATAAATATGGTGTGAAATTATAAGCCTTAAAAAGATACTTAACTTTTAGAAAGCAAAATCAGTGAATTTCTTTTAATGATTGAAAATTTCAGTTTGAGAGCTGCTGTCAAAGCTGTTGACATACCTAATTTAATTTTACACTTTCACTTAATGAAGTTAAAAACCCTGAAGCAGAAAGTGCCTAAAACTGTGACGTACGTCGCAGAACAAACATAGTCCTGCAGAACAATTTGTATATTGAATAAGTGACAACGTTTTCCTTTGAAAGATTTTTAAGACAGCCCTTATTTTAATGTTCGGACCTTAATATCATAGGCATTTTATTAACAATTCATCCTCGTCATTAACAAAACTTTACTTAAAAGTGATTGAAAAAGTAACAAGTCAAGAATGTTTGCCTTGGTTTAAAAAATAATGTAGTGTTTCTGTGTATGATCCTGTATTTTAACAAATGAAAATATAGTATTTTAACATAAAGTTGACTTTTTTTGCTGTGAAATGTTTGCAGAACATTTGTATAAATTAATAAGTCCTGTTGCAGAACATTTGAAAATATTCTGCTTATGGGGTTAAAAAGTCCAACAAAAGTTACCCATGTGGGAACTCTTTTTTTAATATTCCTGAAGAACATGAGAATGAGTTGGCTGCTTGACTAAAATGTATGGCACAATGCAAAGGCTTTTGGAAAATTTAAAGTGTTAATCTTTATTCTTGCTTTTAAATAAATTGTTTTATTAGCTGCCAGAACATATCTTTTTGGTTTATTTGTATGATCTTGATGTCTTATTTGTTAATTACATTTGTATAATTATTTTTAAACAGCCCCTTTACTATAAAAACTGGTGATCAGGAATTACCTCAGAAATGATCAAGAGAAGAGGTAATTCCTGATCACTAAAAATTTAAAATCTTTTAAATTCTAATTAGATTTTCAAACAAAAGAAGGTTGCATAGGAATCATCTCATAAACCCTCAAACTTCCAGTTAATATTAAAATTCTACCTTGAATAGTTTTTTCACAAAATAGATGCTTGCATTTTTTGATCAGGAATTACCCCAGGTCACCCTACAAGAAATACTGATGTAAATTTTGTCATATTTTTTACTGGCATTTTACTGAGATAATTTCCATTAAATTAACGAAACTATTAACAATACTAAGAAATTAAAGTTTACTGTTTTGATATAAATACAATTACAAGTTTGAAAAATCATAAATGATTTTCAAAAAATTAAACCTTCAGAACCCATCTTCAGGGATGAAAGTACCAGTTAGCAAAAAAAGCTGAATTCTACTTAAAGGCAATCAACATTATGAAATTAATAAATGTATGGAGCTTAAAAAGCTGAATTCAGAGTAAAAGCTGAAAACTTTCATGCCTGCATCTTACAGTGAACCTTCCACAGAAATGAATTTGTGAACCACTGAGCTATTATTTTTATTTTACTTTTATTTAAAGACTGAACCTTTATAAAACTAATTTTTTTTTAAAAACTTAATAAACATAAAAATAGTTTTAAATATTATAAAATTACCTTTATATCACTGTCGGATACTCCATAATCCAAGTTGGAAACTAACAGCTTTGTCGCCCCTGTTGTGATACCACCAGCCCTTTGACCAGATACACCACCATCAAACAAATCGTGCTGCCATCTATCTGGCATTTCAGTGGGCTGAAAAATTAACAGATAACCATTAAATTAATAAAGGAAAACAACTAAATTATGTATTTATAATTTTCTTTTTCTAAATTAATCACAGTTTGCAAAGAAATAATAATTTATCACTCGTCTTATAAAAAATATATCCTTCAAAAGGTAATCATAGATAGTCCTGAATGCTTCACTTAAGAGATTCCTTACAAGATGCAACTGACATTCAGCACTGACGGCTTTACTTCTCAGACAAGTCTGTATTCATTAGTTGTGAAGAGCTTCAAGCTATCACTGATAACATTTACAAGGACAACTCAGCATTCAATTATGACTTTCATAATAAAGTCGACAATAGAAAGGTAATTTCTTGCTACAGTCTATTCTGTTAGTCCTAGAGTGAAGCTTCCATTCCTAAAATAAGCCATTCCTGTTTCCATAGCATTAGATGACCCGAGTCTTTGTGGCGGGTGGAGTTCTTAGCTTAAACAAACTTAGCTTAAATTGATCAAAAACAGATAGTTAGTAAACATTAAATTTTTTACTAGTTTCCAAAACTGAAATAAAAATGTTTGTCGCAATCCCAGTAAATGTCCCTAAAAATATTAAATGAATTATCTCGATTTTAAAGTAGAAACTAGATGTTTTTTTAACATATGCCCACTTTCTACTATGTACCCACTTTATCCCACTTGACCCTATAAGATAGGGGTGTACAACCACTATAGCTCTTAACACAACAATTTTTTTTTTTTTTTTAAATGTCAAACATTTTTAATCACACTTTTAATTCATCACGTTTTGACACTATTAATTTTAACAGACTGTACAGTAAATGCATGCTTATCACGCTCTCTTTAAGGAGACATTAGCGTAAATATAAATGATGTATAAAAAAAGTTATTTCCCCATTTCAACGTGATTTTGAAAATCAGAAATTTTTATTACAATGCTATTAAGCCATGTGTGTTTCAGATTCCCCAATTAATCACTTTTTGGTGCGATTTATTTGTCTTGATTTCATTGTAAATGTAAACCTAAGTGATTTTTAATCCTCATTTTTTTTGCAGTTACAATAAAAAATTCTAATATTTTTATTACGACTTGCGTATTTCAAAATGGACAATTACAGTCAAATTTTTTTTTTTTAATTTTAATGCATTTAGAATCCCTCAGAACTCCCAGAAAACATTCTATTACGTTTCTAAGAAGGCTATTTATTTAGTTATTTTCAATCAAAAAACGCTTACTTTCGTTTTCGCCTGAAACGGGGAGTCACGTGATTATTCACGAACTGACCTCGCACATGTCCATCTGCCGTTCACTTACAGTAGCCGTGCTGTGAAACCAATACGTTCTTGCTTTCGTTTAAATTTTCTAATTAAATCCGACCATTTCAGATGGTCTAAAGCTATCTGTATAAAAAATTGCGCTTTAATATCGCTTAATAAAAATGTGGATTTGATATAAAGTATTTTTATAATGTTAAATTTCAGTGGTACCCACTGAAACATTGTTAATACTTGACGAAATTTTGTAGCTCGGAATATTTAGGATTTTTTAGTTCAATAAAAAAAGTGCATGGTATTGCTTATAAATGATGCGTTACAAATACAAAATAACTTCGTTTTTTCATTTTTAAACCATAATCTTAATTTTAATCTATACTTCAAGTTCATTTGGAAGATTTATTTTCATCTTAAGTGAAAGAAATGTTGGATCAATTTCTTATGTAGAATAAATAGTTTTAGATTTTAAAATGTAGGACAGCTTAAGTTATTGATAATTTTTTATTCTAGCGTGAATTCAAAGCATGTAATTGTATTTATAGCAGTAGCCTCTTAAAAAACTTGTGATCCCAGCAAAACTTTAAATTCATATTTGCCTTAATCTATGTTATAAGAGTATTTGAAATCAAGCATATGCATTTATTTAGTTCTTTATTGCAGAAATAGGAATAAAATTTTATAAATGCATATAAAAATAATTTTTCGCCATAGCAAAGTTCCTATTTACTCAAAGAATAAAAATATTGAGAAAAAATATCAACATTACTGTTTATTTTTTAATTATTTAATAAATTATTAAGAATGTGCATTAGAATTTCTTTCCATTTTGTATAAGTTAATTTTTTATTTTTGTTCTCTAGCTTTAGTGAAACAAAAACTTCCAGCTTAATGATATTCGCTGAAATTTTGTGGATAAATAAGTTAATTAGATATGGATAAATGAGAAATTAAGTGAAATTTTAAGTATAACTAGATTATGGTGATGATGATGGTCAGATATATTTCAATGGACTAGATTCTTGAAAGTGTTGATACGTTTTCGGCTATACCGTATGCATAACCTGATATTTTTTTAAAACTATTTTATTAAATTTTTTTTAATTAAAAATGTATAATGTATTAATTTTACTATTTTAGAATTCTTCATTGCAAGCACTGACAAATAGCTTGCAAAAATAAGGAGAGAAATTAACAATAACCATACTTTATTAATACTATATTGCAGAAAAAGGAATTAAAATTTATAAATTTAAAAATAAAAATAATTTCGAACTGTAACGGAATTCCTATTTAAGCTAGGAATAATAAATATAAGCGTTAATGTGTATTTAAATATTTAATACATAGTGAAAAAAAAAAAAAGATGACATAAACTGCATTAGTAAATATTTACTTAAAAAGAAAATCCTTCAACTCTAGTAATAAATAAATAAATTAAAGAAGCAACATTAAATTACATTATTTGAATTTTTGATCATTAGCACATAGATTGTAACGATGATGGACTGATATTTTTCAATGGACTAGATTTATGAAAATACTGATTTGTTTTAATGCAATAACGAATTATAAAATCATCCATCCTATATCAAAATGTATAAAATTTCTATCCAATCTGCGACTTATTTTAATTAAGTAATTAGGTTGTAATGAAGCATTAATTTAATTTAAAAGTAAGTGGAATGAAATAGTATTTTCTATGAACTTTAACACTACTGATTTCAGCCGAAAAGAAATGTTGATTCGCTGTAAAGAGCTACATAATCATTTCTTCAGATATTTTAATGATAAATAACAACGTTTGAAGTTTTAAAATCTTTCTTTCATTTTGCACACACTCTCAGAACCGTAAATTTAATTCACAAAATTTTTACTGATAATTTACAAAGGATGTTCATACGGTATACGTGATATAAAAACTAAAAGAGCATTGAAATAGCCTTAGCGGATGGAGACGGCACGTTTCCCTTCGGCACATTTGACGTCATAACCAATCAGGGGTCGTTTTTGATTGCATCACTTACGGAGGCCTTTTGGGGCAATTTAAATGTTTAATAACTAAATAAATTAACATTTGCCGAAAAAAACAATCAGATTTTCGGTTTCAGGGGAGAATTTCCAATAAGTTAGGTATGAAAATAAAAAAATTTATGATATGCTGTAATTGTCCATTGCGCATTTGATACGCTTCATTCGTGCTGAGTTCAGCATAAATTTAATCCGTGATAAATTCACCCGTGAATCGCTTGAGGTTTACTTTCGAAGAGGTATTAACCATGTTTCCTATCAAGTGATTGGTAAGTGTTAGGTGGTGTAAACCTATTAAATGAAAATGACTGAAGTCTAAAAGCACTTATTCGGTAGCATATGACTAACTTGAATATCTGTGGTAATAGGAAAATTACATTCATTTACCTGTAAAATAATACTTTATCATAAATTCTTTTTGTAAGGGAAAAAATATTGTTTAAAGTTTAAATAAATATCCTTGTAAATTATTTAATTATTCTTATATCAATGAAAATATTCTAAATATAAATTACCGAGCTAAACTTTGTTATTAGGGTACCATTACCGTAAACGGAAATTTTTTTCAGTCCCAAGAGTGTCCACTTAACTGAGGTTTCAATGTATATGGTTATAAATTTACTTGTAAATTTTATGCCGAAAATCATGATTTTCCATATAAGTAAATTAAGAAAGGCTTGATATTAAAACGTCAATAAAAAACAAGTGTTTCACATATAAAATAAAGATGTAGGGAAAAAACTATAATACTGATCAAAAGAAATAAACTAACAGATGCGGAAAAAAAAAACTAACATTGTAAAATTGAAAAAAGATCCTATTAGTGTAACGCTTAAAACAAAAGTTAAATGCTACATATATTTTAAAGAAAAAAGTATTCAAAAAAACATTAAAAGAAATATAGTCTTTTTATGTTGATTAAATGTCCAACCTTATCATATTATGTTGATATAAAAATCCCACCTTATCATACAAATAAAAAATTTTAAAATATAAAATTAAAAATCTACTGTAATCAATCCCCAAAAGAAAATTTTAAAAATAAACATCTCAGTTTTTCAATTACTGTATGCACTAATTTTCAAGACTTGCCAGACGTGAATGAGAAGAAACAAAAGTGATATGAAATAAAAACAAAACACAGTAGCAGAGAAAGAATGTAGCAAAATCTGCATTCATATAAATAAAACAAGGTTCCAGGACATCAAGATGAGTTGATGTGACTAGGGTAGAATAATCGACTTTATTGTCCTGCAGGCCCGGAAGCAGAAAGTGCCTAAAACTGTGACGTACGTCGCAGAACAAATGAAGTTCTGCAGAACAATTTGCATCTTGAGTAAGTGGCACAAATTTCAGCCCTTCGAAAGATTTTTAAGGCAGCCCTTATTTTAATGTTCGGACCTTCGTATCATAGGCATTTTACTAACACTAGGTTTCCTAAAGGAAGTCATTTTGACTGTTTTTTAACTGCTTTTTCATTTGCAAAAAATGTACAAATAATAATGTATAAATTAATATTTTCCTTCCAAGTGAAGTAAATTTTTTTATCGTTAATATTTACTAATAACTTGTTATATAACTGTCAATAATATAAAAAATTCATTAAACAAATTCTTTACACATTAGTTATTCTATCACAATGCAGTAATTTTGACTGCCTTTGAGCAATATAGGTACATACTAAGTTTCAGTCTTTCTAGTGTTATTAATTCATCATCATACAAGTACATACTAAGTTTCAGTCTTTCTAGTGTTAATAATTCATCATTGTCTTTATTAAATTTTTTTGTTTGCCTTTGTTTAAAAAATAATATAGTGTATATTTTAACGTAAAGTTTGTCTTTTTTTCGCTGTAAAATGCTTGCAGAACATTAGTATAAATTAATAAGTCCTGTTGCAGAACATTTGAAAATATTCTGCTTATGGGCCTGCAGGTTAAGTTTGAAAAACTAAGAGTTTTTTAAAATGAGTAAGAGAAAAAAATTTCTGCAACGTTGAATTTTCTGCTACGTACATTTTTTGGTCCATATTGAATAAATATTTGGATGTATATAAACATACATGAAGCAGATTAAGTGATTTACATCAGTCATAATCATTTACTTAAAACCTATAATAATTTCTACATGCCAAAATTTATATATTCGAAATTTATTGATCCCCTCTGCACAGGCGGTTAATTGCTACCACTGAAAATTACACTCAAGATAGTCTGCAACCTTAAAATAATTGTAAGGTAAATTTTACCCTATTATTAAAAATATTTACGTAATCATTTATATTTCAAACTAAATATTAAATATGTTATGCTACGAAAGTAGGAAATCCAAAGCAAGCTACTGGAGGTTAACTTAAACGGAATTCTTGCTATGTTTTCAATTATGCTAAGGTTAATTTGAAATTCTTTTACAGGGTTCATACTCTTTCTAAGAAAGTAAATTTCAGGAGTTTCTAAGGAGTTTTTCAGGAGTACAATACAATAAATTCAGGAGGTGCGAGGGAAAATTATATACTTTGTATAATTTTAATATAGCTATTTATAAAATTAAATTTACAACATTACAAAAAAAACCACAAAATAGTAAATTAATAAAAAAAGGATCTTAAAATATTATTTATTTTAAACACTTTTTAAAGACATATATGTCTTATTNCGTCAAGAGACATATCCAATTTATCCGACATTTTTATAACTTTAAAAATATCAAAATGGCAAAAGCACAATTACACACACCGCTCCAGTCAACAAAGCAGACAAAATAAATTTAAAATACTGTTGCCAAATGTAAAATTTTACAAAGACATATTTCAAAAAATTGCATCAGTAGTTTCTTTAAATTATAAGTAAACGTGATTTAAAATGATTATTCATATACATTTCCAAATTTCTTTTCAGAAAAAATAAAATTTTCAAGTCTTATTGAACTTTAATGGTGACTTTTCCTTAAGAAAGCTATAAGCTGAATATTTGAAAAGCAAAATGTTCTGGAATTATTACCAGTATCAATACTGGACTTTTTCAATTTGATTTCTGGATTTTTTCTCTAACAAACTATATTTTTTTTTTATTTTCAGCATAATATATTAATTTTCCCTTTATCTAATCATCTATATAATGTTTGGAACGTTTATATCATTGTATGATTTTTATTTTGTCCCGTAATGTTGAATAATCTTTAAAACCAAAACCGGCAGACTCGTCAATAAACAGTTTAGAATAATAAAAATCGTTTAACTACCAAAATGTCATTACAGAGTACGTATTCTAATGTAAGATGGGCATTTAATTTTGGAAATTGGAAACCTCTAAAGGAACATTGGAAACTTGCTGTCCAATGTATTCAAAAAGAAGAAAGGGAAAGATGTTATCAGTTTTGTTTCGTCGAAGATTGCAAAGCTTCCTTGGTAGGCAAATAGTAAAATAGCATTTTCTTTATGTATCTGCCAACATAAACATTGGCCGGTTTTAAAGTATATTCACAATAACTATCTTAAATATTAATGACAAGATTTTAATCACTAACTACTACTATTTTCTTATTACTACCTTTAGCTTTTAGTGTATCTGATGTAGTATTTGTTTTTAATATTTAGTATCAAGTTCAGTGTTTCTACTTCTGTCAGTTTTTTCATTTAGTTAATTATTAAGAATATATGTTTAGTTTTTTGCATCAATATTATACATTACGATAATCTTTGAATAACTTATAATTATGTCTGTTGATAAATGTTACAAAAATTTATTTCAGTAATTTGACCCATGTCAGAAAATATGAATGAATTTTTTTTTTAACGCTACATTGTGTTAAAGCTCGTATTTATCGGTCCTAGGAACTTACATGCTATATTTTAGTATTGTATGACAAATTTTAGTCTGATATTAGAAAAACTGGAGTTGTAGAGATTTTATTGATATACGTGTTGCTATAAAATTCTATAATAAGATTTGAAAAACAACAGAATATAGATACATAAAGTAAGTCAAGTATGAGATTCTGTACTATGCTACATAGATTTCATGTTCCTCTTAAGTCTTGGAGCTTTTACCTTTTATAAAAGGTCCTTAAAATAATGTAAAATGAAAAACGGAAAATTAATTCCGGAAATATTTATTTTATTTCCATAAATAACTGTATTTATCAATTAGTAATTTATCCAAATGAATAATTTTTTCGATATGTGTAATTTTCCTTTTAAATAAGTTGAAAATGATTAATCTTTCAGAGTAGCAATTCAGTTGAAAGGTGGAAATTTTTTAATCACAGGTTCAACAAAAATACTGTGTTATTCATTAGACATTTAAATTAACTAATGAAAGTGCAAATTTAATGAAACTATGCATAGTGAAATTTAAGTTTAATTTTTTAATACATTAAATTTTTGCATAAGTTATATTCATCCTACTGCACCTATTTTATTAAACTTTAATTTTTCCTGCTTCTTTCAAAGATATTTTTCCAAAAGAGTTTTGTAATGTGTAAGTTAGTACTATATTCGATTTTCAATTCTGATTACTGAAAACTATTTGGTAAGGAAAACTATTTGTATCTCTATTTCCTTTGCATGTTTAGATATATATATATCATTTTTAGAAGGGCCGCTCCCCTTGCCTGCCTCGTGATCCCTATGATTGCGTCCTCTTTGCCCTTTATTTAAAAAAAAATCCACATACTCTTAAAAACATCTTTTTATTCATATTCCATTTTAAAAAGAATTATTTCACTGTTTAAATAATAATTAGTCTCTGGTAAAATTATGTGTGTTTATAGGTTTATTTCTGATTACTATTACATACATTTATTTCATTAAGATTATTCTCAACTTTTTAAATTTTTATAAGTACCTCTTTTATGGGGCATGGTAGATTAATAATTTTTTTTAGTGATTTTGAATTTTAAAATTATTTTTTTAAATAAAGCCATGTTTTAAAAAATAAATAAATGCGCCATTAATTGTTTATTTTCTCATTATTTTCAGTTTCAATTATAGAGAGAAGTTTTTAAGTTGTTTATCAGTTAATAATTTTTTTTTGAAAAAGAAATTTCTCCGCTGAGATTATCTTTTAGCATGCCTTTAATTATTCTCTTTTTGATAATGAGAAAGACATAATACATAACATATATACATGTAACCAGTGGCATAGTATGTTTAATGTATGTTCGATGAGGGCTATCGGTTATCACCTTCTAATATATATATATATATATATACTGATGGAAAAAATATCCCAACACCAGGAAGGAGTTGTGCTAAATAAACTATATTTGGTAGGCCTGTTTATACAACTAAAAGATTATGTCTATTCAAATTTCGCCCTTGGCGCATAAGTTTGGTGCTAGTAGTACCACTATGAACATTTAAATCAGGTTTGTTTTAAATGTATGTTCTACTGTACGTCTGCGTTATTTTTCGTTAAATTTTGACTTGGTGAGTTACTGTTAGTCAAGAATGCCTTTAAGAAGATGAAGAAGCCATTTTCAACAGCTCACAAAAGGATTTAATGTTTCCTTCTAAATTTGTGATGATATATTTTTCCTATTTTTAGTATGCAAGGGTGTATATTAAAAAAAAAGACTTTATTGTATGCAGGGTTCCCACGGTCCTTGAGAGTCCTTGAAAGTCCTTGAATTTTTTTGTTGCTAAATTTAGGTCCTTGAAAGTGCTTGAAAAACGTCTTAGGTCCTTGAAAAACTTGATAGGTCCTTGAATTTGTCCAATACTGCCGGCGGCCCTTTTTATAAAACACCCGCGGATCTTTCTCGTTCTTTCTGTTTTGTTCCCGAGCTCTCTCACGTGGTTTTTAACGCCACCGTTTCTAACCGGGCCTAGCGTCTTGGTGTCTGCCAAGCGCGCGGAGCACAGCAGACAATCAATGCGTTCGGGGCGAGACTCCACTTCATCTTCTGTCGCATATGCTTAGATCTTTTTTCGTATCGAAACTGGAATACTCTCGAATTTCGTAACAATATGTACCTTGTAGTTTTCAATAAATTTGCCATTTTACCATCCGCACTTGTCCTTACGTTTGCATCATTTCAAAACTTCATTGTAAAGCATATTCGCAAAGGCACCACTTCCTATTTGTGTTATGTAGTTTAGACTAGTTATGCCTGGGAAGTGCTATTTTAATCCCCAATGGATGGATAATCAATTTTATAAAGAATGGATTTTATCGATGCCCGAAAAGAAGTTCATAGCCAAGTGCCGATTATACATGAAGGAGATCGATATCGCGAAAATGGAAGAATCTGCTCTGAAATCACACATGAAAGAAAGGTAAAACAAAAAAGCAGTCTCATGCCCTGAGTTCTCTTTTTCCAAAGACATCAACATCTAATTCATCTGGTGTAAATACTCCTTCAACATCGTGTGCCCCATGTGAAACAGAAACTTTAGTGGCCGAGGTAACATTGTCTTCTTATCTGGTCAAAAGGAATGTGCTTGATGCTGAAATTCTCTGGAGTCTGAAGTGCATCACTAGTAATTATTCATGTAACTCCTGTGAAGGGATTAGTAAATTGTTCTCCAAAATGTTTGCTGATAGCTGTATAGCGAGACAATTTTTTTGTAGTGCCACAAAGTGAGCCTATTTGGGCTCCTTTGGATTGGCACTATACTTCAAAGGGATTCTTATAAATGAGCTGAAGAATGTTGATTGCTACACTGTACTCTTTGATGAGACGTTAAATCAGTCTCTACAATCTAAGCAGATGGACATTATGGTAAGGAATTGATAATGAAGTTTGCACTAAGTATCTTACCTCCCAATTTATGGGTCATGGAACTGCAGAAAATATTTTGTCTTTTTTTTACAAATGCATGGATGATGGTTAAAAGCTCTCTAAAATGCTTCAATTATCCATGGATGGACCCTATGTCAATTGGAAATTCTATTCGAAGCTTCAGTGTGAATTAAAAGAGCAATATTTCCACCAGGTCATATTCATTGGCAATTGTGGATTACACATAACGAATAATGCTTTTAAACATGGTGAAAATGGGATATGTTCCTTCTAATTTTTATTTTCAGAAAAAATTGTTGCTGCATAACATTTAGAGAAGATTATGTAAATTATGGATGAATAATTTCATAAACGATGTTTAATGGAGGAGAGGAGGGGGTTATGGAATAGTCATGGAATATGGAATACCTAAGATTTAGCTCTGTCTTTCGTGCAGCCTTCACATGGAAATACACAGGATTAAAGGATTTCACCATTAACTCCTCATTACCTTTAGTTATAGATTGTGCTGAAAATGATTTTGTGAATTAATATGCAAAACCAGTAGGGTTGTTTTTAAAAAAATATAAATTTTAGTCCATAATACANTCAAAAACCCAACCCTGGCGCATAAGTTTGGTGCTAGTAGGGCCACTATGAACATTTAAATCAGGTTTGTTTTAAATATATGTTCTACTGTACGTCGGCGTTATTTTTCGTTAAATTTTGACTTGGTGAGGAGTTGCTGTTAGTTAAGAATGCCTTTAAGAAGTTGAAGAAGCCATTTTCAACAGCTCACAAAAGGATTTAATGTTTCCTTCTAAATTTGTGATGATATATTTTTCCTATTTTTAGTATGCAAGGGTGTATATTAAAAAAAAAAGACTTTATTGTATGTCTTATATTAATGTCATTAAAAATTTGAATTAGATTTNCCTTGAAAATTTTGTTGAGGTCCTTGAAAAGTCCTGGAAAGTCCTTGAATTTCAATCTCATCATAGAGTGGGAACCCTGTGTATGTCTTATATTAATGTCATTAAAAATTTGAATTAGATTTGTAAATTTCTTTTTAAAGAATTTGTCTAATTTCCTATTTCTAGATTGGCCGATTACTTATGAGAAAAGCTGCATCTGAAAGCTGTGCTTTACCATATGATAAACTACATTTTCTTAGGACAAGTTCTGGCAAGCCTTTTCTAGGAGATACAAATATTAATTTCAGTTTTAATATCTCACATAATGGGGATTTCTGTGTTTTAGCTGCTTCTAAGCAGAGCATGAATATTGGAGTTGACGTTATGAAAATTGAACATAGAGGTAAAAACAAAATTTATCATGTTTTTGATCTGATAGTGTTTGCAAAAACTTCAGTAGCAAAATATCTTTATAGGATGAGTGTTAGTCTATTCCAAAGGTTGTAGTAGTTCAATAGACTCTCAGTATGACCATATTGTCGGCATTGACCTGTCAGTATTTTTACTTGTTGATAACTTTCAAATTAGAGAATTTTTGTAGAGTGAACCATGGAATTCTTTATTTTCTTCCCATGCACTTAAATTGCAGAGCTTAGATTCTTTTCAAAAGTCCTCCATAAAGGTAAGTTTGTCCCAGTCCAGAATTAAAACTTTCTTGCATTAAAAAATGCAACTTAACATTTAATGTCACATGGTTATTAATTTGGCTAGCTGTTTATCAACAAAATCAACTGTTATTGGTTAGCTGTGATAAATTTAATTATGATATATCTTTGAACATTCTAGCTAATCATCTGGCAAGGTGACCAGAATAACACAAAAATTCACACAAAAATATTTTGCATTGGAATGTGTTACATATAAAAATTTGCTTTGGTATTATTCAGAATACTTAAATACAGTCTATGCTTTTTTGTAAAATCCCAATTTCTATGACCCTTTCATTAATGCAATCGACATGTAAAGTTCCATTTGTTATTCCATAGATGCAATCTTATTCTAATGTCCATTAGAACATCCAAACTAGACCGTCAAATTTATCAAGTATACATTTTGCGAGTAAAAAAATATCATTGAATGAGAATGGATATTGGGAAGTTTCACTAAAATATAAAATTTTTATACAAATATTTCTAATAGATGTTAGAATTGCTTAAATGGAATCTCACTAACTGTTACTGACAATTCTAAGACTGGTTATTTTTCAGGTATGCTGAAGGAATTTTCCATGTTTTTTAAAAAATATTAAACTTTCCTTGACTATTTTTTGCTTTTTAGAGTCAAATTAAAAATCCCTGACAATTCCAGGTTTTTCCCTGTTATGTTTAGCCTGTGGAAGCCCTGTTAAAGAACTTTTGTGACTGTGTAATTTTGTTTTGTCCTCCTCAAAAATTGAGTCTATTCGACGCTCTGTAGGTCTGCTACAAATTTGATTTTTTTTTTATCTATTTGTGAACATTTCTTTAGTTTATTTGCGCAAATTTATTAGTAACATTTCACTGCAAACTCTGAACTCATTGCATAAATAGAACTTACATGAAAAAATGGTCACATAATTGTAAACTAGCTCAGTAACATTCTGTTACAGAGCATGACTGAAAAAAAAAAATTCAGTTACTTGTTTTCTTTTATATTTCATTAATATTTTAGACGGTTCAGGGGCCAGGTTAAAAAGCTTTGGATCCCATGGTTATACATTCCTGATCTACACTATGGAAATATTTTGTTTTTGTTTACTCCAGCTGATAATTTTTCTGTATAAAAATTCTGAACCACATTACACGTTTCAGAGACAAGTACTATATATTGAGACATTTAGAAAAAATTAAGCTTAAAATGCCTTGAAACAAGAATAGAAACAAAATGTGAGATATCAGTAATTAATAGCATTAAAAAGAATTAATTTATCTGATTTCATACTTCAAGAAATTTATTCCATTACAGTTGTCAAAATTTAGAAAGGAAACCAAAGATAATACAATTTTTAAAAAAATATTAACTCTAAACTGACCAAATCCTATTACTAAGCTACTGGTCGATCGAGGAATAAATATAATTTAGCATTAATTCTATGAAAACAATAGATTTAATTTAATATAAGTATCCATTAATAACAGAAAGATGGGAATTTTATCTCAGCATACGAAAACTGCTGAAACTTTATTGCGATGGCCTAAACAGAAAGAGATGCCAGAGCGGATCTACAACCATTCAGATGTACATATGCTAATAGTTAATAAAGTATAATTTTTTATTTTTAAAAAAACAGTCAAACTAACTTATAATGAGCACAAGGGGACCACAATATTTGCTTGTAATAATCGACGGCCCATAAAAAAAAAGGGTTCATGAAAAAAATCATACAAATTTATGCATTCTTACTAAATTATAAATAAAATAGTTGCTTTATTTATTTTTGTACAGTTCAAAAGAAGTTAGTTAATTAGCGTCGAGTTGACTTTTTGTCGTGTTATTGTTCTTCAGATTAGATTTATGGTCTGTAAGACATTGTCATTTGCACTCCTGCTTTCAAAAAAATTTCATGTTTGCTGGATTTACAACTCATATTAACTTTCACTTATCTTCAGAATGTCAAACTAATTTTTCAAAGATAGAAAGAGCTATGAGAGGTGGAAACATGTAGATATTTTATAAATCTCAAAAATATTGCTCACTAAAATCAGGGTTTGCTTTACACTGTACAAACCAAGTATTTTCGATTTATTCGTTAAATCTGGATTCACTCGCTTATAGCTTGTTATAAGCGAGTTGGATTCTTAGTATATTTAAATTTGTTTATGAATATTTTTTACATTTTATAAAATATTACTTGTTAGGAAGCTATGATATTTTTAGATTTGTATCTAACCTTAGTGACCATTTCTTTATTTTCATTTCCAATAGTAAAGTTCTAAAAACTTACATTCAAATTCAGTCATTACGTCTCATTTTATCTTATTGCTTACAGGAAGGAGAACAGTTGAAGAATTTTTTACTACTATGAAAAAACAATTTTCTTCATATGAATGGGACTTTATCAGTCAACCTGGGTTTGAAATTGAACAGTTAGGAAGATTCTATAGACTATGGGTGAGTTTATTTTTTCTTTTTATGGAGGAATAAGGATTGGAGGATTAATTTCAATTATGGAGGAGTCATTTCAACAATTATTAAGATAAAGAATTAAACCCAATTTAGTGTGTTATCATAATAAAAAAATATAAATAAACTTTTTTTTTTGGATCTCCTTCAAAAAAAGGTTGTGGTGCATCATTATAAAAGTAATTTTTTTATTTCTAATGAATTATTTTTTATAAGTTTTAAAAAAAATTTTAAATCGGTTTTTATTTTTAAAATAAAATATGTTTTATTCACTTGTTTAGTGTTTAAAAGAAAGTTATGTGAAAGCGGTTGGTACTGGAATATCTTGTGATCTTCAGAAAATAAGTTTTCATTGTCAAACTCCTGTGCTTCAGCAAAACATTATTACTATTGACACAAAATTATATTTGGAAGGGATTATACAGCCAAAGTGGAGATTTGAAGAAACATTTCTAGACAACAATCACTGTGTAGCTGTAGCTTTAGAACCTAATAATACAGTAAGCGAAATATGTCTGTAATAATATAATTTATTTAAAAATCTTAGTCATTTTCTCTAAAAATCTTTTCTTTTCTTCTAGGGATCTGAATCCAGCGACGAAAATTTTGATCACTCATCTAGTTGTTTTACAATATTAAGTTTTGAAGATCTTATGATAAACTGTAAACCATTTGAAAACATAGAGCAAAGTTTTTGGGAAGCTTTTCAGTCTAAAAATCAAAAATCTTGTTCATGAAGTTGTTATTGTATATATTTTATCCTCTTAAGTAATGTCATTGCAGAAAATTTGTTGTTATTTGTAAATTTTAATACAGTTTTTGATAAAAAAATATTTTGATTTATTTTAACTTATAATTTTTGTTTCATTATTATATAACTAATGTTGCTTAAAAAATACCTACTTGTAATAATCTACTTTGTAATATTACAAGCTTTATTTAATCAATTATTTATATATATATATATATAGAGAGAGAGAGAGAGAGATGACATAATTACTGGCCTGGCAGAGTAAAAAATTTCTGCTATTGTTTAGATACATAATGAAATGACACTTGGAAACTTTAACAATTTTAGATGTATATTAATATTCTGACACAAGGTTTAGAGTCTAAAATTTATTAAATAAATACTTCTGGAGTGGTGTGTTTTTTATAAGCCTTTAAGCAATTTAATTCTGTAAAATGTGTTGAAAATATTTGATTTAGAAAAAAAAAAATTTTTAGAAATCAAAAGTTTTAATTATGCATTTTTTTTAAAATTATAATAATTTTCTTCAAAATATTTCTGCATTTTTGTTTCTTAATTTTATTTTGTATTCTTTTTGTTTATAGAATAGTTAGAAACAAAATCTTTTGTTTATTCTTTTTTTACTCTTTCTACTTATAAAAATTTAAAACAAATTTGTAATTACTATTAAAATGAACAACAATGAAACTAACTTATATATTAAGGAATTACACAAGAAATAATTTCACAAGTTAGTGAAATATTTTTTATCTCTCCATCAAGTTTATATTTTAAACTNATTCTTTTTGTTTATAGAATAGTTAGAAACAAAATCTTTTGTTTATTCTTTTTTTACTCTTTCTACTTATGAAAATTTAAAACAAATTTGTAATTACTATTAAAATGAACAACAATGAAACTAACTTTAATATTAAGGAATTACACAAGAAATAATTTCACAACTCATCAAGTTTATATTTTAAACTATTCTACTAATGAAGATTTTTATAAAAAAGATCTATTATCATCAAAATTAAATATGAAATTCTAAAATGAAGTAGAGCTAGCGTGGATGCGTTTTATGAATGCTCACTAACAATATGCTATTTGTTGCACTTACCTAGGCTATTAAAGAACAAGAGGGAGACCCAAATCCTCCTACAGAAGAACAATTTTGAATGAGTTTAAGTAGGTTTGCATCAGGGCCATGCTTTGGAGTGGGGGACCAAAATGTCAAGATTGATTGATAATATTTTCTTAACATTTTCTAAATCTTGGATATATTTTTACTATTCCTTGGTAATATAATCTATACGATAAAAATTCATCATTTACAAAACTTATTAAACATATATTTAAAATATCTACTTGTAAATAGTAAAGACTTGCTCTGTCAAGAATAATTTATTTTTGAAAAAAAAAATTTTTTTTTCCGATCTAAATTATTTTACTTTTCATTCAACAAGTTGGTTCTCTATTTTTGGAATTCATTAATGTTTTTAGTTTGATATAAAAAATATTACTGACTTTATTTATTCAGTAATTAGTTTGCAATAATTAAATAATAATAATCTTTTTATTATTAGTGCTATTAAGAATTTCAGTGGCACTATTATTGTTAAATAATATTAAGTATTATTTACACATTTCTTCATATTTTTGATCGTTAAAACAATTTTTAAAAAAACCGATTGAAATAAATAATAAGTCTAATGTTTAATATATACTAAAGTAAATCATGAATTTTATTACCCATGATATAATTAGGCCTTAATGTTTCGCCCAGGCAGCTAAAATCCTAATCACACCCATGGTTGGCATATCTGGATTTCAGGAAACAAGATCTGTTGGCCAATGCAAGAGGATCTAACCAAAATAAGTTTCAGGCATTACATGCGCAAAAACATTAAGAGGGTTAGTTAGTAACTAAGTCAACTATATTACTAGGAAGCTCTTCATTCAAGATTTGGCAGCTTTTATCCATATTCTTTGATTAATTTGTAGTTCAATAGCAACAAGAATGTGAACAGAAATTTGCATTTTATTATTAGACTAGGGGGCTAAGCCCCCTGTTCGCTGCGGCTCACCAACCCCGATTATTGCTTTGCAATATTGCTTCACAATAATTGTCTTTTCTTGGCAGAAAACAATTTTTCTATTTAAGTTAAAATTATTAACTTAACATATATGTACTAAAAGGAATTCTGTTTACTTACTCTTGTGCCTCTACTTCCCACGTCTAAATATTATTCTCGAATATTACTTTACCCAAATATTAGATCTTTTGGTGAACGGAAGTGATTTTTCGAAGTAATCATTTTTTAAAATAACATTTATATTCTTATAGCATTGTCTTGTTCAAACAAATTTGATGAGTTCACAACCATAATTTAATACTCTCGCTAATAGTAGCAGTACTGGAAAATAAGTTTAAATTAGGGATACAAAAATATTTAAAGAAAAACAATACCTTTACGACTATTGTTAATTTTGTGCTGATGACAACCAAAACAATCTGGAAATGAATGAGGGAAAACTGGATCCTACCACGTGATTTTCCGGCCATTAAAAATGCGCCGACTACAATGAAAAACGGAGTCAGACTTCTATGATTTTATGTTATATAAAGATATTACAGATTTAAGTTTTGGTCATACTTTTTAATAATAAGAAAATAAGATTTTGTCTCTAAATCTATCCAATGCTCTAATGTGGAAGTCATAGTTTATGGAATATTTATTACAGTTTACTCTTTTTGTATTTAAAATTTTTTTTTCAACTGCTGTAGTTGCTAATAACCAATGTCAATAGGTTTTCTGGATCAACCTGTTTTGTTGTTAAAACAGAAAGTTACCATTTTCTAGTTTCTACTCCCATTCAGTTCGCGATACATCTCCGCTGTTATATCAGTAGGTATGAATATTGACAGATTGCATCAGAAGGAGAAAGTACTTCTAAATTGAATATATTAACTTTTTGCCCTGCTACTGTTAAAAGATTCTAGTTTGATCAAGATGAGGTTGTCTTTTTGCCCCATACTTAGCCAAGTTGACTAGGTAAAAATCATATAAATAAAAAAGTTAACAAATGTTCGAGAGAAATCATTGATTTTGAAAAAGAGCAAAGTGGCCTTGTGGTAGAGATACCTTGAATATGGCCTACAATATGTGTGTAAAGCCAGTTATGATTTTTTGCTCTAAAGCACTTATAACATATAGTAAAACACAAGTGACAGCTTTGAAGATTGCTTAAACCTAAGTTTTAATTGTAGGAACTGTTTAAAACTTCCCCAATCAATGCTATGCTGTTGCTTACGAGAAATATGCCTATTGAAATACCGTAATTTCGTTGAGATACATAGCAGAGTTTGTGATTTAAAACATTACCTTTTGGTATGTGCGGAGTATCTAATGAGGCAGCCTACCCAATGGGGTAGTTTTGGGGGACAAAATCCCCTCTGAAATTAAACATGACTTGATTAATGAACTATTGTGTGGTAAGTAGGTTGTAGAGATAAAAAAGTATTAACTGTTAATTTTTTGTAATTGTCGATAAGGAGATAATCAATAACCCCTCAAACATGCAATTTCCATCAAAAAATTACTGGTGAATATATAACATGAGACAAAAAACTAAGTTTTTCATAAAGTAGTGTAAATTAATAAACAATTCAATATCCCGAATAATCCTTTAATCCCCTAGGAAAAGGGCAGAACTGATCTTACCTAAGTGATACAGAAGAAATTCCTGATACAGTTTTGAAAAGCAGTTTCTATGGAAATAATAAATACCAGTTATCAAAAGCCTAAATGTTTATACTGGTGGCTCGCGTTATGATCAGAATGAAAATGCAAGTGCTGGGATATTTTTAGAACTGTTTTCATTTTATAACTTTCATTCAACTTGGGACCAAATTGAACTTCCTTTAAATGTGAAGTGGGAGAAATAAGAACGACGACTGCTCAACAATTATTGCCAAGTGTGAAGTGATTTTGAGAGTGTCGATATACTTTCTGTGATATCTGTGATATCTCTCACTGTGATATCTAGGGAAATGCGATGGCTGATCTTCCAACTAAAAAAAGACGGTATTTTACAGTGCTCACAGAGGAATTTTCTATTCTCCTATAAACAAAGTAATTAAATATAGTGTAAATAAAACCTGTGAAACTAATTTAAATAAATTGGTGAAAAGGCTTGAAGGGAGACCCAGAATAAGATCTCAGATCACAGGAGAGGCGTGCGTTTAGAGTGGAAACTGGACACAACTGTCTTGTCAAACACCTCCATAGACTTAAAGTTTGTCTCTCTATGTTTTAAGTAAGGATACCGTAATAAATGGCAAGCACTGGAGGTTTGCCATGCTGTTTCAGGAAACATTGATGATAAGTAGGAGGACTAGTAAGCAGTTACAAGCACTGCAAAATGACTAACTTTTTGTTAATGTTTATACTTCTGTTTTTTGATATTTCTTTTATTGTTATCATGATGTTTGTTTGTTCTCTTCACAAATTTTTTGTTTTGTTTCAATGTTGTTGTTGCTCCTTATGTGTTCAAGTGCTGCTGTTAGAAAAGAAATTACTGACCCCTTAATTTTTTATAATATTTTTCAATTTTCTCAAAATTTCTTAATACTTAACATTATTACTTGTTCAATCTAATACATTATAAACACTAAATGTTAATGTTCATAACATTTAGTATATTGCTTAGTTAGTTATTTTATTTAAAGGGAATGCAATGTACATAATTAAAAATACATATTTTATTTTGTTTCTCAATATAACTGTAGAAAAATAGCTTCACAATTTCAAAAAAATTCTGCTGTAGGTTTACTTTTTTATGAAATACATAATTTTTAATTCTAAAATTTTTCAGTTTTTTTTTTTTTAAATTTCAGATATTTTTGTTTATTAAGTGAAGATACTTTGAATTAAAATAATTGTTTTAGATGTAACTTTTAAATAAAAAACTTGCATTTATTATGAGCATAAAAAAGTTTCTGTTTCTCCCTAATCATAAATCAATTCAACCAAATCAAAAAAAAAATTTTAAAGCATCTTAAAATAAATTAACAACATTTATAAAAAGAAAATTAGACAAATTAAATAACATTGGAATAAGTAGTCTTAAATAATTCAACCCTTTAATCAATAATCAATTTACACAAAGATATTTCATTGATTGATCAATACAAAAATAAGAACTCCTTCTTGCTCAATCACTATGCCTGTAAATTGGCACAATCTCATTAAGCATTCATTTATTTTAAAATAAGGCAATTTCAATAGTCTCGAAAGCAAATTATTTAGCATCACAATTATATCTAAAATAGAAGTTTGCTACCACAACAGCATATATTGCACACATCTCTCCAAAATTAAAAAATAGGGATGTTGGCGATTCTTTACTGGCAGATGAAATTGTGGTGTAAAAAAAACTTTCCTTCTGATGTTCTCCTCACTTGATCTTTTTATATCTTGTTTTTAAAAAAATAAGACACATTAAGTTCAAAATAATGATCCATGCAAAACTTTTGATGGTCTTGCAACGTGATAAATATATATTTTCATCGAATACATAAGTCAATGCAGTTTTTGAAAAATATGTTAGGTCGGTTTCTTCCAGTGATGTATGAGAGAATTATGGCAAGGTTATGTTGGAAGTTCATAAGCTGTTCTTTCAAATACACCAGGCATCATTAAGATTATTAGAAACGTTTTACAAAGGAAATTTAAAAACTCTCCTTTGCGATATTTTGTATTTCAATAACTTAGATGTGAAGAAAACAAATGCAGGAATGGATAACATCATATGATCACAACAATCACAATTGAAAAAAATAAATCCAAGTAGTTTGTAGATGAAAAACCATAGTTGAATTTCGGAATGTTTCCATTTCAGTTACTTGTAAGCCAACAAAGGCCCAAGATACGTGTTAGTAAAAGAGAGATCGATATTTTTTGTTTAAAGTTAATACTTAAGCTTGACTGCTGTCTTCGTTTGGTGAGTCATCAGCCAATGACATAGTTGGACTTCCATCATCTCCCATGCCGAGAGTCACCGACCCACGTTTTGAATTCATAGAACCAATACGTGATGAAATAGAAGATGAACTTGAACCAGCTGATCCACTTCCACCTCGCCTGTGTAAAAGTTTAAATTAATTGAAAAAATTAAATTTAATGTACTTTTTGATTTGCACTGAACATCATTTCAGTAATAAATAACTAGAAGCAATAATAAAAAATATATATATTGTTTCAAATTTTTTTTTTTCAATTTTTGTCAACATAAAAAAATACCATCAAATTATATGCATATGAACATGAATACTTAATATAATTGTTATCAGGATCTAGACATTTCATACACATTTGCAGATGCTTTGAAACCTTCTGTTGTGTTTGTAAAGAAAATAACTTCTAATAGGCTTTTATTTACATTGTTTTGAAAGCTTGGATCCGTATACCTGACAAGTAAAAAGCTACTTATTTTCACCATAAACATCAATACATTTTGATGGGCTTAAATGCTTTTAAACTTTTTGTTGTTGTAGACTACGGATGAATCAGGCCTGATTTTCATTACCAGTATATTACCACGGCCCAATTAACAAATTTCAATACCATACTTGATAATCAATTTATCAACCAGTACCAGACAATCTTGTTGGATATCAATGCTTTATGCTTAAGCACATTCATATCAAATTTCATAGTGTCTTATTCATTGAAACTGGAATTGCTTGTAATGATAGATTACACTACTGTGCAAAATTTTAATACTGGTTAAGTTAAGAAATAGAATTACAAATTTAGAACACATTAAAAACAATATAAATTATTGTAAGGTATGCAAATTTGTGCAACATTTTAAAAATGTAATTTTGCATTACAAAATTTGAATGTAATCGATTGAATACTTTTTGAGTAGTGAAATTTTGAAAATGGCACATATTTAAAATTTGATTTCCCTAGAACTATTAGGCTGATTTCATCTTACAGTTAAAAAGAATTTTATTATTATCAAATAAAAAATAAATAAATAATCATTAAAAATTATTTATTTGAATAGAATTATCTTTGGACAAGTAAATACTTTTTATTTTTTGATTTGTGAGCAAAATGGTTTTGTTTCATTGACATATTCCTTGAGATATGGCGAAATACACAAAAAGCAAAATTATCATTAAGGGGTTACATTTTACTACTTCTTAACTACATGGATCATATTTTCCAGCTTGCAGCTATACTTGTATTTTGAAAATCAGGAATCCAAATCCGGAGGAAAAAAGCAATATTCAGAGAACACAATATGAAAAGAAAATTAAATTCTAGAGTTATTTTCTAAAGCACCAGATAGACCTACTATTTATGTGTACTAATTAATGAAAAAATCATTTAAAAAGTTTTAATTTGAGAAAAAGGTAAAGCTTGTCAACTGCCATTGTTTCTTATTAAATAAAAGTTTATTTCTTAATAAGAGTCATTAGAGTTAGTACTTGATTGCCCTTAATATGTTAAAATTGCTGTGATTTTGACGATCTGAAAATCTGATCGATTTTTGAAGGAATTGAAATTGTTTACCTCATTTTGTTCTTCAAATTTGTTACTTCTCTCTGAAGATTTTCACAAACTTCGTGCAAATCTTCAAGTTCTCTTTGTACTTTTCTTTTTGTAGCTTTTTCTTTAGAGCACTCTTCTTCTGATTCATCCAATTGTCTTTTCAAGTTTTTCATTCTGTTGTTCGTTTTCTCCAGCTATGTATAAAAAAATTAAAAATAACTTTCTCACATTTAGTTAAATAAAAATAAACAGTGCTAAGTTTAAAGTAAATTCTTTAATTTGCTGACTTATTTGATTATATGATGAGAGATCATTTTAATAATTGACTCATTTTACGATAATTGAAATTTTGATTAGATGTATGTTTTTTAACTCATGTATTATTTGTTTTTAATGTTTCAAATAAAAAAATTAAATATAAAAATGTACTAGTCTATTAATATACAATTAACTATAAATTTATAACTCATTAAACTGTAAGTTTATATAAATAACTTAAACATGTGATTAAAAAAAATTTCATAATTTCAACAAATTTTACTATACCAGAAAGAATTATTTCATCAAAAATCAATGGCAGAAAACCTTTAAAAAATTGCATTATTTATGAAATTATTTTCTTTAAAAAATATACTCATTATTATACTGCTAAGATGATAAAAATTACTATATACCATTTAAATGAAATTATAAACAAATGAAACAATGATTAAATAATAAAAAATGTAGAAGTATTGGATGCAACTTCTTTTATGAATAATAGTTTGAGCACTGAATTAAAATATAGATTTTTCTCCTTCAAAAAGTGTTATTTACAACCAGTCTAGACCTTTAGATTAAATATTACCTGTTCTTTATATTGATCAGCATGTCTACGCTCATCATCTAATTGCAGCAACAGCTCCTTTATTCGTTTCTCAAGTTTACGACTAGACTTGGCAAGTATTTGTTTTTCCCTTAAAAGAATTTAGAATTACAATGATAAGTGAAAATAATATTTTATGTACAAAACTACATATGAATGGGATAAAGTTTTTTAAGGAAAAGAAATCTACATTCACCAAATAAATAAATAAGAATTATTGAAACAATTTAAAACAATAAAAATTTCAAATGAAAAATTCAACTAAAGTTGAACAAAATGCAATAAGAGACACATGCCAATAACATCTCAAAAGAAAGAAGAAAATGTGTTTATACAATTTTGCATATTATTTTCAAACGTAATTTAAAAATAATGTTGTCTATAAATAATAATGGTTAATATTTTGAAAATAATACTGTCAACACATGCATGTTTCGAAACAATTGGTCAACACGTTATTTTAAAAATACTTAGATCAAATTAAGATTTTTTAGGTATGTTTTGAATTTGAAATGTTTTCCAAAGAATTTTATACTGCCTTAAAATTGTTAGTTTTAAAAAACTGTAGTATCAAAACATTTACAACCTCCTATAATGGCCAAAAACTAGCATAAGTGCAAAAAATTTAACTTACAATGTAAATATTTTTAATTATTGATTGCTTAGCTACTCATATTATATTTTCATTCTTTTTTAAAAAAATTTCTATATGATGCGTTTTTGGAAAGTAAAGATAATTCACCGATAGCGACTAAGGAAAACTTTCTGGGAGTTTGTTGACAACATAGACTATAACCTTGGAAATTCCACTTTTCCTTTGTGATTATTCTTTATTTTTGTGAAGCCATGTTTGAGAAACTGTCGTTATAGTGTCTGCATCAATTCTGAATCCTGCCAGATGTAAAGTGCATTCTGTAATACATTTTCTTCATGCAAATCGTTGCGTTTGCAACAGATTATGAAAAAGGTATACAATTTAAAACAAATGTAATGGTTAGTTGACAAGAAGAGTTTTTTGCATAAAAATATTCGTTTTCCCACAGCGCTTTAGACCATATTACTACTAAAAAATTTCAAATGTAAAATTTTAGATTATTCGTCAAACAGCCCTTCCAAGCAACTTTCATTTTTTCCTTTACCTGAAAAAACAACTTGCACAGACACTTTCCTGAGAATGAAGAAATCTTAACCGAAATTGAAATGCCGTTCCGACAATAAGCGGGCGGCAACTATGTTAAAAAATGAGGCATGTACCAGTAAGTAATTGGTAATGTTCATTTAATCAATTACAATTTTTTCAAGTGAGTATGCAGCATTGTATCTTTACTTTTCAAAAATGCCTGGTGCATTATATTTATATTAGATGTTTAACAACTAATACATATTGGACAAAAATTCTTTATTTAGTATACCTTGTTTCTTCTTCGAACTGTTCTTCTAATTGTGCAAGCTTAGATTCCAAAGATGTTATAGCAGTTTTAGATTTAGCCCTGACAGAACTTTCAACTTCCTGTAGTTTTAGTTTTAACTCCTTATTCTGAAAAAAAAAATTATAACTGTCTTCATAATACATAGATAATACACTAATTTATAAAACTTACAAATATTAAAAAAAATTATATATAAAAAATCTGTTCATACAGCTCAGAGATGTAATAAATCGAAATTTATTGCATTTATTTGGGATATGTATTTTTTATGTAATCTTGAAAAATTAATTTCATTGGTTTTGTTTATGCCAGAATTATTAACTTTTTACCTCAGTGGGAGGGGGGGGGTAGCACTAATTCACACTTTTTGAATCAATCAATCTGATTTAAAAAAATAAATTGCGATATTGCTTCAGAGATAGAATATTTGTTCTTGTATCTGATGTAATTTATTATTTCTTTGTATCCAAATGAACTGGTTTTAGTAATTTCAATTTATTTTGTAATTGCTTAAGCTTCTACAGCCTAATTGTTAACTAGATAGCACCACTATATTCTTATAATTAAAATTATGTAAAATAATTTTTTTATAATTATTTTACTTGCTATATTTTGTTCATTTACTTACGTCAAAACAGCATTATTTTAACAATATTTAAGATATTTATTTTCTATCTATTACATCTCTGGACTATTTTTCAAATATCACTGGAATTAAAAATTTCAAAAAAGTTTTCAAGAGTAAAGATATTCATTCTCTTTGATGATCTGAATAAAGAAGTTGGCCCACTTAGAAAAAGAAATCCTCTTTGAAGAAAAAGGAAAAAATATGAATTCTGCTTGTGAAACAGATATTGTACCCTGTTGATTGTCCTGTATCAGTGATGGAATCAAATTGGATCCAGTGTATATTTAAACCCTTTTAATACAGAATTTATGTGGTCTCAAGGCCTTTTATCGCATTTGACTATAAAAGTTGATAATATATATTCTTAAGCAAAACTTTAAGAGTTTGCGGGAAAAAATGGCAAGATTAACAATTCATTGAATTTGAATGTATAATGTGTTCAGCTGTTAAACTTTACTGTTTTCTTATAACTAAACATAAATCAATACTATTTATTAAAAAACCTTCTAAACTTATAGATTCTAATTACTAGAAAATTTGTTTTTGTTTTAATGGCAAAATGTTAAAAAGTTAATGTAAGTTTTTTTCTTTTTAGTTTAATTCAGTATAATAATTTTTTTATTTTGGATTAAACACTAGAGTCTTATTTTAGGATTGTCATATTGTTATGTTTAAACGCATGTATCATATTATTTATAAAGTGAATTGTTAAGTTTTTCTAGTTAACAAATTTTATTCAAACCTGGATTAGCTTAAACCCCATCTTTTTACACTTACTAACTGTTGGTTAATTTTTAAGAATCAAGTTAATCAAGAATATTTTGAAAGGAAACAATACAGAGGAACATTAAGTAACATAACAGGAAAAATAATTAATATATCACAATGAGTTGAAATTTTCCATTTTCTCTTAATGTTTACGAATGAGCAACTAAAAAAAAATTTAACTCTAATTAGACAAGCAGATTGTCTTGGTCTCTTACTCTGGTTACAGATTAGTACAACTGTATACTTAATTTTTAAAAAACGTTTTTTATCTTACTTAAATAATCTAAAAGAAATTTAAATGATAATAAATTATTTAAAAAATATTTTTTTAACTCTAACATTTAAAAAAAAACATAAGTTAAATAATAAATAAACATAAACACAATTTAAAAATACTAACTGTGTTATTGACGTCTTGTTTACATCTAAACAAATTCTATTATTCCATTTCTGCATACAATATCTCCCCTTTTGATTAAAATATGGACTTTTATTATTAAAAATCCAGTTGAATAAAAATTTCAATTTTTAAACTGTCAACATTTTAATATCATATACATAAAATTCTTAGTCATTCTAAAGTTATATTATTTTATTAATTAAATGCATCTTAAGAAATAAAATCTTTTCTTTTGTCACTTCCGTGTTATGATTAAAATTATACTGCTCGATACAAATCAACTCATAATTAGAATATGACATTGTAAAAATAAAAGTTATCTTTGGTAAAAAACATGAAATTTATTTCTGTTGAGGAAAAACTGTAATTGCACTTATTTGACGCAGCTTTCTTCTACGTCTGCATGTTATCAGAACGTTCTGATTGGACGTTAAGTTTGACGCCAAGAAGGCTAAAATACAAGTAGCTTTGTTTCTCTGATGTTCTTTTCTATTTCTCCTGTCCCAGTGTACGTTCCAACTGTGTAACTCTCTCTGTAATGTTCTAATAAACATGTCCACTGATCTCTGAATTTCATCACAATAACACTTTCTTCAAATAAATGAAACATTAAACTTAAGTACTAATCTACTATAGCAGTAACATAATAATATCTAAAAGCTATAAAAACTGACATATGAAACAAACAATCAAAGTGTATATTTACTTGTCGTTCTAAATGTATTCTGTTATTTTCCAACATTTGTGAGGTAGTTTTTTCGGATGCAAGTTCAGCAGCTAGTTGTTCTATCTGAAATTATAATTGTGAAGTTCATGTACAAAACAAATCATGTAAAAATAAATAACACAAATTTTTTTAAAATTTTAAAATCATTCCTCAACATTCTGGAATAATTTAAGTTTTTATATCTAACATCATACAGCAGCTATATCTCTTTGTGGGCTCTTTGATTTAAACATGCAATATTTAAAATTCTATGTCCAGTTACAGGGAAATATTAAACAGTGTAAATTTTTAACTTTTTTAGTTCCTTAGTTCATGGAAACAAAAAAAAGAGGGGTAGGGAAGCACATGTGTTAGTAAACGAGTTTGCCTGTTGATACAAACCAACTATCTTCTTTTAAACATCTCTTCTGGTAAGAATTTCAATACAATGGGATACCTGCAAGTGACGTGTGGGTATCTCGATCCTGATTGGTTGTTGAAACTGGGCATTTGTTCACATTAGCAACTGTTCTTTCAATTCTATTTTGAGTAAGCCAAACTCGTCAAGTATGAATTTTCTTAAGTGACTCACTCTATATTCTTTCACAATATATTTCTTAATAAACACAAACAGGCAAAAAGCCATGTAGAATATAAACTAACTAATTATGTATTGAAGTTGCCAAGCACACAAAGCAAAAATATATCACGGTTATAATAAAAGACATAAAAAGTAGATAAGAAAAATTATTTTTTAACAAATTCGATGCATGATATGGTGCGGTATATTATAAATTCAAGTTAATTAACATTCAAACTTATGTGAAAAAACTTCAGCTCAAATTTAACAAGCCATTTTGCTTATAAATTAATCAGCTGGCACTGAAATTATAGGTCACATGTGTGGGTATTTTTGATCTTTTTGAAGTGCACATACCCAATTGCAATACACATTTTATCAAGTCAATAAAACTGAACGTTATAAATGAATTTTTATTTTTTCACGATTCACTAATTCAAAATATAGTGTCATAATTTAAAATTACAAAACAGAGTTAAGAAAAGAGGAGAAATGAAGAGGAGAATTTTTTAAAGTCATTTCATAGAAATCGTTATTAAAGAAAATAGCAAAAATAACTGTGGGAAAATTATTTCTATGAGAAAGTTGATAAACGTTGGTTTATATTTCTTTAGTTAAAATACTTTCTAAAGTATTAAATTTCAACATTCTTTTTCTTAAAACATCAAACTTTTTGTACTTCATCTGTTGTACCTGAGTTTGAGCCTTTCTTGTTTTCTCTAATAACGCCTCAGAATTTCCTTGTTCTTCTTCCATTTCTTCCTCTAACTGCTGAATTCTAGCTTCTAATCTTCTTTTTTCATCAATCAATAGAGAGCTAAAGAATCATAAAATAAATTATGCAAAATATCCCATAATTAGAATAATGCTAGAAAATAAAACTACTTGAAGTATAAATTTGCTTGGGTTATGAAAAAAAACATTTAAAGGGAGAAAAAAAAAGTTAAACAAACTTAATAAAAAATATGGATACAATAATATTTGTGATGGGTAACATGAAACGAAGTATCATGAAATTCTCAGAGTACATAACCAAATTATTCAACAAAAAAAGCACATTTTCAACACTTTTCAAGCACTTAAAAAATATTTTTAAGCACTTTAAAAAAATATCATAATTAAGCAGGGTTGGAAAGTTTTTGACAATCGACTCATTATACATTGCTCTCTTAACGTGTTTGGCATCCTCAAACCTTGTGTTGCCATGAATTGCCACCAAGCCTACCTTTTTTAATCCTTTTCTTTTTACTGAGAGGTCACGTGCGTGCACTTAGAGTCTACAGTATTCACCAGATGCCCCCTGACCGGGCGGGATGGGGTTAAGCTTCGATTCTCAAACCTTGTTAACCTACAAACCCTTTGATTTTGCAGGTTGAGAAGATGAATCATTCACCATATTCTTTGAACTTTTCAGCAGAAGTTTTAAGGGTGTCCTTAACCCTGTTCCTTTAAAATGTCATATAAGACTTTAAATTTGTAAAAATAGCTTCTGATACTTTTATATGGAGTAGAGAAGTGTGTTGCAACATGCAGAAGTAACTTTGAAATATTTTAAGCAGGTATGTAACTCACAAAATAAGTTCAGGTTTAGTCCTGAAAATTAATAGCCACACCTTATAGTTAAATTTAAAATTATAAATTAGATTTTTTTTTGAAAAAAAAAACTTAATGCCTGTCATTTATACAAAAAATATATAACTACATACAATTTTGAAAGAGAAATTAAATTAATACGTGATTGCATAAAACTTATTAGCCATAAAAATTAACCAACTAGAATATTAAGTTTGAAATAATTCATAATAACGTATCATCATATTAATGAAATAGATTTTAAACAAGGTGCGTAGACAAATTATTGACAATAGGCGGTTTTATCTTGTTTTAACCGTCATGCCAAAATAAAAAACTTTTGGCATTGTTTTTGACACTCATACAATTTTGAATAATGTAAAACGAATGGCGTTTTCATAAGCTACGACTGACTATACACTGAAATAGATTGAGGTTGACTTAATTATGAAAACGTTGAATTGAACAATGTGAATTGTGTCTTTTTGCATAATTCGAAGTGAAAATCAACATAGTAAAGGAAAAATTTTTTTTTGAAAAAGGGAAAATTAAGCACTTTTTAAAAACACCCAATGAAAAAAGCACTTTTAAGGGCTTTTAAAAAAACAAAAATAAGCACCTTTAAACACTTTTTTAAAACACTACGCACCCTGATTCTAAATCAAAAGGAGAGAAATATTACTATTAACATTCATCACTTTTTATTTTATCAACTTTTTTTACTTTTTATTTTATACAATAAGAAATATTATATCAATAAAACATATCAGAACACTTTATAATAGTTTCAGAAGACTATTTCAATGATTTAAATGTTCATAAAAAATTGTTTAAGCAAAAATTAAAATAGAGAACGAAGAAAACCAAATTTTTTTCAATGGAACTAAAACATTTGTGTCATGCACAATCTCTTAATATTTTCTAAAAACCTCTTCTTTATTTGTTTAAATCAAATTTATGGTTAATGATAGTTAGAGCCATGACTATAGAGGGTAACAAACTGAGTTATTGTCCAGTTTAACTCATGCAGCGTTATAAATAAAGCATGTCTTGTGACATAATCAAGTGCAAAAGCGTTATGACTTGAAATTTCTTTATTGGTAAACAAGACAAAAATCATTGCAAACCTAATTGTCAGTCTGAACAGGAAAAAATCCAGTGCTCAAAAACATTAGTAACGTCCAAAGACGGAACACTTTTTATTCATTTTCTAAAAGAGGGTGCATTGCTGAATAGATGAAAAACAAAACTGTTTAATTCGAGAATACTAAATAGTCAAATCACAAAATTATTTTCATGTTGCAATAATTTTCGTATCTTCAAGAAAGCACACAAATTCTTTTAAATTATACATTACATTCTTTTATGTTGTGTAAATTGATTAAATTTATATTTTTAAACGTAAACAATTTGAAATTTTCACTATAGATTCTTTTTCAAAATATGAGTATGTTATGTATCTAAAATATCGTATTTACATTAGTAAGCACACTATGTATTAAAACTTTAAATTAGTAGAGTCAGTAGCGAGATGAATATTTTAAAATTTTATTTATTATTATTATCTGAGCAGTAGGGCTGAGATTTTATAAAATGAATTTTAATGAATGCTATTGGTTTGCACCAACAAGTGAAACAGCGAAAGCTTGCTTGTCATCATAATTCATAAATTGACCAAGTAATTTTTCCATTTGAGTTGCAGTAAGTTGGGTATATAATAAAACTAAAAATAATACAGTTATATAGACGAAAATTAATTTCAAATTTTTCTTCACAAATTGTCTGTATTTTGTACATTATTTGTGATTAAAAAAAATTATATATATATATATATATATAAGTTCTTTTACTCAATAAAAATCTTAAAACATTAGAGCCTTTATATTTGCAAGCAATTCTGATTTAAATAGGGTCAAATAATTCAGTGTAAATAACACATTTAGATAAATCTAGCATTTAGTTAATCTAGCACATTAAAATAGGATAAAGTACGCAAATTCCTCGGAGAAACAATTCTAAGTTGAATACTAACATCCTTGCACTATATAAGTCTTTAAATGCACTATATAAGGCTTTCTTTCATTCACAGAAAAAAAGAGGTCCTATGAATTTTTGCAGAAATTTTTTTTCAAACACCTCATTAGTTGGAATTGATAACAATAGTTTATTCTTTTACCCTTTAGAAGCACTGCTATTAATTTCTTCATGTAATTCATCTCTTTCAGATTCTGCACTTTTCCTTGTTCTTTCAGAGCTGGCTAAATCTTCTTGAAGTTGAATTACTTCTGTTTCTAAAGTTTTTTGTTTTTTCTCCATTTCTTTTAATTGAGTAGCCAAATCATCTCTGGAAGAACGAGACTCATCTACTTCACGCTGGTAATCTTTCATTTGACTCTAGAAAGAAAAAAAATTAACAATAAGAAAAAGCGGATTCATAATATAGTAGGACCATTTTTATCCAAAATAAATGTTTGAGAATTATTATAAATATTTTTTTGGCTTCACAAAATTACCAATAAATTTCTATAACAGAAAACAAAAATAAACCATATATTAAGAATGAATAGAGATGTAATTGCTAGCGTCACCCTCAATTGGTCACCAGAGGGAAATCAACGAAAAGGTCGTCAAAACTAACGTGGTGCAGGATGACGCAGAGAGATAAAAATGAGGCTGGTTGGACCAGTTGGCAAGAAGCAAGAGTGGCAGCAGCTGCAGTGGGAGAGTGGAGAACAAGACTGGGGGTCGTATGTGCCACTAAGCATGAAAAGAAAAGATGGTTTTTGTTTTAACTAATTAGAACTGGCCCAACTTTAAATTGAAATATTCAAATTATAGAGGAAACATTGTTATTTAATCTATTTTCATCAATAAACTATAAAAATTGAGGGTTTATAAATAATAGTTCTGTATAAAATTTTTATTTAATTTTAATATGACCATATAATAAATGCATTTTTATAAAACAGGTTTAAAAAATCAAAGTTTTTACTTGTAAGCTTTGTAATGTTTTCTTTTTATACTATTTGCATTATGGTATCTTGCACGGATAACATAACAGGCTTTCTATTAGCAGATTTGGAAGATAAGATATTGCTAAATAAACTAAAACTACACTAGAATTAATGAAAAGATGAAAAAAATCTGAAAGTTGTAATTAACAAAAAGCAATTAACTTCACCAACAAACAAAATGTTTATTAGTGACTTACATGAAATTATCAATCCTGTAGAGTCATGCAATACAAAAATAGTTAAGAAAATTTTCATTTTAAAGTCCTCATATATAGCTGAATTGAAACAGCATATTATTGAAATTGATAATAGTAAGTGAGAATAAAAACACCTTGGAACCTTTTGATGAAAGAGGATAGAAAAATAGAGGTTCTACCATACGTAAAAATTCTGAAGTATTCGAGTTATTATAATCAAACCAATAACTTTCCAAAATTTAATAACACTCAGATGTTGTTCTTTTAAAAAATATGATAGATATAAACTACACAAGAGCAAAGCAACTAAAAACTTTTATGTATGTATTATGTACTTTTATGTATTAAGAAAAGAATCTTTGAAGTACCACTGGATACAATAAGGATGCTAGCAAAATCATTACTTACTTGCAATTTTTTAAGTTGACGTAAAGCATCTTCTTTAACTTTATTGGCTATTTCATGTTGTTGTTCTAGGTCTTTATAGTCTCCTTCAATCTTTTTTCTTGTAGCAATTGCAGCAGATCGTTGTTTTCTTTCATCATCTAACTCAGCTTCTAGATCTCGAGCCTAAATGTTATTACCACAATTAAAAATTAGCTTTCAAGATAATTTTTGTTTTTTGATAAATAATAAAACGTAATTTTATTCTATATTATTAATGTTCTTCTTTTTGAGACAAAATTTTTCTTCTGTCATTTTGTTAAGTATTTTCATTTGTCTTAAAGACTATTTTTAATATTAAAAATATATGACGCAAACTAACATTCCTATGTTAATCTATAATTTTTATACTTTTGGTGGTAATACTTCTAGTGCGCTTCAATCCTTCTCTGAAAATACAATTTAGTTTATTTTACAATAATTTTAATTGCAAGATCAAACTTAATAACTGCAGGGAAGATAGTCTAAATAATGAGATTTATGAAATAATTAAATAAATAATATATGCTAAGAAGGGAATGCTACAATATATTTAACGCCATGCATCAATTAGATAAGCAGGGGTGATTGTGAGCCCAAGTCAAAATTCTGGAAAATTTCTTGAGTTTAAAAAAAAAATTAAATTTAAAAATCAGAAAAAAATTTAAACAAATTTTTTTTTCTTTTTCTCAACATTTCTTAGTTTACTTAAAATATTTTTAAAATTTTACGAATACCTATACCATTTACACATACCTATGATGACTTGGAGAAAAAATTAAAATTTACAAATATGTCTTTCTTTCTTGAGTTTATGATTATAACAACTATTTACTGATAAAAAATGAATATTAATCATGAATATAAGCTTATAAAGTATATCTCTGTCTCTCCCTTACAAACAAATAAATTGTGTTTTTAAGTTCCACCTTTGAAAATTTGATTTCCGGAAACTTCCGTGATCAATGATTTTTTGAAAAGTCTGGACCTTCGATCTCCGGAAACTTCCGGATCACTGTTAGTAAAAAGTCCGGAAATCTGGATTTTTTCTAGAGCACAATTAGCCCTGGATAAGAAAATTTTTTTAAACAGATGTTTCTATATAGCTCAGGATGTCATTTTAAGAATAAAAATAATTTTGAAAAAGTTCTTAACATTTTAATACAGACTATATGAATACATAAGAAATTTGTTCAATGAGATTTTCCCATTCATTAAAAAATACAAAACTTTAAAAATATAAAATAAATGAGATCATTTTATATCATTGTATAAAAATATCTGTTATACATATACAAAAAATAGGTTCTTGATAAAATTTAAGTAAGATAGAAAAAAATGTTTATACCTGTTTAATTAAAGACTTTCTCTTTTCTTCATTTTGTTCATCTCTTGCTTGCAAATCTCGCTCAAGTTGTGCTTTTAAAGCTTGCATATTTACTTCTAACCTCAATTTTGAATCCTCAGTTAATTGCAACTCATCTTCTAGTTCTTCAATTTGATGCTTTTGTTCTTCCAATTGATTTTCTAATATTCGTTTTGCTTTTTCCAGTTCATGTACCTGAAAAAAAATCAAAATAAATAAATCTTTTCAAGCTAATTTTATGGGAACAAGAGCATAAGAGAGCCAAGTTTGTTCATTCAGAATTTCTTTAAAAAATACAAATAAATAAAATGAAAGTATTTGAATTGCTACTTAACAATTGCTTAATAAGTAATTCTACCTAGAAAAAGTTTTGAAAACCGTGAAACTAATTACTTTTTTAAATACATATTTTTATATTTTCTTTTTATTAGAATGAACATTTTGCATTTGCATTTTCTGCACAAGCTTTTGGATATCTAATTCTTTTCATATCAAAATATTTATAAGAAATTACATTTTTCCATTTATTTGAGTTTTTCCATTTGTTTGTTTCAAACAAATGGAAAAATGAATTTTCCATTTATTTGAATATAAGATCAAACAGTAAAAGTGTATCATGAAACAATACAAAATTGGTTTAAACTGAAATTATGCTATTTTTTCAATAAATATGAAATTATTAATAATTCATAATATTTTAAAAAATTACTTTATTTCAGGCTTGTTTAATTTTTCGGATGATTAAAGCTTTATTTAGAATATTTTGTTGAGTTTTCTATCCAATTCGAAAAAAGATTTTAAAATAATATTATACATTATGGTTTTCAGACTAGTTTCTTTTTTTTTCCCTTTAGTAACTTTTAAAATTTTTATTTTGAATGATTTATTTACTGTTTAACATAAGTTTCCATTTTAAATTTTAAGATTCTTTTAAATGACAAGACAACAAATCTCTATTTTACCCAGGTTTAAAACTTTGGGGAACTGAAAATTGTCATCAAAAGTATAACTCAAATCAATTTCATAATTTTTTTTTTTAAATTTATAGCTGATAATATCTATAATTGATCTAAACAATATAACTTAACTATCATGATCATAATTATACCAGATTTGTAGTGGAATTAATAGATAAGTTTTTTAATAAACATACATTTTATATTGCATTGATCCAAAAACTAAATTTCTATATTTTATTGATTGTAAATAATACTTAAAATTTACTTCATGAAAATACTTGGTGAGACCAGGGAAATTTTTTTTCACTTCAGAAATTAACCCTGCAGTGTTTAATATATTTTGAGAATTAATAATATTAACAGTTTTATTTAATTGTTAATTTTTTTTTTAATTTCTGAAAAAGTGTCACATTAAAAAAAATTACATCATTAAAAATGGCCAGTAACAAAATTTTCTAATTTTGTCCCATATTGCTAACATTGTAGAGCTACACTAATGTGCTAATAGTGATAGTTTGGTATTCATTCTCATTTGAGATCCTAAGAGAATACTGATGAACACTAAACTACTTAGTTTGGTGGGTAGATAGTGGTAGTTATCACCTTTGAAAATATCTACTCATGCCAAGACAAATTGCATTAACAAAGTAACTTTTTAAATTGAAAAAATATCACTTTATTATAAAAAATGTTCCAGTGATAATTAACTTAGAGATAATACTATTATTTAATTAATAAGATTAACTTAGCTATAACTTACATTTTTATCAGCTGTGCCTTGATTGTTAACTAATTCATCAAGCTCAGCCTGCAATTGCTTTTTAGAACGTTCAAGTTCTTCGTTATGCTCTTCTCTTTCTTCTAACTCTCGTATAAGAGTCAATATCCTTGTCTCTTTCTCTCGAACTTCTCGCTCAGCATTATCTTTTTCTTGTGATAATTGTTCAGATATAGCTTTTTCCTCAGCAAGAAGTTGATCAAATTTTCTTTGCCTTTTCTCTAAATCAGACACTTTAGTTTTGTGGCTATCCAATTCAATGGTCAAATCTTCTACCTATGATAAATATTGTTAAAATCTTACATTAACATTCATTTCAAGCTGAAAACACTGCTTCATATCTAAAAAACATTTCACTAAAAATAGCTAAATAAATTTGAATACATATTTCTCAGCAATTACATTTAAATAATCAACAATTAAATAAAAATAATAAAACTTTAAACAACAATATTTCCTTAAAAATTAAAGAGAATATTTCTATTCCTGATTTTTTTTAATACTGAATTGGTAAACTCAAATATTAAAAGCTAGAAAGCTAAATTTACTGATTTCACTCCACGAGTCATTCTTACACACAGACTAAATTTCTAAAAGTTGAACTAGCTATTTCTTTTATTATGACTTTTTATTGATCATAAATTTTATGATGCTATAAATGAGGTATGTTGTACACAATAAAAAAGTCATTAAAAGGACACTTGATACGTAATGCAATAGTCATGAATACAAATTAAAACTCTTTTTTTCATATATAATTCAGATAGAGAAATTTTTCATACACATAGTCTTGAAAAGAAATTTTACAACAGTTTAATACTATAGTTTAATTATTAAACTAACTATTTAAAATATTAAGTTTTATTTAACATTAATTTACTTCTAAAAGGAAAAGTATGTTGAAATTTTTTTTTTATTTTATAAATAGTAATGCAAATATTATTGTATATAATTTTAAAGAGAAAAATAAAAAATATCATGATGAACATACTTTACAAGTCAATTCAACTTCAGACATATAAATATTCTAGTTTCTTAGCTCTTTCTAACAAGAGTCAATAGAAAATAACTACACTTATGTACAAGCTCTAAATTCTTCTACCATACATAAATAGAAGGGAGATGGTTGACACTGTTACAATTCATGCAGTGACGGACCAAAAAAAAAAATTTACTCTGCCGCAATCAGAAAAGTGATGAAATATTTTTTTCTTCAGGAATATTTTGTTTAAAGATCCCACAAGTATTGTTATGATAAACAAGTTATAAGATATTTAGATTGTTGAAGGTAGTAGTCCTAGCTATTGCGCAACCCTCTTTCAGCCTGATCTGAACCTTTCCCTAACATCTCCTGCTTTATGCTTGAATTTAAAAATTTCCAAAACGGTTAATTGATAACACCCAATTGTTTTAGTTACAGCATGTGTTTAATTTTCTCAATCAATTATAAGAATAAAGGTGTCCTTTAAATGCTGGAGATACAAAATGAAAAGCAGCTTTTCCCTTTTGTTGCACTTTTTATAGTAATCCGATTAAGCAACACTTCAGAAACAATCTATAATAGAGACAGGGAATGAGCTAACATCTTGATTTTCATCAATTAAGTTAATTTTATGTGTTTAAAACAATACATTAAATTTACAAAAATTAAATATTTTTAGATGAAGCAGTTTTTTTTGGCACCACTGTATAGTGTATCCCATGACGTTGTGAAAATGTAGCTAAAGCATTTTTTTAAATATAACTAATACGGGGATCAATTTTGCATCTAAAATTCATTTTAAAACATGTAGTTTATCACATAACATTTAATTTGTAATGTCTATGCTAAAGGAACTGAATCTCCAACTTTCAAATGATCATATGTGACCCCTTACCACTAAAAAATTAGCAGTTAAAATAACTATCTAACTAGCATAAAAAATTCATAACTGTTTTTAAAACTAATTTCAATAAACCTTGAAATAAACTCCAAAATTTTAACAAAATAGACAGAAGATTTAAACAAATTCTAAATGCCAAAAGAGTTAAACCTTTTAATACTGAAATACTTAATTTCTATTATTATATTTAGATACAATATTTTTTCTACTACTCTGCATCCATAATCTATACCACATATTTCATGTAACACACACAGCACCTATAACAGCTGATGTGTCACTGCACTAAAAACAGTGTAAAACTGAGTTTCGTATTCAGTAACTGTTTATCAAGAAGTAATTACATCATACAGGAATTTTGAGAAAAATAAATTATGCATTAATTTAATTAATATATCTTATAAATTATCTCATACAATATAATAAATTATGCACTATTTTAATTAGTAATACCCTTTTTCATAAACATAGCTTAACCCCAGCTTTTTCTGAACATTTAGCGGCAAGCTTTCCTGCATCATCAAAAAACTGGTTTCTCCTATGTTATTCAATGGGAAAATAATACATGGCTGGGAAATTTCTGTACAATTTTATTGAGAGGCACAACATTTGGAGGTTTAGTATAAAAAGAAGTTGGAAAGCAGGGTTTAAATTGCATCATTATAATTGTAAACTAAGAACATAGAGGTTATTATTATGTAACTTTAATTGAAAATTTTTAAGGTAAAATTTTAAAAACATTGTTTTTCAGAAAAATGTCAGTATTTTAAATATAATTAATAATATGAGCAAGATAGTAAAACAAGTGAAGAACATATAAATGGGTGTATTATTTAGTTCTCAAATGCCAGTTCCTACAATTTTTTAAAGATTGTTTCATAATTCACCACAAATCATGCTTTGTTTTGTAAAGCATCTGTTCTGAGTATAAAAGTGGTTCATGAGGATCAGATTTCTTAGCGCCACTTCTCTCACTTTATAGAGGTGAGAACATAGACTATATGGATAAATTTTAACAAGATATGATGAACTTATTCGATAGTAACTTAACGTGATAGAATTTAGTGTTTAGTGTGCGTAGTTTGGTTAATTCAGTCATTTTTAAAAAAAATCAACAAAAGCAGTTAAATATTAATCATTAAGAAGAAGAAAATTGATTCAAGTTATCATGAATGAATTACATACTTCAGACTGAAGTTTCTTTTTTGATTTATCAAGTTTCTCGTTTATCATTTGTTGTTCATCTATTTTATGTTGCAAAACTTCAATTTCTTTCATTGCTGCTTTCTTTTGTTCTTCTAAATTAACAACGGTATCTTCTTCTTCTTCAGCTTTCTTTTTATAAGCAGCAACCTATAAATATTTTTAAAAATATTATAAAAAAATTTTTTTAAATAATTTTTATGAAAAACTTACAAATGTTTATAAAAAATGACACTCACTTGAGAATTCAAAATATTTAATTGTTTTTCAAGGTTTTTCTTAGCTTCTTCCTCTTCATCCAGTTGTTCTTGTAGATTTTCACGTTCATTTTCAAGCTGTCTTAGGCGTGAACTGAGAGCTAATTTCTGTCGAGTCTCATCCTGTAATTGCTCCTGAAATAAAATAATTATAAATAGAAGAAAAAAAATTTTTTTGAAACATAACATTCTTTATAAACAATAAAAGAATGCTTCTAAATTGTTAAGGTTGCATTAAAAAATTTTTAACAATATTAGTTTTAGAAAAAATATTTTTTTTGTTGTAAATTTTCGGTAAGGTAGTAAGAAATTTTTAAGGCTTGTTACAGAATAATTCAAAAGAATATATAATTTATAATACTTATTTATAAATGTATAAACAAGTAAATAAAAAATCGTTTGATAACAAGAGATGTTATAAAACAAAGGTTCTCCAACTGTGGGCAAAGGCAGCATGCAACACAGCTATACATTATAAATAAAAGCACCATGAAACATATAATAAACATTAAAAATTTCATTTTCAATAAGAATTTTTATTAGAAACTTATGTAGCACCTTGAGTAAAGCAATAATCAGAGAGGGTACTGCCAATTAAAAAAGTTCATGAAACTAAATTGAAAAACATATTTTTAAAGAATTACCCAGAATTTGAATAATATTCTGCATTTAATTCAATTACACAAAACTTACTTGACTTTCAGAAAGTTGACCTTCTAATGTAGCAACACTTTTAAGAGCTTGAGTAGCTTTAGTCTCCATATCTTCAAATTGAGCACTTACAGAATCTAATTCAGTCTATATGGAAAAAAAAATCCTTTTAAATGTTTCAAAAGAAGAAAAAATTTAATCCTTTATTGTATAAAAATAATTTTTCTAATATTATCAACTAAATAGTTAATTGACAAAAATTCAACTACGCACCTGCAATTTTGCAGCTCTTTCTGACATTTCAAGTTTGTTCCTCTCAGCATCTTCATGTTTAACTAAAATTTCTTGAAGCTGGTTTTCCATCTGCTTTCTCCTTCTTTCAGACTCTTGTCGAGCAGAAGATAAAGCTTGAAGTTCTGATTGTAAATTGTTGTTTTCACTCTCAAGATTGACCTTCGACTTTTCTAATACACCTTTAGTCTAAATAAATAAAATCTTTGATTAAATTAATACTTATAAAGACATTTAATTTTTTTTAACATGAAAACTTGAATAAATTAATGTTAGGCAAATTTTATTAATATGTAGAAATTTCTCCAAAAAGGAAAACTACAAAACCAAGTAAACAGCATATCGTTATCTTCAACCAGTAACCTATTTACTTATTTTCACTTCCCGAAAGAGATAAAAAAATAAATAAGTATTAATTTTAGGAATGTATAGAAAAGACGATAATTATCAAATGATTATGCATTCATTTGATGAGATCCAAGAATACCCTTTAATACTTGAGAATGTGAGGTTTGATGGTCTAAGCAAGTATAATATTGAATAACTGCAGACCTTTCCATGTCTTTTAAGAGTCACTTTCTGCGATATAGGAATAAAGTTTTAGATATGCACTTTATTAGAGTTGCAGTTGGCCTCAATTTTATTTTACTATACAACACAGTACAACATAGAGATCATGTGGTTAATGATTTTTTTTGGAAAATGAAGATATTTCGCAGGTTGATTGACCATTAGAATCTCAAGCATATAGAGCATATTTTAGAACCTTTTAGTAAGGTAAATTGAAATTTTGATCTCCTTTCAAGTATCATCCAAGGCCTGAAAACCAATCAGAATTTTGACCAATCAGAACTAACTCCCATAGTAACTCTTCAACTGACTTATTTCCAGTATAAAATCATTGTGTGAACTACGTCTATAAGAATAAGCAATATTTCTTATTAACTTATATTTTTTCCATTAGCCATTTGGCAAACACTTTTTCACACCTTCTGATATTGATGAGCATAACGCAAAATTATTACTGAGTAAAATAATTGTGTAATAAATTTTCTTCATTTTTTGTAATATTATTTCAGTTTATGGCTAAATCAAATTTCATTCCTATCAGTCTAGTAGTTCTAGAGATAATAAATCAAATCTAAATATTCTCTAATTTTAAATACTAGTATACGTAGAAAAATAGGCATACTTTTTAGTTTGATCCATTTTTTTCCTCCCAATTGCATTTTGTGATAAATTAAGAATATTTCTTTGCTTTTTTTTCAAATAAAACAAACTTTTTTATTGTTATAATATAAAGTAATGTCAGTTAAATAACGGTAATCATTTTAACAAAATATCTTGCAAATCTGAATAATTAAACACAAACAACATATTACAATACAAAGCATAAGTACATGATAATGGTGTCTTTAACCTATTATTTAAAACTCAGACATATGTGTGTGATATTTCAATACGCATTTTCATAAATTTAAACACCTAAATTTAAAGGAACTCTTTTAAACTAAATGGTATAGATTAAAACAATGGATCTTCAAAGTATCTTAGATATCTAATGATGGAATTGACATAAAGTTGCCATAAATTAAGATATTTTTATCTCACTTATACTTTACTAGACATTTTTCCGAAGAGAAACCAAATATATGACTCTTTAAGAGATAATAAAACAATTTTAATTTCACACAAAATAGCCTAATTTAAATTAAAATATTGTTTCCGAAACAGAGTGAGGTAATACTTGAACTACTGATTGAAAGTATAAAAAAAAAATTAAAAGCTATGATATCGATACTAACTTTCTGCAAAGAGTCTAACTGTTCATTCAGCTGTTCAACAGCAATAGTGTGCTTCTGTCTTAGGTCTCCAATTTGATTTTGGTGCCTTGAAGTTTCATCTTTTAAACCTTGTTTCAAATGTTTTAATTCTTCCTCCATTTTCTTGCGTAAAGCTTCTTGTGATGCTGTGGAGTTAGTAGAATCTAAAAGTTCAGTTTTCAGAGCTTCCAGTTCCTGGAAAATGCAATTTATATAGTTTTGAATAAAACAAAAGGGATCAGTTCATTACATAAATTCTAGTTCTTACTTCATTTAAATCTCTTCTCAATTTCTCAGCTTTTGTTCTAGCATCTTTTTCAGCCTCTAAATCTTCTTGAACTTCAGTTAACTGATTTTCCAAATCTCGTAAAAGCTTTTGTGTTTGTACTTTAGCAACAAGTTCCTCATCACAACTAAAGAAGGCATCAAAGAATTAAACAGGCAAAATATTATAATGCAGCAATAAGAATGAAAGACATTGAAATTAATAGGGGAAAAAAATGTTTAGCGTAAAAAAATTTATGTGAATATAATAAAGATATTTTGAACATTTTATTAAATAAATAAGAGTTAAATAAAGAGATTTCAAGCTTTTTATTTGTATCAAAATACTTACACAACAGTATGCAAATATTGTAACCAATAACTGAGTAAACTTATAACACTCTTAAATAAGGATAACATTGCTTACTAGGACTGGGGGATGTAACAAATTTACATATAGACATAGCGATGTGTCACGATATATTGAAAATTGTTTCGTTTGAATCTAAAGTACACAATCAGAAATCTTAAATCAATCAAGTATAAAGGAAAGAAGTATAACAAAAAAATTTTAATTCTAAAAAAATGCTTATAAATTCTAAAAAAACATCAATAGCATTGCTTTTTTTTCCATTTATTTATTATAATTTACCATATTAATAAAGATGGATTGAAATAAGACAAGTGCCTCAAAGTAAAAACAAGTATCAACTTTGTTTTAGTTTTTTTTACAAATTAAAAATTACTTAAAATTTATTGCTTTAAAAATAATAATAAAATTCTAACAAAATATTTTACTTTCATGAATTAAAACAAAAAAAAATATAGGTAAAACACAAATGAAAGTAATTATGCACTGTAATAAAACAAATGTTAAATTATTTGTCAAAAAAAAATGTGCTTTTGAAACATTGTTACACAACCTTTAAAATATTTATTTAAAATATTAAAGTTACAACTTTTGTTAGAATTTTATTATTATTTTTAATACAATAAATCCTAAGTAAATTTTAATTAAAAAAAAATAAAACAAAGTTGATACTTGTTTTTACTTGTTGACACTTGTGTTTATGTATGGAGTCTGACTAATGGTCAAATTCTATATGTAAAAACAAATGCAAGTTTTGTTTTACTTATTTATTTATTTATTATTATTTTTAAAATATATATAATTAGCTTAAGATTTATTGGTTTAAAAATATTACTAAATATTTAACAAATTAGTTAACTTTCATGCCTTGAAAAAATTTGAAGAAAAATTGAAAAAAAAAATTCTTTTAATAGTACTATGGCTAAATTATTAAAAAATAAACTACTTTTAAAACGTCAAAACATTGCAACACGGTTATTTTATTTTTTTTATAAATTTAGTCGTTTTAACTAATAGCCGAATTTCCTACAAAAATAAAAAAAATAAGGCAAATTTTTCTTTTAATTCTTTCAAAAATAAAAACGACTAAGGATCTGACCATGACTTCTGAATCAATTGGCTCTTTGCCATTCACCATCACAAAACAAGCATCATCTTCCTAGCAAAAGGAAATCAATATGTGTGTAGATAGACAAAATCATAATTGTTTTTGGCAGCACGGTAGTAGCATTAGGGTAGGCAAGTATCTTCACATGTTAAATTGTGGGCATCTTCCTGCATCAGAGGTTTAAATTTGAATTCTGATTTTTCGAAAGAAACCAAAGCCGCTATATCGGCATGATGATGTATGCTTTATACATTTTAGCAAACCTTATTAAGTCTTTAATAAAACTAAAGGAAGCAATCGTAACTTAAATTTTTAAACTGCCTTGTCCACATTAACCCTATTAGAGTAAAATTATCTTGCCTACAGCACTATTGTTGCTTTGAAAACCATAAATTCCAATCATTAGATCAAAAGTTGCTAAGGTGGGCTCTTTTAATTTTAATTTCTGAAATACGAATATTACCGATTTAGAGAGTCAGCCAATTCCTCCTCTTTACGAGACAATTGGAGCTGGATTTCTTCAACCAGTTGTTTCTTCTCTATAAGCTGTTCTTTAATATCACTAAGCTCAGACTCGCCTTTACGGGAAGCTCTTTCCAATTCCTGTCTCATCTAAATACACAAAATAAAGAATTTTAAAAAAATAGACCATCTCATTAAGCATTAATCACAAAATACTCATAAAGAAGAAAACAAATAACTGAACTTGAATGTAAGCTTCTCTCAAAATTAAATGAGAGAGATTAATTGCTCAAATACTGAAACAAAGACATTCAAAAAATCCCAATTTTCATGTGAAAAAATTACTTAAGAGCTATTAATGTTACAAAATGACTTTTGAAAATTTCAAATTTGAGAAATTTGAAATCCCAGCAACCAAAACTTTTAAATACTTAAAAGGAAACACGCACTCAATAACTTACGACCAATTTAAAACTAAATAGCATAAAAAATATGATCATGCAAATTGAAATCAATAAAATTATAATTTTTGTCTTAAACAGGGTTCATGCTCTACTATAAAAATAAAATTCAAGTACTTTTCAAGGACTTTTTAAGACTTATTATAAAATTCTCAAGGACTTAAATTTTAGTTAAAGATAGACTAAAATTTAACATTTTAAACTAAAATGTTTTGACGATAAATGTTAGTCGATAATAGCAGTACTGAAAAATAAGACTTCCATTGCTCTCTCTTGATTTCGGAAAGTGATCTAAGTA